AAACAATAATGTTTCCAAAAAAACATAGAAAATTCAACCCCTCGAAAATGTATTATTTTTACAGCTGTAAGTGTTTGTAATTAGAATAAACAATATCTGTAAAAAATATTAAAACTGTTAATTAAAATAATTGATTTTTTCCATTTCTTCTTATTTTTTTCATTTCACGTTTCTTTTGGATTTTTTTTAGCTTGCCTAGTTCAAAGGACATTAACTTTTTGTGATGACAAACTTTTCTTTGTATTTTCAGTTTAAAGTGACTGCCAATGACTTGGGTACCCCAACTTCTCTGCCTGCAAGTGTCCCAGCCACTGTTGTGGTTAATGTCAATAGGAATCTTAACCCACCTGTCATCACCAACACCCAGTTCACACATGAAATCTTCCAGAACCTGTCCACCAATGGGCAGGTGTTTGACGTGGAGGCAACAGACCAAGATACAGTGGTAAATAATTTTTGTTTTTTTTTGTGGAGATCTTACTATGATATTATCAAGGTTAATGATAATTTTGGCATGAAGATATTAAACTTAACTGACATGAAGAGTCATATTGTAAATCTTTATATATCAATTTTACCTATTCCTGTGTGAAAAAGTTGAATAAGACAAAAAGTTTTGACATATAAGTATACCTTTTTCTACCGGAAGGCTCTTACTTTGATATAGAGGAAGATAGCTTTCTTGCACAGATGGAAGTGCTTGTGAGGTTACTGTAAAACTTTATATTTATTGGGGCTTAATTTTCATGGTTAAAAAAAAAAATAACCTGCTTCTGAGATACTTGATTTCATGTATAAATGTACTTGTGCTAATTTTAACAGTTCATGGACCTACAAATTTGTGGATTTAGAATACTTACAAAGTGAACAAAATTAATGCCCCCACTTAAATTACTGATTTCTTAGAATATTTTGACTCCGTGTTATCAGCTTATCCCACATTCTAATGTAATGCTGACACAAGTCAATGTCTTGTAGCTTACAACACCTTGTGTTTTCCTTTTTTATGTTTTATCTTACATGCATAATTTTTGTTGTCAGGCAGGCTTCTATATGTTTTGTTTACTTAATTGTCAATAAGTATATCTTGCTATAGGGAATCAGAACTCTGTGATAATGTCAACCTAGTTTGAGTCAATACTCTATTAATGTGTGAACCAATAGATTTTAAGCACAAATTGGGGTCAGCACTCTGAATGTGTGACCCAATAGAGTTTAAGCACTAGTTTGAATCAATGAATTTTCAGCACTTGTGTGAGTTTTCATGAGTGCATAATCTAGTGTTTTATTAGGCAGTGGTGTGAGTCTGGCATGTTATTTTGTTTTATTTTACTTCCAGGCACCATTCAACACTTTGACATTTGACCTGCTAGGTGATGATAATGCTCCAGTGTTTTTTGATATAGATGCATCTTCTGGTGTTGTCACATTGAAAAACTCACTGCAGTTATTGCCCACCACGGAATACCAGGTTTGTTTTTCTATTCACTTGTTTAAATATTTGATTGAATATTTAAAAAAAAAAGAAAGGAGAAAACGAATGCAGAATACTTTAAATATTTGAGTTAAATATACATAAAAAACCCTTAAGTTTCTTAGTATACATCTGCAGAGCTTTTTAGTATTTTTGAATGTTCTAGTTATTAAATCGTTAACCACTTAAAAATTATCATAATTACATGCAAACCTCATTAAATATCTGCTGCATGAGAATTTTGTAGGTTTTATTTGCCAACCATCATAAGATGGTGGGCTGTACAAATCGCTCTTCATCCCTGGTCGGTCATCCGTCCGTTCAGGCATCCGCCCATCCTTTCGTAAACAATTTTTGTTATTACTATTTCTTGAGAAGTAGGTAATGGATCTTTCTCAAATTTCATATGTAGATTCCCCTTGGTCCCTAGTTGTGCCCATTTGAGTTTGGGACTGATCAAAAAAACAAAATTGCTTACAGTCAGACATCTTGAATTTTTTCAATGAAGTTTGTTATCGCTATTTCTTTAGAACTACTGTATAGATCTTTCTCAAATTTCATATGTAGGTTTCCTTTGGTCCTGAGTTTTGCCCATCTAATTTTGGGACTAATCAGAAAAACAAAATGGCCGACAGATAGCCATCTTGGTTTTTGACTTTGAAAGTTTGTTATCACTATTTCTTGAGAAGTACTTGATGGATCTTTCTTAAATTTCATATGTAGGTTTCCCATAGTCCCTTGTGCCAATTTGATTTTGGGATGAATCAGAAAAACAAAATTGCCAACAGTCAGCCATCTTGGATTTTTCAATGAAGTTTGTTATCACTATTTCTTGAGAACTACTGTATAGATCTTTCTCAAATTTCATGTATAGGTTCCTCTAAGTCCTTAGGTTTGCCTGTTTGAGTTTCGGGCTGATCAGAACAACAAAATAGCTGGCAGGCCACCATCTTGGATTTCGCCTAGTTAAGAATGTTATCCCTTTTTCTTAAGTACTGAATGGATATCTCTCAAATTCCATGTATGTTTCCTTGGGTCTCTGCTTGTGCTTGTTTGCTTTTGAGACTGATCAGAAGAAACAAAATGGCTTCCAGGTGGCCAGTTTCTGATTTGGCAGGTAAAGATTATCATTTATTTCTGCAAAGAAATGTTCAAATGTCTTACCATTTAGAGCAAAAACAGAGAACAGAAAAGAAGGGAAAAGATCCAACTTTCAAAGAGCATATAAAGATCAAACAATGGTGGGAGCCAAGATCCCTCTGGGATCTCTTGTCGTAATCAAGATTTACACACATGATCATTCTTAATATTTTGGTCTATACAGTAAAAAGTATGTATAAATATTGATATAAATTTCTGTTCTTCCCAGCCCTGCAACAAAGTTAGTGAGGTATATTGGAATCAGATTGTCTGTCTAAAAAATTGTCCTAAACTTTTAAATCAGTATCAATGAAACAGGAATGTTAAAGACAATACATGTAGGTACATGCATTTTCAATTTTTATTTTTCAGCAAAAATATTGGTTGCCATGGTAGCCATGTCACTATACACAGATTTTTGTCTGTATGGCCCATAGCGCTTCAGTCATTAGATCAATTTTCATGAAACTTGGTCAAATGGTGTAACTCATCACTGTATCTATTTTGATACATTGATTATTTCCAGCTCTTTTACTATGGTTGCATAATTGAGACTTCTGATTAGTCAAAGCTAAGATGATGTCTGACTTAGCTGTAAATCAATATGTCATTTGTGTTAACATCCAATGTCTTTTGGTTGCTTGGTAATTATCATCAGGATGACAGTGCAGTTACTTTTGTTGAATGAAGTGTCATATGTAATGTTTAGATAAACATTGTCAGTACTAATAAACTAAAAAAAACAAAATCAACATATGCTTCTATGTTACCAGCTCCGTGTGCGAGTACGGGATGGTGGCAACCCCAGGAAGGAGGATGTGAAAGTTTTCACTGTGACAATTAAGCGTAACTTTCATCAACCTACCTTTAATACAATAGCCTATGCCCAAGTCATCCCGGAGAATCTGGCTGTCGATAGTTCAGTCATCAATATCCAAGCTTTCGACTCAGACTTTGCTGTGAGTATCCAACTTCAGCGTAAAAACAGTTTAACACTGTAGGTAGAAAATGAAAGATTGCATCTGTTGAGATCACTTTTAACAATGTAACATTTAAAATTGGAAAAGATTTGACATTTCTGTGAACTTCATTTTACTGATATATAAATTTCAAAGATGTTTGCACTATATGTCAAAAAACAGAAACTAACCACTTTATTTTGTACTTCAGGCTCCCTACAACACTTTGAGGTACTACTTTACTACCTCACCCTCGCGCTTTCTTCTCAACCCAGAGACCGGATTAGTTACAGTGAGACGGTCCCTCCTCGGCGAGACACAGGTCACCTTTCTGGTAAGAAGTGTATAGAGGGGTTCTTATTTTTTAGTATTGATCATTTGTTCTTATTTTTTAGTATTGATCATTTGTTCTTTTTTTTCACTTTTTACTAGGGTTCTATTATAATCAGTGGGTCTCAACCCCCTAGGGGGACAGGATCCAGTATAGGAAAAATAGAGCAAAATTCTTTAAAATCCTTTTTTATACGCCCGTCGAAAGATGGACGTAGTATGGTATGGCGCTGTTCGTTCGTCCTTCCGGCATCCCTCGTAAACTTTTATTTGTCTGGAGATCTCCTCCAACATTTTTCAGTCGATCTTTATGAAACTTGGTAGGCTGAATCACCATGATATGAAATTGTGTTTTCCTGAACTGGGTTTTGATTAGACAATTTCAATAAGAGTTATGCCTCTTTGTTTATTTCACTATAGAAATCTTGTCCGGAGATCTCCTCCAACATTTTTCAGCCGATATTTAGGCTTAATCACCATGATATGAAATTGTGTTTTCCTGAACGGGGTTTTGATTAGACGATTTGAATAAGAGTTATGCCCCTTTGCTGTTTTGGATATTCACAGGCGTAATTTGTTTCACTTTGCGGTACTCTTGTTTTGCTGGTAATGTGAGTTTGGTTTGAAGCATGAATGGTTTGGCTGTCCCCGTATAAGGGACAGAGGGTTGGGGCCAAATGGGAATATAGATATGTTATGTGTGCTTGGATATTTAGAATTCCTTTTCCTTTAGTTTTGATGAAGCAATTTCAGCCAAGCAAGCCAGGTGAGCAATACAGGCCCTATGTGCATCTTGTTTACTATTTTAAAAGATTGAATAAAACCAGGAAAAATAAGTATCTTTAAACTATAGCACCACAGAAAGCAATACTCCATCTCATGGTCTTTGTAAGAAATATCTTGTTGCTTCAAGGTTTTGCTAAACCACAAAAACGTGAACAATTAAAATTACAGTTATGTGTTGCTTTCTTGGTTTATTGCAGGGTATATAAGGTTCAGGAATCAAGTTGTGAGATGTTGTTCATAACATGTTTATCCAATGTTACAGTTCTTCGTTTATGCCGAAGACATGGCAGAACCTCCGTTGAGGTCCATCAACATTCCACTTAATATTACCATTGTCAGGAATGATCATTCACCTGTTTTCACCAACTTACCTAACTCTCTCCGCTTGGATGCTGATAACAACATACCTGACACCATCTTTACAGCTATTGCCACAGATGCTGATACCATTGTAAGCCAATATTTATTGTTAGTTTGTTGATTAATCCATCTTTTGTATAGGTACTACATGTAAAACCTTAACTCACCCCCTCTACCTGTTTATCTTTTTTTCAGTGACATGTATTTGATACCCTATCAATAAGAACTTTTAAACACTTAATGAATATCTATATACAGAATATCACTTCAAAGTAATATAATATATTTTGTAAAGACAAACAAATGTTTGATAAATTTGCTTTTGATTTGAAGTGTTAACATTTTCCAGCCCCCATTCAACACGATAACTTACAGCATCATCGGAGATGACAGGGCCGAAAACCTGTTTATTGTTGATTCAACAGGAGGTCAGGTCATTCTGACAGGTGACCTGTCCACTTTCCCAGAAGAATATCTAAAGGTGAGTAAGAACAGCCTTTTGGAAATAACTGAAGTATGTAGGGTTGGAAAAGAAATAACTCTGGATTTGTTACACAGAGAGAGGCACAGCTCCTCAAGGGAGATAATCAGATTGTGTCACATTTTGACTAAAGAGGAATTTAGCCACAATTGATATCTTAATGAATTTTCTATGAAAATGACATATTCTTTGCAAATTTGAATAAGTAATAGAACCATGATGTCTATCAGCCAGTGTAGAAAGAAACATGACTATTTTGTTTTAATGGATATTTCTCAAATGAAGAGATCTACATGTATCTTATACTGGATATTGTTGACTTTGTGACTTTACTCCAAAAGGATCAGTTATGAATGTTGCTATGAATTATGAAAAATAACAACTCTTCCATTGATTAATATCCCACAGATTCGTTTAGTGGCAAGTGATGGCGGCTCTCCTTCCAAGACAGACACTAACATCCTATACGTAAATATTACTCGTAACCTGAATTCACCATCCTTCGCAGTCGCTAGTTATAATGCTGATATTTTGGAGACGGAACCTCTTGCCAGAAGTATACAGAAGGTGACGGCTATTGATGCAGATACTGTGGTATGTATAGTGATCTTAGATATGAGTTTCAGTTTGTACACACTAATTTTCTGAACAATGCTCACTTTCCAGAACAAACTTCTTATACTGAAAGAATAATCCAAATTTAAAAAAGAAAGAAATTAGCATCTGAACAACATTGAATCAGTTTAAGAAAGCTCTTCTTCTTGTTAAACATCTAGCTGGAAGTTGAATACCCATGGTTGAAAATACCATGAGGAACCTCTATCTTTAGTTAGTATATTAGGTACCATATCTGACAATAAACCCTTACCCGATAAGCCCTCATGCTTGTGTTGATGTTTCAGTAGTTTAACAAATACAATTTCTTTGACCTGTAAAAAGCTAACCTGTCTTCTCCTAGTCAGATGTCATGTGTTGAACACTTGTACTCCCTTCTCTATGTGGATGACACCTAGCTTAAAATCCCCTCCTCCGAGTCGGATGCCTTGTATTGAATACTTGGACTTACTGCATATCAATATAACGATGTAACATCACTGATGATTTGTGTTTCAGCCTCCCAATAACAACATAATGTATTCAGTGGTAGGCAATGCCAAGGGATCAGAATATTTCATGGTGGATGAGAACTCCGGAACTATTTTTGTGAAAAAAGATCTTCGAGATGACCCAGATAAAGATGGGTTATATACTGTAAGTACAGAATACAGTTTTACAACATACAGTTTAAACTCGACTCGAAATTCCGTTTGAGTGGAGATAATTTTCAAGTCCCGATTATTCCTTTCTATGTCTTTGTATTTTTAGTTTGAATGATTCTAATTTCATTGAGTCAAAATTTCGGTTGAGTTGTAGTGATTTTTCAGTCCCTTCAGTTAAAAAGCAAAGGAAAAGTCATTTGCTGTCCAAAAATTAATTTCTGTCAAAACATCGGCAAGTCTTCTGACGAAATTGGTCAATACATACACAGAGTAGAAAGTCACTTGTGCGTAACACATGTCTAATTATGGCATATCGGTCCATCGTACACACAACACTTGGTCACTGAAGATTAATTACCAGTTTAATTATCCAATTTAAGGTTGACTTCTTAATTAGTGTCACCATCTTCATTAAAAATAAAAATGAAACTGTCAAACCAGTACAAACTTTTTCACAAAGCTGATCCCCACAATTCCTAAATTTTAGTGTTTGGCCAATGAAGTGCTGAAAGTATTTTTATTGATAAGAGTCTATATCTGTCCATGATTTGTTAAGTCTAGTGCTTGTGCAATGTTTCTGTAACAGGTAAAAACTTTATGTGCCACATTTTTCATATGTTCATCATAAAGTCATATTGATATGATCTGTGGCTTTATACATTGGTTCTTGTAGCATATCAAAAGCAAATTTAAATTTCGTTTTATGTCATTCCTTAAAATATATACGATGTATATGTGCTTGGTCAGCAAGGTTATTGTACGCGTGTGCGGGACGGAACGACGTGGGTACAATTGTATTTGATTGGAGTTGTTATTACATGTTTTGTTATTTGGATGAATAAACAATGAAAGGAGAAAGGAGGATAAATTCATTTATTTATTTACTGCCATTTCAAATATCAGATTAAACTACACTGTTTGCATGTTATCGTAGCCCTACTTTGTTGAGGAAACTGATATTGTCAGCTTTATTTAAACACTTCATTTGAGTCAAAATACAGATAATATTTTCCATGGTCCCTTGAATTTCGAGATAACAAGTTTCGCTGTACTAAATTGTCTCAAAAAAGAATGTTTACAATTATATCAGAAAATATGAATAGAAATCAGTTTCTGGATTGACAATAAATACCTTGGTTTGCTTTTATTCCAGGTCATTGTGGCAGCATCTGACCGTGGAGTGCCATCAAGACCAGCAGCAAACAATGCCACAGTATTTGTGACAGTGCACCGTAACTTAAATGCACCAACCTTTGGAAATCCGAATGCTATTGTGAATGTTAACCGCAATGTTGTTGATAACCAAAACCTTGACAACATTGTTGTAACAGACTCCGACACACGGGTAATTTCATTCATACCATCTGGTCAGCTTGTTTCTAAATCTACGCTTAGTTATGGCAATTCAATCAAAATCCCCTCTGTTAAAACAGTGTGTATAATTTATATTTTTTAAATGTTCCATGAAAATCTTTACAAAATGTAGAAAATATTATTGTTTTTTAGATACAGGAGGGTAACTACAAAAGCAGCAGTTACTTCAGGCACAATACTCATACATAATGGCATATGTGATCTTCACGGTAATTGTGGTCTGAACAGTGCTGCCTTCATAATTAATAGATTTGTGTGTTTTTTTATGCAGGCTCCATTTAATACATTCAGTGTGAGCATGATAGGTGATGGTATTGCAACCTCACTCTTCTATCTTGATCTCAATTCCATCAAAGTGAAATCAGCTGCTGATCTACAGGCTGACTCTGAGGAAACCTACACGGTAACAATTTTATGTATTTACTGTGATTTCATTATTTCAAAGCTAGAATTTTATTGTTGATGCAAATTCTTGGATGTTGACCTGATTGTTCTATAATAATTGTGATAATTCTATTTTACAGTTAAGGCTGTATGCAGAAGATGGAGGCAGTCCCCCACTTACTTCCACTGCTGTGGTCACTGTTAATATAGTGAGAAACCTTTTAAGACCAACATTTGACCAGGCCTTATACAATGTCACAATTTTGGAGACAACTGGAACAGGAGTAAACATTTTCACGGTCTCTGCTACAGATAATGACCCACCGGTAAGCAGCCTTTACTATTTCCTACATTCATCCTTATAAGGTAATGAATACTGATAGTAATACATACACACAGGTTAAACTCAAAACATTTGATTTTGAATTAAAATGTTAAATCTTGTTTACTCCCTAGGTACAAGTAACCGTAAGGTAATGCTGTTACATCTGTGATAGGGTTGGCATTCAATCCCTGGGATAAGTCTTTGTAAGGCTTCTGAGTCCTAAGATAACTGTTTTACACCCCTCTTATTTGATATACACAATCATGGAAGTCTAAGACTGCTGTTACAGCAGTTAAATGCTGATTTTTTTCCTTTTTTTTTCTCTCTCTTATATTTGGTTTCATTTACAATGTTTTGGATCAAACTTTTTCACATCAAAAGTTATTGAAAGGTTTCAAAATGCCAACTAGTTTTATAACTTGTGTCTGTATAGGGCAACAGCAAGGCTGCGAACTGTTATTAAATCAATTATACTATGTTATTTTGCATTGTTCTTTATTTGTATCAAATTTTTTCAGAGGTAAATGAAAAATAGATATTTCTTAGAGAGTTAATAAAATAAAAAAAATTAATTGTTAAGTCTACATTTTTGCTGTTGGAAAAATATATAATTGGTTGACAGTGTTGTTCCATTAGGAGGTTGATGAAAGTGAATCCAGTTGTAGATTTCTATAGTGTATTATAATTATATTTACTGCAGACTGCGAACAACAGGATTGAATATGAACTAACAGGGGACAGCACAGCCACTCAATACTTCTATGTGAATCCATCCTCTGGTGAAGTCAGCTTACTGCAGAGTATTGTTGGAACTGGTGTTAGTCCATTTAGGGTGAGCATCAGAGAGCGCAGTGTATTCTGTTGAGATTACTGTCACTAAAAATCACGTGATTGTTAAACAACTTGACTACTGTTTCTAAAAAGTTGATTCTTTCTCATGACATGCAAACTTTATAAGTAGTGGCTTGGTTAAAATAACCTGAGCAATCAACACTTATTTTTATTGCACATTATCTACCCAGTCTTACTCATTGTTAAAGCATACGTTTGTCTCCTAGCAATGAAAAGTAAAAAAGGAATTGCCTTAGGAGACGTATTTGATTGTTTTTATTCTGTCATTATTGTGTCATACTTTTTTTCATTTTGCAGTTGACCATTACAGCCAATGACAATGGCAATCCACCCCTAAGTACATCTGCAACAGGCTTTGTCTATGTAGAAACAGATCCTACACTACAGTTCAGCCTACCTTCTTATACCAGGACTATTTCAGAGAATACAGCTCTCCAAGCATTTGTAGTGGGAGTCTTAGCCAATCCAGGGGTAGGTCATGATTCAATAATTTGTTTAGTTGTTTTCTAGACAACTTACTCACCATGTATAAATTTAAATGTAATGTTTTTTACATCATAATCTTACACAATTTTTTTGTTTTATTTTACAGCCTGGTATTGTATACTCCATTACTGGACAAAGCGATGCTCCTGACTTCTTTGAAATTGATTCTACCTCAGGAGTAATAACCTTGAAACAACTGTTGACTAACGACGTCATTAAACGGCAGCAGTTTACCGTATGTGCGATATTGTCGAAATGATTTATTGATATCATGTTACTGCAAAATTTCTGCAGTTTTAATCAAACTGTTTCAATGATATTTTTAGATGTTATTACTAATTAAACCATTGTTGAAATATTGGTGTATGAAATATAATGTGAGGTATTCTTTCTACATACTTCAACATCATGAACCAGATGGCTTACAAGGTTTTGGGATTTGACAAACAAACTAGCTTTTGACAGTCATGCTTAGCAGAGCTGATGTTTGACAGGAACGCTAACTTCTGACACTCATGGTTAGCAAGGTGTTGGTATGTTACAAACGAGCTAACTTCTGACACTCATGGTTTTAGCGAAGTGTTGATATTTGATAGGAATGCTTACTTCCTTTTGACAGTCAAGAAAATTTAAACGTCAAGGTGATGATTATCTATAATGTCTAAATTATTCTAAACAGGTGAAAGTTATGGCTACTAAAGTTTTCCCCAATGGCCAACAAACAGCCACAGCAGATGTGATCATTGTCATTACTCGGAATGAAAACCCTCCAATATTCAACCAGTCCTTGTACACTGCTGCTGTGAGTGATCAGATCCAACTGGGATCTGTTGTTGTCCAGCTTTACGCAACAGATCAGGACTCTCAGGTAAATTTTCTATACACTTGTAATTGAGATGAAGGGAAAAAAATGATGGGAGCTTTCCTTAAGGTATTATAATGATACGATAAGGCAGTATAGTGGTATAGTGAGACAATATAGTGGTAATATAAGGCATAATAGTGGAATACTGAGGCGGTATAGTGGTATGATGAGGCAATAAAGTGGTAAGATAAAGAAGTATAGTGAGACAATAAAGTGGTATACTGAGGTAGTATAGTGGTATAATGAGGTAGCATAGTGGTATAATGAGGTGGTATAGTGATATAATGAGGTGGTATAGTGGTATAATGAGGTAGTATAGTGGTATAATGAGGTAGTATAGTGGTATAATGAGGTGGTATAGTGGTATAATGAGGTGGTATAGTGGTATAATGAGGTACTATAGTGGTATAATGAGGTAGTATAGTGGTATACTGAGGTAGTATAGTGGTATAATGAGGTGGTATAGTGGTATAATGAGGTGGTATAGTGGTATAATGAGGTGGTATAGTGGTATAATGAGGTGGTATAGCGGATGGTATAATGAGGTAGTATAGTGGTATAATGAGGTGGTATACTGGTATAATGAGGTAGTATAGTGGTATAATGAGGTGGTATAGTGGTATAATGAGGTAGTATAGTGGTATACTGAGGTAGTATAGTGGTATAATGAGGTAGCATAGTGGTATAATGAGGTGGTATAGTGATATAATGAGGTGGTATAGTGGTATAATGAGGAAGTATAGTGGTATAATGAGGTAGTATAGTGGTATAATGAGGTGGTATAGTGGTATAATGAGGTGGTATAGTGGTATAATGAGGTAGTGGTATAATGAGGTAGTATAGTGGTATACTGAGGTAGTATAGTGGTATAATGAGGTGGTATAGTGGTATAATGAGGTGATATAGTGGTATAATGAGGTGGTATAGTGGAATACTGAGGCGGTATAGTGGTATGATGAGGCAATAAAGTGGTAAGATAAAGAAGTATAGTGAGACAATAAAGTGGTATACTGAGGTAGTATAGTGGTATAATGAGGTAGCATAGTGGTATAATGAGGTGGTATAGTGATATAATGAGGTGGTATAGTGGTATAATGAGGTAGTATAGTGGTATAATGAGGTAGTATAGTGGTATAATGAGGTGGTATAGTGGTATAATGAGGTGGTATAGTGGTATAATGAGGTACTATAGTGGTATAATGAGGTAGTATAGTGGTATACTGAGGTAGTATAGTGGTATAATGAGGTGGTATAGTGGTATAATGAGGTGGTATAGTGGTATAATGAGGTGGTATAATGAGGTGGTATAGTGGTATAATGAGGTGGTATAGTGGATGGTATAATGAGGTAGTATAGTGGTATAATGAGGTGGTATACTGGTATAATGAGGTAGTATAGTGGTATAATGAGGTGGTATAGTGGTATAATGAGGTAGTATAGTGGTATACTGAGGTAGTATAGTGGTATAATGAGGTGGTATAGTGGTATAATGAGGTGGTATAGTGGTATAATGAGGTGGTATAGTGGTATAATGAGGTAGTATAGTGGTATAATGAGGTAGTATAGTGGTATAATGAGGTGGTATAGTGGTATAATGAGGTGGTATAGTGGTATAATGAGGTAGTATAGTGGTATAATGAGGTAGTATAGTGGTATACTGAGGTAGTATAGTGGTATAATGAGGTGGTATAGTGCTATAATGAGGTGGTATAGTGCTATAATGAGGTGATATAGTGGTATAATGAGGTGGTATAGTGGTATAATGAGGTGGTATAGTGGATGGTATAATGAGGTAGTATAGTGGTATAATGAGGTGGTATACTGGTATAATGAGGTAGTATAGTGGTATAATGAGGTGGTATAGTGGTATAATGAGGTAGTATAGTGGTATAATGAGGTAGTATAGTGGTATAATGAGGTGGTATAGTGGTATAATGAGGTGGTATAGTGGTATAATGAGGTAGTAAAGTGGTATAATGAGGTGGTATAATGAGGTAGTATAGTGGTATAATGAGGTGGTATAGTGGTATAATGAGGTGGTATAGTGGTATAATGAGGTACTATAGTGGTATAATGAGGTGGTATATTGGTGTAATGAAGTGGTATAGTGGTATAATGAGGTGGTATAGTGGTATAATGAGGTGGTATAGTGGGTGGTATAATGAGGTAGTATAGTGGTATAATGAGGTAGTATAGTGCTATAATGAAGTGGTATAGTGGTATAATGAGGTAGTAAAGTGGTATAATGAGGTGGTATAGTGGTATAATGAGGTGGTATAGTGGGTGGTATAATGAGGTAGTAAAGTGGTATAATGAGGTGGTATAGTGGTATAATGAAGTGGTATAGTGGTATAATGAGGTAGTAAAGTGGTATAATGAGCTGTTAAAGTGGTATAATGAGGTGGTATAGTGGTATAATGAGGTGGTATAGTGGTATAATGAGGTAGTAAAGTGGTATAATGAGGTGGTATAGTGGTATAATGAGGTGGTATAGTGGGTGGTATAATGAGGTAGTAAAGTGGTATAATGAGGTGGTATAGTGGTATAATGAAGTGGTATAGTGGTATAATGAGGTAGTAAAGTGGTATAATGAGCTGTTAAAGTGGTATAATGAGGTGGTATAGTGGTATAATGAGGTGGTATAGTGGTATAATGAGCTGTTAAAGTGGTATAATGAGGTGGTATAGTGGTATAATGAGGTGGTATAGTGGTATAATGAGCTGTTAAAGTGGTATGTAAATATTGATAGTGCACTGATATATCCTTTTCATTTGTTGCAGGATGTACTGAGTTACAGTATGGTTAACCCGACATCTGTGATATCAGATCTATTTTACCTTGGACCAGCAACTGGAACCATCAGACTTAAAAATTTGCTCTCTTCAAACAACTTGGCCGAGTTTAATGTTAGTAACCTAATGCAATTATACATTGATGCTTTCTCTTTCACTTTTGTTATCAAAGTCTTATATTTGATTGGTTTTTTTTATTTTAAACATTGGAATACCTGTCCATTTATCAAGTGCCTTGTAGATATGGCATTTACCTAAATAAACATAGAAAGCTGATGCTGGTGATGAAGAAAGTTAATGGTTACATGGTCCATTATATATGATGTTAAATCAGAATCTGTCTGAGTGATTTCTTGTTTCTGTCTTAAACATTGCTTCCTTTGTTTGAAAAGTAATGTTCCCCAAAATGATGAAAAAACAATACAGAATGTCTTCAAAAATTTGAAGAAAGCATTGCAATTTTTACTTAATTTTTTAAAACAAAGGTTAGAAAAGAAATGCTGAGTTTGAGCCAATAATACCACAGAGAAATAACACAGTATTCCTCTTTACAATGAAAATACACTGGTAAAGATTTAAAAATGAAAATTTACAAATTTGAAGTTAATATCATTGACTCTATCATTGAATTTATGAGAATATTTGGAATGGAAAAAAAATTGATATATGTTAGATATGTATGTTGTTGTAGTAGGTATTTTATTGACTTGATGTTTCCTATTGTAGTTCGTAGTTCGTGTGAGTGATCAATCTAACCCTGAGAAGACCGACGATGCTAATGTACAAATCACAGTATCAAGGAACAACTTATCACCTGCTTTTGTTAGCCCGCCCTTCAGTACAGGCATCAACTTCGACCAAAGTCTAGGCAACTCATTCTACACTGTACAGGCCAACGACAATGACCTGAAGGTAAAACTGACAGCAAATTCAATGAACATTCACATATCTTTATGAATAGAACCATATGTATAGTTGTATCTCATGACTGGAAAGGGATATTTCTATAAGTGTATCACATGATCAGACAAGATATCTCTATAGGTGCATCACATGATTTGATTGGATACCTGCATATGTGTAGCTTGTGACCATATTAGAATACCTGTATATGTGTAGAATGTTACCTCCGAGGTACCTGTATATGTGAAGTATGATGTGACCTACGAGGTACCTGTACATGTTAAGTATGATGTGACCTACTAGGTATCTGTATATGTTTAGTATGTTACTTACTAGGTACCTGTATATGTGTAGTATGTTACCTACTGGGTATCTGTATATGTGAAGTAAGTTGCCTACTAGGTATCTGTATATGTGTAGTATGTTACCTACTGGGTATCTGTATATGTGCAGTATGTGACCTACTGGGTATCTGTATATGTGTAGTATGATGTGACCTACTAGGTATCTGTATACGTGTAGTATGATGTGACCTATTAGGTATCTATATATGTGTAGTATGTTACCTACTAGGTATCTGTATATGTGTAGTATGTTACCTACTAGGTATCTGTATATGTGCAGTATGTGACCTACTAGGTATCTGTGTAAGTATGACCTATCTAGAATGCCTGTGTTTATGTTTACAAACCAAAACATGAGTTCTGTTTATTCATTTCAGGGTACCATGACATATGCCATCACTGGTTACTACTCTGGACCACAGTTTTTCGAAATTGGACCCACATCTGGATCTATAAGTCTATTTTCCAGTATTGAGCAGGATACTTCCTCATCATATACAGTAAGCAATATGTTATAAAGTATGAAATAATATTAATAAACACTCTATTGAATTCCCTTAAAGACCATTAATAAATAGGCCATGTATTGTCTCTATTAGCCCATGAGAAAGCCCTCTATAGTCTTAATCGACTCACAGGTAAGCCTTCCATAGTCTTTATTTGCCATCAAGTAAGCCATTTAATAGTCTCTTTTAGTCTACAGGTAAGCCCTTTATAGTATGTAGCCACTGATAAGCCCTTTGTAGTCTCTACTTAGCCCACAGATAATTCCTGTATAGTCTCTATAAGCTCACAGGAATGCCTTGTATACGGTAAGTTTTTTTTTGGATATACATAGTATAAAAAAAATCAATACATTTCATTTTGTAGATGAAAAGCTGAATTTATTGTAATTTGTCAATTTACTACACAAGTTTTAAACAAAAAAACATAAAAGAAAAATGATGATATATTTGACAGCTTGGCCTGATTGCCTATGATAGCCTCTACCCTGCTGATACAGCCAGCACAAATATCACCATTTCAATCAACCGCAACCCGAATGGTCCTAGCTTTACCAGGTCCAGTTATATTCGAGAGATCAGTGAGGAGTATGCTGTTGGAATCAGCCTAATTCAGCTAGAGGCTTCTGATGCTGATGGAGTAAGTATAGTATTTGGTGCCCCAGTTTTCTCTTAAGTAGTAAAGATTATTTTCAATCAAACCCTATTTTGCTTTGACTTTTTCTTTTTTGATATCCACGAAGGATAAATGCACTTTCTGACAACAATTACCAGGATAAAACATCAGCATGTCGTACCATTTATAAACAACTGTGTCTATTGTTTTCATTCCAGCATGCCTTGACTTACACAATTTCTTCTGCGACATCAGACGGAAATGACTTCTTCCAGGTTGACCAATACACTGGTCTTGTTACAGTGAAGAAACCACTGACTGAGTCAGTCAGCAACAACTATCAGGTATGTGTAAAGTTCTGGTTGTGAAAAGAAATGTTGAAAACAGGGGAAGCGACCTGGCCGGAATGTTGCAGTTCTAGTAGAAATTCACTTTGAAATGTCAAACATGTTTAATTTGAAATAAATAGAAGTGATTTTCCTGTACAAATATGAGAGTTTACACACATTATTTTCATCCTTAATAATAATTCAAACACTAATATAAAATGATAAAGCAGGAGGTTTTTTAGTGTCTTGCAAAAAGTCTTAAGTTTTTCCGTCTGTTGCAGATCACCTTCAGTATCCGGGATGATGGTTCCCCGTCAAATTTTGGCACCAATTTTGCCACTGGCTCAATAAGTATCCTGAGAAATCTCAATTCTCCTCTGTTTGCTGGCAATTACTTGAGATCTGTGAATGAAAATGCTACTATAGGAACAAGTATAGTTAGAGTTTTGGCAACAGATGGAGATACCAATGTAAGTCTTGATTTTTCTTTCACTTGATAATAGAAATGATTGGAAAAAAACACTGTATTTGAGACATTTTAAACGAATATCCTAAGAAATTGTAACAAAAAGCAAAAAAACAATTGAATTTAATAATTTACCATAGCTTCTGTATGTACCTGTTGATGGCGACCAGATTCATCTATAAGAGTTCAGAAAAATTGATGGGAAAACTCATTTAATTTTCTGTGCTATACAAATATACTACTTCGTGTTTTAGCCACCAGAATTTGGCCGTGTGACTTACTCATTGATTGGGGATGATAACTTTGGTTCACTTTTCCGTCTCAACTCAACAACCGGAGAAATAACCACAATAAGTGCGCTGAACCTTGTCAATGTGCCGTCTTATCAGGTAAAATTTCATCATTTCCTTTGCTTGTTTGTTGGAGACATAATTCCTATTTACTGTTAAATGAAGTCAATATCATGATGAACAATTAACTTTTCAGAATATTCACCTTTTAAACAATTCAACATTTAAATCTTATAAACAATACATTGTTTAGGATCTTCATTTTATGTTTGTATATGACTTCAGGGCCGTGTTGTTGCTAACGATGGTGGTTCCCCACCCAGAAGTGCAACAGCTCTCATCGTCATCGAAGTGAATCGTAATCTCCATCGTCCTATTATTCCATCATCAACTTACAGTCAAGGAACGCTCGAGACACATGGCATTGATGTGATTGCCATTCCAGCAACAGATGCTGATACTTTTGTAAGTAATCAAATGGATGACATGTGTTATTGCAACTCCAACAGTCAGGGTAGGAGGTGATGCTGAGATCAGAATGTAGGTTACATGTCTGTTTGACTTTCCATCTGTCTGTCAATACAAGTTTGTCTTATGCAATACCATTTACCCTCTGTATGAATCTTGGTTCACACATTACACTAGTTGACTGTGCAATTATGGTTAATTTTTTAAATTTTCTTTGTGTTTTTTTAAAAACCCATACTGGACGAGATAAAACATTATAAACATAATCAGCTAAGCTGTACTGTGTTTTTCTTTCCTGATTTACAAATTGGACAGTTCCTGGCTGATATTTAAGAGGCAAATATATAGTAGCAGAGTTTCTCACTGAAGAATGATGAAGTTGTTCTTAAATCATGTTTGTTAAAATGTATTTTATAATATGAATTGATGTAGAAATGTTGTGAAAATTTTATTGATATGATATTGTGATAAATTTTTATTCCTAAAGTTTATGTAAAACATCAATGTGACATAATAATGAATTAGTGATAAACTTTTTTTATTTAAATTGGATCTGAGAAACAAAAAATGATGAAAAGGTTATAACTTTTTTTTGCAGGCTCCATTTAACACTATTACATTTGACATGACTGAAGTGAGCGGAACCAGCCTGACCTATTTCCAGATAGACCAATCTTCAGGTATCATCAGCGTTCGCACTCCACTCTACCTGGACAGTTCAGATAACAGGAACTATATTGTGAGTAAAGACTGATCCAAAATAAAAACAGAAGATATTTGGTTAACTTAAGGAATGTTAATTATTTTCAAAACAAGTGAATTAAAGAGAACACTGGATTTTAACCTTAGTTTCATCTTAGAATCTATTGATTTGGTTCCAACTGTTACATTTATTATCCTTTTTTTTATATCTGGGCAAGTTAAAAAATTATAAGAATAATTCTTACTTTGCACAAACCTCATGACCTGTGTTTGTAGCTTGCATTTAAAGTGATTTGACTACATGATCTATTACTGAGTTTCGATAAAATGATTTTGAGTCTTGATACATTTGAGTTTGTTTCCTTTATTTTTATATAATAATTTATATGATGGAAATGGTATAGTAAGATCGACAAGGTCTGGATGACATTTGTCCCAGAAATGTAACGTGTTGGAAGTAAAGATAAACTTTGCTATAGAAGTATATCCCTTTGTCTCCTGTTTATAGATGCAAGTGACAGCAAGAGATGGAGGAGATCCGAGTCTGCAATCAGTGACCACGGCAACTGTAACCATTACAGTACAGAGAAATGTAAACCGCCCTGTCTGCCTAGGTGAACCCTATTCAACCTCCATCAGCTACAGGACTCTGGCAGGAGCCACTGTCTTCCCAGGGGTCAATGTAACAGATGCAGATACTAATGTAAGTAGCCCTCCAAAAGAAAGAAATTTACCAATTGAGAAAGATTACTTTGTCATTTTGAAGGATTCTCCTTTTTGTAAACAGTTGTTTGATTCTGTTGTTCTTTGTTTTCTAGGTTCAATTCAATACTATAACATATAGCATAGTTGGTGACTTGGATGCACAGACATTGTTCCAGATCAACTCCGATGGGTTGATCAGTGCAAGATTACCACTATCAGCTGCCACCTTGAATGAGTATAAGGTACCAGCATCATTTTATACCTTTGTATATATCATGAATACTATACAAATAAACTCACAAAACAAACTCTTTTTGGTTTTTACCAATAGTATTGGAATAAGGAGTTTGTGCCAATAATTTAGGAACTAGAGTCCGTACAAAATTTAAAAGATCTAGGCTTTGTACTGATCACATTGTAAGTACTTGTGTAATCATTTAAGTATTACATGGGATAGCTATTTTGAAAAATCTAATTAGTAATTAATCATAATGAAAAGGAACATACGTGTGTCATAATTAGTAGTTGTGAAATGCTTCAGATAACGGCTTTGTGTTTTTATTGTACCTTAATTTGTGTGCATTACAGGTCCAGGTACAGGCTGTAGATGGAGGTTTCCCACAGCAGTACACCATCTGTACGGTTTCAGTTACCATCACACGGAATCTGATCATTCCAAGGTTTACCACATTTGATGCCACTATTACTATTTTGGAGAGTCAGTCCCTGGGAGTTAACATCTACAATTTCCCAGCATTGGACACAGACGAACAGGTGAGTTTCACATTTTCATATATGATATCACAAGGTTGTCTAAAGAGTTGAAATTATCATTGTATTGAGAACAAACATTGAAAAGTTATTTCAAAAAGCCTGTTTTCAAGTTTTTTTTTTATATATTGACATAACAATCATGTTTGTGCAGTATTGAATTATCAATTTTTTTTTCCAATTTCAAATGAGACTTGAGGAAGGTTTCATTTGTTCCATATGAAGTAATCTACTTATTTGAAAAATTCAATGATAAAGGAACAATTATTTTTGTTGGCCGGGATGCACATGGTGCAAATGCGGGTTATAGTATGGTGAATGTCGGGTGGGCGGGGAAAAGGGGTACCAGTTTTGTAGAATCAACTCCTAGATGTTTTGACGTAGAAGCTTGGAACTTTGTAGGATGTTTATATATATGTTGAAGATGTGCACCTCGTATTATGGATTCCTTCCGGACATTTTTCTTGATTTTCCGTGCTTTGGAACTCGGTCATTTTCAAAAGTCTGGCGTGGAAAATCCAAGATGGCAGCCTTTGCCTCTCATTTTTGAGATGATGTTTTGAGCACGATAGCCTCTCATTGGCTGAAACGTTGTTTTGAGAACGATATATAACATTGCACTCATCCCGCAACTCGGTCAATTGTGTGCCTCATTTTTTCTGTATGTGAATTATATTTTCAAATGTAAGCACATAATTAAGGCTGACAAATGGCCGGCTGTGTATCGTTTTGTTGGATCCAAATAATCATCCTAAGAAATACTTTTTAGTAATTATTTTAATAAAGGTCAAAGTCATCAAGGTAATCATATTTGGTTTTAATTATTTTATTTTGTGGAGTTACTCATGATATTCTTGATCAGAGTATTGACAATAGGACTTTCTTTTATACTCCAGTCCCCATACAATGAGATGTCCTTCATTCTGGCTGGAGATGCTGACATCAACACTTACTTTGCTGTTAATGAACCAGGTGATAACCTGTATGTGAAGAGTTCCCTTGTTGATCAACCTAAAGACACTTTTACTGTAAGTAGGATCTGTGAATCCCTTTACTTACCTCTTTATGATCTCATTCCATCTAACATGCAAAATTAAAACAGAAAAGTTCATTTATTGACAATATTTGATTACATCATTGAATTAAAGCATCAAACAGAACCAGTGATAAAATCCCTTTGCATAGAATTCCCCCTCCCCACAGCTATATAATATTCATCCTTGTCAGCAACATCTTTCCTTAAGGGATTCTAATTAAACTTCACACACTTACAAAATATTATAAAATATATTATAATATCTTAAATGAATTTGAGTGTAAGAGATGTAGGGTCAAGGTCAATGTTGCCAAAACTTTTTTTTTGATAAAATTCTTGTTTGAGCTCAAGCAGCATTTTTTGAAAGAGTTTTTTTTTAAACAAAATCACACTGTTATGAAATACTATAACTTCTCTGACAGGTTGGAGTTTTCTGACAATTGGCCACCTTCTTTGTTGTGCTTAAATCAAGGTGAAACCACAAGGGGATTAATTCTGTATTGTTTGTGATGACTTGTAGTAGCCCCCAAACCACAAATTTATAGGCTCATGAATACCTGAAGAATTTGACAGGAATTTTTGTATGAGTTGACTTTGTGAGTAGTTTTTTTGCACAAAGTTAAGCGCCCATTTATAATAATTGATTGAAGAACTACAAAATTTGAGCTTTTGAAAAAATTTGGTAATTTTATAGTATAAAGTTGGCTGACCTTTATGTTTGGATATTCAGGCTGTTGTCACTGTGACTGATGGAGGTGGCTTTGTTGGTCAAAATACCTTGACTCTCACCATCAACATCCTGCGTAATGACTTTACTCCCTACTTCACTTCTGATTCATATGTGGCTGATTTACAACAAAGTGTGCAGGTGGGCGATCTGTTGTTCACAGTGACTGGAGCAGACAGCGACTCCGTTAAACCACCGGTAAGTCAAAACGGGAAACATTTACCAGCTGAGTTTAAAATGTTAATTTCTTTCATTTTCATTTCTTTTTTTTTTTCCATTTTTTATTTTGTTGGTTTTTTTTTTTTTGTTTTTTTAGTTTTTTTTTGTAGGTTTTTGTTAGGTGTTTTTTTTCCCATTTAACAGCAACAAAAAACTCCCCAAAAAACAAAGAAATTACAAAATAACCACATTTTGATATATTTTTGAAATGCCACATGATTTTAAGAAATGGTTAAGCAAGCTACAATGTGAGGTTTATACAAAAATGACTGTGTTATTGTTAACAGCTTGCATCCCCATACTACACACTGAAGTACTCTATCCTTGGGGATGACGATGCACCATCTTTCTTCGACATTGGAGAGAGCAGTGGCCAAGTAACAGTAAAGTCTGTACTGACTTCAACCAGCTCCACTGAGTTCAATGTAAGTGGGTTCACAAAAATAATTTCAGTTTTGGGGAATTATCTGGGCCCGTTAATGTGTCCAGTTTGCAATAGAAGTTTTCTAATGCATAGTTTCCGAAATTTGCAGTTTATTCTTGAACTTATTTTTTCCGAAGTGATGACTTTCATTTGCAAAGTGAAAGCAAAATTCCATGTGCGAAAAAAATATCATGAAGAGATAATGTATGTATATGTATTAAGAATGAAAATTTTATTGTTGATATAAGTTTCTGTTGCTGATGTTAGATTTAATATTTATCATTGCTTCCATAGTTACGCATCCAAGTATCCGATCAGGGTCAACCACCTCGTACCAATACAACTTTGGCAAGAGTTGCTGTACGGAACAACTTCCAACGTCCTTTGTTCAATGAAACATCATACTATCGCAGGATTAAGGAAACAAATGTTCTAGGTGAAACCATATTGCGTGTGTATGCTCCAGATCAAGATCTTTTGGTAAGTCCATGAAACTTTAACAAAAATTGATCCAGTTTTACCATACATATTGATGTAAGCTTTTGTATATCTTTGGTTTCTGTAAAATCATATATTTTCATATGGATTGATTTTCATGATTAAAAAAAAACTGTTTAGTGGACTCCTGGTTCCCCAGATAAATACAGTGGTATACCTCAATATATCTTATTATATTTAATGTAAACAGTTTTTAGACATATGACTTTGTGGATTGAGAGTATTCATGAAATCATAGAAAATGAAATCTACTTCAGAATCGATCATTTTACAGTATACTTTGTACTGCACCACTTTTGTTTGTAATTTACGTTGAACAAGTGGTTGGTCAACATTTCATATGTAAAATGGAAATAAATCAGAATGGACCTGCGAATGTTATTATACGGCTAGAAAATGTTTTAAAAGGCTTATCAGAAATTAAGATTGATCAGTAGGTAAAGACATGTTACTTTAACAAACTAAACTGATTTAGTTGGTCAAAGTGATTAACAAAATTGGCCGATTTACCTTTTTCTGATTGGTCATTTTGATCATACTTTGTGACATGACATAACTTGTAGAGATTGAAGCTAAACATTGCTTATGGTCTTAATGATGGTTTGTCTGAAAAATGGATACTTGACAAAATGTCTCCGGTACATTTATCTTCCCCTGAGATTCTTGAAATTGTGAATTAAAAACTTTGATGTCATTATTAACGACAGCCTGGCCACGAATTTAATATACAAACATAGATGTTGACTGCTTTGTGTAACAGGCCCCAAACAATGTGGTGGAGTACAGTATAACAGCTGGACCAGAGGACCAACAATGTTTCTTTATCAACTCTGTGACTGGCGATATCGCCCTCCGTCAATCACTCCTTACCTCAAGTTGCCAGACTATCAACAAGTTTGAGGTAATCAAATATTTCAATTGACATTTGGCTTTTTAATGAATATCTTGTGAAATAATAAAATGTTTACTTTTAAAATACTGTGTTTAAAGAGATTTTGATTTGAGAAATTTAACATATTTCAGTCATAAATTTTCACACCTTTAATGATGAATTGTTAAATTTCATTAACTTACATTTAGTTGTATTATATTTGCAGCTGATTTCAATTCTTCTGGTTATTTTCATTTTGGTTTTCTCTCCAAATCATGGCTTTGGAAATTTTTCAGAAATGGAAACAAGGAAAAGGTGATCTGCCATTTTCATTGATTGACTTATCAATATTTTTTCTATTGACAGATGACTGTTCAAGCTAAAGACCAAGGTACCCCATCCTTTGATAGTAGTGTTCTGGTAACAATAGATGTGGATCGTAACCAGAACCCGCCAGTCTTTGATAACTTACCCTTTGAAATAACTCCTGGAATCAGTGAGAGCATCAATGCTGGCGATGTGGTGTATGATGTGGACGCATCAGATGCAGATTTTGTTGTAAGTGATTACTATTTTGCTAAAATCTTTATCCAGTGATTCCAGATCACGAACTACTCTGATAATCACATTGTGCATTTGATTAGTTCTATCAGTCTCCATTTTGACTTTTATCATTTCAGGCTCCATTCAATACAATTACCTATACACTGATTGGAGATGACACAGGGCCACAGTACTTCTCCATCGATTCTTCCACTGGTGTGGTCACAGTGAGACAACAGATCCTTAATACACAGGAAACATCCTACAGGGTAACCAGTGTTTTTGTGCTCTTAACAAATCTCTCTTTGCTTATCATAGCAATGATGTATGTGTTTTTTTTTATAATTATACAAGGATTATAGATATGAAATTTATAATGTAGGGTCATTAGGTTGGCATTAAAAATACTCCTGAATACTTCAAACAGGCCTAAGAAATATCTCGGAAGCAAAGTCTGGTTAATTGGTTAATTAGACAAAGTAGTACAAATATATAACATTTTACAATTATATGTTCAATTGATGGCATTGGAGAATTTATTTTACATCAGGCAGACATATTTTACATGACATAGACCTCCCAAATCTCTTAAGGTCACTAAGTTTTTCTGAGATGAATGGAATTTTTTTTTTAACAGCTTCGTATTGTTGCTGAGGATGGAGGGTCACCTGCTAAGTTCGCACAAAGCACTCTTCTTATCAACGTTAGACGGAACCTCCGTAACCCAGTTTTTGCATCCACCAGCTATGAAGTGACCATTCTTGAAACTCATCCTTATGGTAACATAGTGGAAACTGTTAACGCTACTGACAGCGATAGCAAGGTTAGCAAATAGTGAAGTGTGATATATTGCAATACATTATTTATGATATGTAGTTCAAGGGTTGCCTTCGAGAAATTCTCAGAAAGTGAGTTTTGTTGGATTTTTCATGTATTTGAAAACTAGCCCAAGTGTTGTTACTACCTCTCTATACTTTATTTTGGTTCATATGTGAAAAAAAATCAAATGCCACTTGAAGACTGAGCTAGACTATCATAAAATGTCTTGAATTATTGCAGAAATAATGTGCAATTGTTACAAATAGGATCAATAGTTCTAGCTGTGATTTTTTTTCTTTTCTTTTTATTATTACAAATGTAAGCAATGTAAGCAGTCTTGGGAAATGACGTAGACTGTAATATAAATCTTCAAGATGACAAATAGAAGGGATGCTGCATAAACCTAAGTGTTTTCCATCAATATTTCACCCCTATAGTCAGAGCCACCTAATACCTCACTTCAAGGAAATATTTTGAGAATGTTTATGGCAAATGATTAGATTACTGATGATCTCTCATTACAGGCACCACATAACCAGCTGACTTACACGATCACATCCTCCAGCCTAGCCCAACAGTACTTCCAGATCAATTCGCAGGGTCAGATCACGATCCAACGATCGCTCATTGATGACACTGCTGACACCAGCATTTACATTGTACGTATTAGTATCAAGTTTTTTGTTTTTATCCCACAGCCCGAAAGGGTGTGAGGTATTGCGATCATGCACGGCATCCGTCTGTTTGTCCGTCAGTCTGTCCTGCCGTCTGTCCACAATTGCATTCTGCTCATTATCTCAAGAACGACATTACCGGCGATCACCATTTTCACTGGGCATATTGGGTCTATGGACCTACACAACCCTATTGTTTTTTGTCGTGGCCCGATATCCAATATGGTGGCTACGTCCGCCATTTTGAATTTGCATTCTGCTCATTATCTCTAGAACGACATCACTGGCGATCACCATTTTCGCTGGGCATGTTGGGTCTATGGACCTACACAGCCTATTGAGGTTCTTCACAATCTCAGCCCTGCACCCAGCTTGATAATAAGGCTGAGGAGTATTGCCCGCGTTTGCGGAGCTATTTTCTTGACTGTGATTATTTATTATTTTGACTACAGCCAGTTTGAAAAATATGATGCATGAAATTTAGTAAATAAATTTGCACACAATTATCAAAATATTTGGATATGAGTTCGCTTTCAAGTTGGTGTACTAATTGTAATACACTGTGACTGCTTTATATTCTAACTGAATTTGTCCTGCAATGAACTCGTAGGGCATTAGTTATCACTACAAGTAGATATAGATATGCTTATTATCAAACCTGGGATTATTGTTGGGTAAGTTCAGTGATATCTTACAGTTTGATTTATGTCTCTGATTAAGGAATTTCATTGTAACTTTAAGTGAAAAATGCATATCTTTTCTTTTGATAAAGTATTTTCCCCTTACATCATCATTGTGAACATTGAATTAAATGATATTTTGTTTTCAGTTGACTGTGATGGCTCAGGACCAGGGAGTACCACCGTTATCCAGTCTTGCTTCAGCCACGGTTCGGGTTAATGTTATTAGAAATGAGAATTGTCCAGTTTTTCAGAATACACAGAAATCTGTAGACATTTCTCAGAGTCGGGCAGCACAGATAATTTTGGATGTGAATGCGACAGATGCAGACTCAGTGAGTAAACTTACCTGGTACATGTAGTTCGCGAGGTAATGAAGTCACTATACAGTGTTGACAGTTATATTGTACTCCTAACCAAACACTATCAATGAAAAAAATTGTACATATAATTCATTCTTAATCAAATTGAACTTATTGAAACTACATAAGGCCAAGTTTTTGCATTTGTCGGTGAACTTGAACAAATTAACATTGATCTGTCAATATCAAAATTGTTTACAAAGTTAATAAGGTCAGAAAAGCCTTACTTACAGTCAAATTGTAAATAAATAACTAAGGCATGCACTAGGTTTGCACAAAATCAATAAAAACAAGAAAAACACTAAGTTTTGAAACATAGAATTTTTTTATTTATTTTGAAAATAGATGATTAAACTTGTCTCTTCACTCTATAAATTCATCAAAACAAGATTAAATCCTCTGAAAAGTTACGTTGAATTTTCTATTGCACAGTCTGCAGAGTTTAGTCGTATCGAATACAGACTGATCGGTGATGCTCCAGCTACCTCTTTCTTTGCCATTAATGAAGTATCTGGAGCAGTAACAACCAATGTCAACTTATACAATGATAATGGAATTGTCTATCAGGTACGTAGACAAAGAATCAATATTTCTCCTGTTGTCGTGAAATATTTATTTTATTTTGTTTTATTTACAAAAATTGCAAACAATATTGAAGCTTACAATATTAATGAAAAAAAAAATGGAAGGTGTTTTTTGGCAATTTTTTATGTATCAATAACCACCTGGTAATGTGTTTTCTTTAAATAGCAACTTAATTGATTTGTCAAAACAAAAGATTTAAGAAGTAAATATAATCATGTAGTGTGTATTTAGTTCTGACTCATTGTTAACTTTTGTTAAGCTGAGAGTACTGGCCAGGGACGGTGGAACCCCACCCTGTGAAATCACCGATGTATACATTGTCAATGTGAACAGGAACTTGAATACTCCTGTTTGGGTAAATACGCAAAGTCCAAACTACTACGAATTCACCATCTTAGAGACTCAGCCTGTGTCTGTGCCTTTCTCCACCGTGTCTGCTACGGATAGTGATGAAAAGGTAGGTATAAATCCTAACTGTTAAAGGTGCAGAGTCAATTAACTCAACTTTATATCTTGATAAGAATAAGATGTGCTTTGCAGTTGTTTTTTTTTTTTTTTTAACAAATGATGTATTCCTATCAGTTTTGTTATGCTGATTATTTCGGACCAGTTTTATTTGCAATCACCTTCATCCTGCATCATGCGTCTATAAATAACTCAATATTTTCAACTTCTCAAAAACCCCTGATCAAATTTCAATGAAATTTTGCAGAAACCTTTCCTGGCCTAACACGAACCAAAATTGTGAATTATACAGTCCCCACCCAATAGGAGCTGATAGGTGGGGCCAAAAGAGGTCAAATTGACTCTGATTTCAAAAATCTTCTTCTGGAGACCCAGATATGGTAGAATCAAGAACTCTTCATGAATGGAAGCAACTTAAGATGCTTTACCAAAATTGTGAATTTCATAGCCCCAGGGTCTCAAATTTCCCTATGAGGAGGGGGTAAAGTTTACTAAAGTTTATATAGGATGCTTCCATGTCTGTGGAATGCATGTAGAATGGATATACACAGAGCATTGATGACTTGTCAGTTTAGTTCATTTTACCTGTCCATCTTTACAGGCCCCTCATAACGAGGTCACCTATGAGTTCACCACCAACACCGATATATTCAGAGTTGATGCCAATGGACAGGTTTTCCTGCGCTCGAGTCTCATCCTAGGCACTGTGGAACAATATACAGTGAGTACATTATACTTATTAGCGCACTGGCTAATCTTCGTATCCATTAAAGTGTTAATACTTGGTGTTGCAGCTTACTCTCAAGTTTCCAATGAAATATTCAATCAATATTCATTTGAATCAGGTGTTGTTTAGTTTTAAATCCAAATATTTAAGCAATATTCAACCATCAATCAATATCAATTTGAATCAGGTATTACTTGGTATCAAACCCAAATATTCAATGACTATTCATTATCAATCAGTAATCAATCGGACTTATTATTGATAAATCTTTGTATTCAGTCTGTTGCTAACTGTGATTTGAATGAATTACAGATTAAGATGCTTGCATATGACAAAGGTACACCAACACGTTCATCAAGTGTTGAAGGAACCTTGGTTGTCAATGTAGTTCGTAACAAGTACACTCCAGAATTCATCGATCTCCCCAATGTTATCAGTGTTAATCAGAATGTGACAACCTCCACGGTAGTGTACACCATTGGATCCAGAGATAACGATACTAATGTAAGTACTGCAGTGAGTAGTTGTAGTAAAGAACAATGACTTCAGAACTCTTTGTTTGTTTACTTATCTGGCATGGGGCCTGTTTGTTTAAGTGTATAAGCCAGCGTGTTGGCACCATAAATGTAACATTTCAGGCTTGACAAACCTGTAGATATTGATATAAACACTGAAATCATTATTTGAAGCTTACAAGAATACAAATCTAAAAAAACACTGGTGAAAATACCTCATACTCTTTAGATTGAGAATAGCTCCACACTGTTTTTGGCGAGAATACCTCATACTCTTTAGATTGAGAATAGCTCCACACTGTTTATGGCGAGAATACCTCATACTCTTTAGATTGAGAATAGCTCCACACTGTTTATGGCGAGAATACCTCATACTGCTTATTATGAGAATAGCCCACACTGTTTTTGGCAAGAATACCTCATACTGTTTATTGTGAGAATAGCCCCCACTGTTTATGGCAAGAATACCTCATACTGTTTATTGTGAGAATAGCCCCCACTGTTTATGGCAAGAATACCTCATACTGTTTATTGTGAGAGTGGCCCACACTGTTTTAGCAAGAATACCTCATACTGCATAGTGTGAGAGTGGCCCCCACTGTTTTTAGCAAGAATACCTCATACTGCTTAGATTGAAAATAGCCCCCACTGTTTTTAGCAAGATAACCCCATACTGTTTAATTGGAGCTTATCACAATTAAGTTGAGACCTCACCTTGTTTTTAGTTGATGTCTTCTGGTATTTAATTTAGACATTGCCTGTTTGATATGTCAAGTTGTTTAAGTTCTTCTTATAATACATATGTTTTCTATTCCAGTCACCATTTAACCAAATTGAATATCGTGTCCTTGGTGACAGTGCTGCCCCTTCGTATTTCAATGTTTTGAGCCCATCTGGACAAGTGATAGTGTCAAACTCCATTGACACTGACACAACCAATGTCTACTTGGTAAGTTCCTTTAATTTCACAACTATATTACTTTATATATTAACGTATACAATGGTACCTTATGCATAGCTGTATACTTGGTATGTCTAATTGCTCAATACTTTTCCTGTATCTTAAAACCTTCACCAACATTGTATGTCATTTTTTTTAAGTGTTCAAGATCAAATTATTACATTTTATTATTCTTACCTTCACTTTTTTAAATAGCAAATATCTCAAGAAATGTCAATGTCTTGTAATAGCATTTCTTTGTTTGTATTATTGAATATTGATACATTCATCGAGTAAGGTGAAAAAATTGATTACTTGAAGTAGAATCACATGGAGTAGAAAGAGTATATTTTTCATCATTGAAAAAATATCAGAGTTTCCATCACATGATCAAATACAACTTTTAATCATCAAGAAGCAAAGAATGTTTTATTTATATCAATCTTTTTTTACATCTTTCATTGATACCAGTTTGAATTTCCCACAGTCTTTATCTGAAGTACATGTTCTGTTATCATAATTCCATAGGATATGTAGTTTCACTTCACAGATCTGCAAAATATTTAAGAATGAGTATGTTAATATGAATATAAAAAAGTCTTAATGATTTAATTAGTATTTACCAGGATCAATACAGTAAACAAGGTTCCTCCCGTTCCATAGGACTTTCTTTATCAGTAATGCAGTGCACTTGGAAAGAATTGATATGTTCACTGCAAATGCTTTGATATGCTTGTGACTTTCACTTAGTGAATATTACTTACATTCTTACCTATGTTTCACTTTAAAAAATGCTATAAGTTTTTTGTTTAAACTTTGATGGTGAACAGAATAGTTCAGAAAATATTTTTTTTACTTCAATAGCTACGTGTACGTATTTTGGATGGAGGCACTCCACAAAAATTTGCTGATGAGGTCCTCACAATTGTTGTGAACAGGAACCTTAACCGACCAGTCTTTTCCAACAGATTTGTCCAAAAACAGATCCTCGAAATTCAAAATGTTGGAATACCGATCACATCAGTTTCTGCTACGGATGCTGACAACATTGTAAGTGTTGATTATTTTTCAGAGTTCAATATTTTTCATGTTGGTGACCAACAAAGAACTTACTGATGGGATTATTACACACCATACAATTTAGCATTCTGGAGTATTTTGGTTTAAATGTTGAAAGATATCAGTTCGCTTATCAGAGAGTGTGCACTTATCGACAGATAGATACAGTAAATGCTTATGTACTGAAAATAATATTGTTAGGAGAACTGAATGAACATTGTTAACAAGAAATATTAAACTGATTAAAACCACTTTGTTAATGTTAAGTGTCAAATCGCAGCTCTTACTAATTTTATTAAGAAATGTGAGACTGTGCTTTGCGCATTTTATGAACTTTCTTTAAAAATCTACTTTCTGGATTGTTTTGGTTTTGACACCATTTTGTATGAAGTATGCAGTGGATGGTCAGTAGGGTTCATACAGATTGAAGTTGTTAGTTAGGAAAGAATAATGAACCATGCAAATCTCTAAAAATGGCTTCTAATATGAAATGGATGGATATTTATTGAGTCATGAAACCTGACTTTTCCTTGTTAATGTATAAATTTTAAACAAGTTATATGCATTTCATTGAAATTCTTATGATTTGATTTTTGTTTTTAAAGAGCCCTAATGGTGACGTACGCTATTTCTTGGACACATCAGACCCGAACATTGACAGTTACTTCAGTGTCGACTCTGTCACTGGACAAGTAATGTTGAAGAAACAAATGATAGACTACCCAAATTCAAACGAAGACTTTAATCTCGTTGTAAGTACAATAAAGGGTGATGTGTGGTAAAACAATCATATGATGAAACAGACTAATGCCAATATTGTGACATGGGGCATTCAGGTATGAATGGGTTCCATTTCTGAGGTGAGTGCGGATAGAGTTTTGTCATTTACATCTTGGGTCAGTGGCACAAAAATATGTCATATTGGATTGGATTGAATTTCATGTAGGAATATGTGAAAGAAGGTGTTTGTGGTGAGTGGTGTAATGGTGAAAGAGTGTTGTTGGGAGTGGGGTAATGATGAAAAAGAGTGTTGTTGGGAGTGGGGTAATGATGAAAAAGAGTGTTGTTGGGAGTGGGGTAATGATGAAACAGTGTTATTTGGAGTGGGATAATGATAAAAAAGAGTGTTGTTGGGAGTGGGGTAATGATGAAACAGTGTTATTTGGAGTGGGGTAATGATGAAAAAGAGTGTTGTTGGGAGTAGGGTAATGATGAAACAGTGTTATTTGGAGTGGGGTAATGATGAAACAGTGTTATTTGGAGTGGGGTAAGGATGAAACAGTATGTTGTTGGGAGTTGGAAAATGGTGAAAGTGTATGTTGTTTGGAGTGGGGTAATGGTGAAAGAGTGTGTTTATTGTGGATGGTAGAAGAATGAAAATGTTTCTTGTGAATGAGACAAAGATGAAATGAATGGGAATTTTTTATTTTGTGTATGGCAAGAATGCTGGAATATGTGAAATGAGAAGTATGATGATGGTATGGTCTCTGATTTTGGTAACCATTGGTTTTTTAATGATACATTCAAAAGTAGAAAGGGTAGGGGTTTTGTGTAGGTGAGAAAAACAAAAACAGGGCTCTTTTGTTCAAAAGATTTTCTCAGTTACAGATGTGCTTGTTCTTAAGATTTTCTCAGTAACAGATGGTGCATACAATTTCAGAAAATTTTGAAGTAACATATTATGTTTTTTTTTTAGTTCCAAGTGAATGCACGTGACATGGGGAGCACATCACAGACAGCACTCATTCCTGCTACAGTTGAGATTAATGTAGTGAGAAACACTCAGCCTCTCTTCGACCAGAAACCTTACTCTGAAACCCTTGGCCAGTTTGACCCGCCAAACACTTTCGTTTATAGACCAGTAGTAATAAACAGAGACACCATAGTAAGTCCATGCTATTATTTTTAATGATATTGTTTATATTTCAATTCTTGTATTGATTTATAGTATTATTACATCTTAATATAAAATTTGCCCTCATTTTCATTGCAGTGAAAACTGATTTCTTCATTTCAAATTAGTATATATCCCAAGGTTTGAGAACTTCTCTTTACTTCAATAAAACTCCAGTTTGTCATTCATCATGTATCTAAGGTTTAAAGACCATTATTTGTGATATTGGATACTGTATTGTTCTCTGTGATAGTGAATACTAGGTTGTTCTCTGTGATAGTGAATACTAGGTTGTTCTCTGTGATAGTGAATACTGGGTGGTTCTCTGTGATAGTGAATACTGGGTGGTCCTCTGTGATAGTGAATACTGGGTTGTTCTCTGTGGTAGTGAATACTGGGTTGTTCTCTGTGAAAGTAAATACTGGGTTGTTCTCTGTGATAGTGAATACTGGGTTGTTCTCTGTGATAGTAAATACTGGGTTGTTCTCTGTGGTAGTGAATACTGGGTTGTTCTCAGTAATAGTGAATACTGGGTGGTCCTCTGTGATAGTGAATACTGGGTTGTTCTCTGTGGTAGTGAATACTGGGTTGTTCTCTGTGAAAGTAAATACTGGGTTGTTCTCTGTGATAGTAAATACTGGGTTGTTCTCTGTGGTAGTGAATACTGGGTTGTTCTCAGTAATAGTGAATACTGGGTTGTTCTCTGTGATAGTAAATACTGGGTTGTTCTCTGTGATAGTGAATACTGGGTTGTTCTCTGTGATAGTAAATACTGGGTGGTTCTCTGTGGTAGTGAATACTGGGTTGTTCTCAGTGATAGTGAATACTGGGTTGTTCTCTGTGGTAGTGAATACTGGGTTGTTCTCTGTGATAGTAAATACTGGGTTGTTCTCTGTGATAGTAAATACTGGGTGGTCCTCTGTGATAGTAAATACTGGGTTGTTCTCTGTGGTAGTGAATACTGGGTGGTTCTCTGTGATAGTGAATACTGGGTTGTTCTCTGTGATAGTAAATACTGTGTTGTTCTCTGTGATAGTAAATACTTGGTGGTTCTCTGTGATAGTAAATACTGGGTTTTTCTCTGTGATAGTAAATACTGGGTGGTTCTCTGTGATAGTAAATACTGGGTTGTTCTCTGTGATAGTAAATACTGGGTTTTTCTCTGTGATAGTAAATACTGGGTGGTTCTCTGTGATAGTGAATACTGGGTTTTTCTCTGTGATAGTAAATACTGGGTGGTTCTCTGTGATAGTAAATACTGGTTTTTTTTCTGTGATAGTAAATACTGGGTGGTTCTCTGTGATAGTAAATACTGGGTTGTTCTCTGTGATAGTAAATGCTGGGTGGTTCTCTGTGATAGTGAATACTGGGTTTTTCTCTGTTATAGTAAATACTGGGTGGTTCTCTGTGGTAGTGAATACTGGGTTGTTCTCTGTGATAGTAAATACTGGGTGGTTCTCTGTGATAGTGAATACTGGGTGGTCCTCTGTGATAGTAAATACTGGGTGGTTCTCTGTGATAGTAAATACTGGGTGGTTCTCTGTGATAGTGAATACTGGGTTGTTCTCTGTGATAGTAAATACTGGGTTTTTCTCTGTGATAGTAAATACTGGGTGGTTCTCTGTGATAGTGAATACTGGGTTGTTCTCTGTGATAGTAAATACTGGGTGGTTCTCTGTGATAGTGAATACTGGGTTGTTCTCTGTGATAGTAAATACTGGGTTGTTCTCTGTGGTAGTGAATACTGGGTGGTTCTCTGTGATAGTGAATACTGGGTTGTTCTCTGTGATAGTAAATACTGTGTTGTTCTCTGTGATAGTAAATACTTGGTGGTTCTCTGTGATAGTAAATACTGGGTTTTTCTCTGTGATAGTAAATACTGGGTGGTTCTCTGATAGTAAATACTGGGTTGTTCTCTGTGATAGTAAATACTGGGTTTTTCTCTGTGATAGTAAATACTGGGTGGTTCTCTGTGATAGTGAATACTGGGTTTTTCTCTGTGATAGTAAATACTGGGTGGTTCTCTGTGATAGTAAATACTGGTTTTTTTTCTGTGATAGTAAATACTGGGTGGTTCTCTGTGATAGTAAATACTGGGTTGTTCTCTGTGATAGTAAATACTGGGTGGTTCTCTGTGATAGTGAATACTGGGTTTTTCTCTGTTATAGTAAATACTGGGTGGTTCTCTGTGGTAGTGAATACTGGGTTGTTCTCTGTGATAGTAAATACTGGGTGGTTCTCTGTGATAGTGAATACTGGGTGGTCCTCTGTGATAGTAAATACTGGGTGGTTCTCTGTGATAGTAAATACTGGGTGGTTCTCTGTGATAGTGAATACTGGGTTGTTCTCTGTGATAGTAAATACTGGGTTTTTCTCTGTGATAGTAAATACTGGGTGGTTCTCTGTGATAGTGAATACTGGGTTGTTCTCTGTGATAGTAAATACTGGGTGGTTCTCTGTGATAGTGAATACTGGGTTGTTCTCTGTGATAGTAAATACTGGATGGTTCCCTCTGATAATGAATAATAGAAATTTATCCTGATGTTGTTTTAATGTATTGTCTTGCACCTTTTGACATTTGTTATGAGATTTAAATGTGAATTTGTTACAGGACCCGTTTAATCGCCTCAACTTTAGCCTGATTGGGGATGATTCTGCACTGTTGTATTTTGCTGTAGACCCAAATAATGGTGTGGTGAGAACCACTCGTAATCTCACTGAAAGCACTGCTCTCACCTTTACCGTAAGTCAAAGTTAGGACTACTCTGTTTTCCAGCTAGAATCTCATCTTCAAAATATGTCAAGATAATAATCTCATATAAACGAACTGCTAAGTAACCAAACCACAAAGCCAATTTGATAGGCTACAATTGAACATTAACTAACCTACGATGCAGTTGGATACTGGAATTACCTAGTTGTGTTATTGTGTTGATGTTACCTAATAACTCACTGTAAATGTTCCTTAGACTTGAGTTTTTAAGCCATTAAATATATTGATTGATGTTAACCTTGAAAATCAGATTCTTTACAAAATGTTTCAAGATTATTTGTGATAAGTTGATTCTAATGAAACCTGTTTATCAATAAGTTAGCTATGCTGATTTCTTTGAATAAGACACATTGCTAATTCTATTAAAGTAAAGTTTTAAGAAAAATGAAAGCAGTAGATGCCAGAATTAATTTACAGAATTATGTTAACAATTAAGGGGATTTACTTTAAAAGTAATGCAAGAAAAAACTCCAAATGCTTTGTGTTTACAGTTTGAATATGGTTTATTTAATTTCCAAATATATATAATATTTATAGGTAAGAATCAAGGTTCAAGATAATGGTATCCCACCCTTGGAGGATACAGCAACTGTTCGTGTGAGTGTGGAGAGAAATGAAAGAGACCCGTCCTTCCTCCATAGTACTTCATTAAATGTGAACATTCCGGAGAACCTCCCTGTTGGAAGTTTTGTAGCTGATATCAATGCCACTGATGCTGATGCATTTGTAAGTTTGAAAAACTTATTTATTTGTTATTAAGATGATATCATGTGTTATTTTATCTTTTCTTATTATTCTAATTAAAAGAATTCTTAATACACTTATTTTTGTGTGTTTAAGTTGGAATATGTATTTTTCAGAATTTTATTTTAATACAATGACTTTTACAGGCACCCAACAACCTCCTACAGTATGTAATTACTGGTGGAACAAACAATGGCCAACAATTTTTCTTTATTGACCAGCAGTCAGGAATAGTATATCTCACTCAGAGTGTGGCATCAGGAGCTAGCAACTTCCAGGTAATATATCTCAGATTTTGTTCTTCATATTATCCTAACATGATTCTCACTCTGTTTAATATTAGTCTTTATTATTCTCTGAATGTACTCTAATTGCTATTCTTTAGATATACTTTGTTTACTTTTCTTTAGATGTACTTTGTTTACTTTTCTTTAGATATACTTTGTTTACTTTTCTTTAGATGTACTTTGTTTACTTTTCTTTAGATATACTTTGTTTACTTTTCTTTAGATGTACTTTGTTTACTTTTCTTTAGATGTACTTTGTTTACTTTTCTTTAGATGTACTTCGTTTACTTTTCTTTAGATGTACTTTGTTTACTTTTCTTTAGATATACTTTGTTTACTTTTCTTTAGATGTACTTTGTTTACTTTTCTTTAGATGTACATTGTTTACTTTTCTTTAGATATACTTTGTTTACTTTTCTTTAGATGTACTTTGTTTACTTTTCTTTAGATGTACTTTGTTTACTATTCTTTAGATATACTTTGTTTACTTTTCTCTTAATGTACACTATTTTCTATACTCTTAAAATACTCTATTCACTATTCTATTAATGTATCCAGTTTACTATTTTCTCAAAGTACTCTGTTTACATTTCCGATTGTGAATTTTATTTGTTATTCAATAATGTGGTCTTACTCTTGTACATAGGTATGTGGAATTTGAATATAAAGATGTTATATTTTATGGAATTATCAAACCAGAAATCAGAATTGAAATGTATTTTGACCTTGTTTCAGCTTACAATCGTGGCAATGGATCAGGGAGTGCCCATTAAACAAGCTCAAGCTACCTTGAATGTCAACGTCCTTCGAAGCACTGGAAATTTGATGTTCTCGCTACCTGAGTATAATGCTACAATAAGCGAGAACATTGGAGTTAACAACTTCGTGACTAGAGTTATAGCCTCTCCAGGGGTAAGTTGTAATTGATACATTGGCTATCAAATCCTTTTTCAATGTTTTGGGTTATTTTTTTTTATGTATCTCTGTTTTTGATTGGTTGATATTTTTTGCTTATGTGTCTCTCTTTTTAATTGGTTGGTATTCTTTTTAGTGTGTCTCTGTTTTTGGATGGTTTGTATTTTTTTTAATGTGTCTGTTTTTGGTTGGTTGGTATTTTTTTTAATGTGTCTCTGTTTTTGGTTGATGGGTTCTCTTGATTTTTTTTCATTTGCAACCTTTCTGGTATATAATCATTGGTTTAGAACATTGTTGAGTATCCTGATTGATTAGTTGCCAAACCTTTTGATGATGCTAACTCAATTGGAGCTAAACAGATACTTTGAAGGTGGTGATTTTCAATAAGTTCCAATATTTGCACTTTATACAGGTCAAATGAAATCACAAAAAAAGAAACTTCGAAAAACTATTTTCAGGAAAGAAATACATAGTTTGAACAAAAAAAAGAAAAAAGCATTACAGAAACACCATCACTATATGCTTGAAATATTCAATGGTTAGACAAAACGTTTTAAAAAATTTGTAGGTAAGCATTCAGTATAGCCTAACCGGACGAGATCCAGGGCCAACCTACTTCTCCGTAGATACCAACAATGGGGACATCAGAATAAAGAGTGACTTAAGAACAGATAGCTCCCGGCTCACCCATTACATCGTAAGTAGAGTAACAATGTCATCATTTATCACAAAGATCACAAAAACAAAGTGATTTTTATGGTTTTGGAAATTATTATCCAGGCTTTTGTGTAGCAGTGTAGGTATTAAATACAGTGGTAGTGGAAAAATGTCAAATCAATTTGACTTCATGTGGAAATATCTTTTTCATAAAGAAGTATTGATGCAGTAGAAACATTTCCATAAAAATAGCAATTTTGTTTCTGAATGTACATATATTGTGTGTTTTATTCCAATGCAGTTGCTTGTGAGAGCTGTGTCATTTGATGTGACAACTCAGACTGCTTCTACCACTGTCAATATTTTTGTGACGAGGAATGAGTTTTCTCCAGTGTTTGACCCACAATCAGCCTATTATGAGACTAGCATTGAGGAAAAGATGGAGCTTGGCTCAACAGTTCTACAAGTGGTTGCCTCTGATCAGGATAATGTAAGTACAGAAATGTGCCCATTAATGGATGTAGCCAACCATTTTTGGTCTATAATAATTTTGTCAATCAAATATATTTTTGAAATAATATTGTTGCTTTTTTAGGACCAGATAAAGTACAGCATCGTAGATGGTACCCCCTACACAACTTTCTTCTTTTTGAATGCTGACACAGGTGTCATCACTCTCCAGGGTCTTCTAACCACAACAAATGTTGGGAACTTCTCTGTAAGTGTTACACTTTGAACCGGAGTACAGAAACATATGAAAAGAAATTCAGTTAGTCTTAATGAGTATCAGATTATAAGTGTTATGCTTATTTCATTGTTGATCTGAAGATCTCATTGTATTTGGGGGGTCTGAAAGAATGTTCCAATATATTTTCCTCTTGTTTTGAAGATTAGATATTTTCTGACTGCCGAATACATGAGAAATTTGTTTATAGTGAGACCAAAAGAACATCATGAAGAAAAGTGGAATCCATCCCCTATATTATTTGTTAATTCACAAAAATTTCTTGCCAACACAATTTTAAAAAATTGCTGTGTACAAGCAATGATTTATGTTTCATGGCAGTGCAATTTCAAAATACTTGTACCACAGCAACTTCAAAATACTTTAACAAAAGCAACTTCAAAATGCTTGTACTGCTAATGCCATTGAATTACTTATACCATTGACAGTTCAATGTACAAGCATCGGACCAAGGAAACCCAGAGAAAATAAGCCTGGCTCGTGTCCATATCATCATAATGCGGGACGCTTTCCGTCCAGTGTTCCGTGCTACACCATACAATGCCAACACCAATGAGGACGCTGTGGACAACTTTGTCTTCTATAGAAACATTTTGGCCACAGACGATGACTTAAGAGTAAGCAGTTTTTCAAGTTTAAGAGAATGACATTACAGCTTTACTTATTTATTTTGTTTGTGTATCTACTAGTCTGTATTTATAACCAATGATGATATTTTTTTATCCACAGGGACAGATTTTATATGAAGTCATCCAAGACAACATTGCAGCTACCTTTTTCTCCATTAATAGAACATCTGCATTCCTGTCCATACAGAATCAAAATCTTCTGTTGAATGATGTGCAGCAGAACTATCAGGTATGGCTAACAAGTGTGTGACCATATTGAACAAGTCACAGTGAAACCTAACCACCTCTGGGACTGGACAAATTTAATATTAATAGCTTTTGTCGGACTAGTGAGTATGACCTAATAGACAGACATCTCTCATGGCCAGTGTGAAAATAGTCTTTTTATCGTTGATTTAATTGTGAGGTGGTCTTTGTAGTGAAGTTTATAGCTGGTTAGTTTCGTGGGAATGATATTTTCACTATTTCACAGTACATGAAAATTTAATCTGTGAGGCATTACATGTCCTTTTACATCCAGTTTGTGAAATTTTAATTAGTTTAAATATTATGAAGGAGCTTGAAAGAAAATTGTCAATTTTGACCTGCAAAAAATTACCAGATATTCTATAATACACAGATGTATGGTAATTTTTTCTGAGCTCAAGTGAAGAGGTTGTCATAGCAAGGTGGTCTTTACTTTAAGGTTGTCTGTCTGCAAGGTTTCAAAGTTTTGAAGAATTCTTGCTTCTGTAATCAAATGAGATCGATATAAATTCAATTCCTGTTATAAATCCTGTTAAATTTGAAAGGGTCAGTATCAAAAGGGGACTGATTAAGCAATTCTACATCTCCTAGTAGAACAAGTGTTAATAATTGGAGTGACCCAAACATTACTAATTATTGATAAGTTGCATCTTCATGGCATTTCAGACTTCAAATGGATACAGGAGTATTGTAAAATGTCTTTTTTTACAGTTGCGGGTGATTGCCTATGACAGTGTTTATCCCGAAAATCCAGCTACAGCTACAGTCTCTGTGTTTGTGAGTCGCAACAGTAACGCTCCAGTATTTATAGACACCCCATATTCTCGTACTGTCTATGACCACATTCCGCTTGGCACAAGAATTGTGGATATAAATGCAACAGATGCTAATGGTGTAAGTACTCAAGTTTCTTATTAAATATTGTTATCTTCTCATTTGTACTTTTGTAATTTGTGTTAGGATGATTAGGCTTGGAATAAAACAACAACTTCAATTAGACAATTATGGGCTATTTCAAATATAACATAGAAAATGCATGTATGAATTATTTTCACAATTTGTTTACAGTCTCAATAGTAGGATCATACATGGTCTCATAACCATTATGTGTACTGGAGATTATATGTTGATCCTGGGAATATTATTTTTTAAACCTTTTTACTTTTAATAAAAAAAAATAAATGAAAAAATGAAAACCAAAATCAGGAAAGAAATGTAAAAACTTTTCTTGTGATTGTGTTTTTTGGCTGATGTCTAAACACTCGTAATTACAGGATGAAATACGGTATGCAATGACTGGAAACAGCCGGGCTTTGGAATATTACTACCTCAACCCAGTGACAGGATTAATTACTCTGAAGAAACTTCTCACTGAGGGCACTCAGTTGACAGATACGGTAAAATATTTTGTTAACATACCTCTGAACTTATCAATATTTCCACCTGATTTATTACACATTTCTGCTCACACCTATATATTTCCAAACCAGTATGGTTAATTAAGGTGCATATCGTTAGAACACTGATGTTCGTCGTTGAGACGATTTCCAGCAACAGGAGGCTTGGCAGAGACAGAAAACTTATCAACCAGCCAAATTTAGGTGACCATCTCCCATGTGAATGCGCCTTGTTCTCACTTTAATTAATTATTCTCTACCTGTATAACTTAGGTGACCATCGATGCTTGTGATCAGCGATCACCACAGCGGTGTGTTAGTGTGACTGCAACTATCAACATCAACCGTGACAATTTCCCACCTGTCTATACTCGTAACAACTATGGCCGTCAGATATCCCAAGTGGCGCCTGTTGGGGAACTCATAGATACTGTGGAAGCCACTGATCAAGACTTGGAGGTAATTTATTTCTTCTAGATGGGACCACTGATTTAAAGCGCATCATTTTTATGGTGATATTTTTAAGATATATTCAGAACTGTTTCCAATAAATTTCTATTTGTTTCTATACATTAATTGTAGTTCTATAGAATTGACAATTTTCAATGCATTTGTAAATAAAATTGAAAATGAGTACTTTACACAAACAGTAATAAAAACAGAAATTTGCATGCTTTCTGAAATATTGTTATTAAACATTTTGAATGACTTGTATGCTGTTGTTTTCAAGGCAAACCGGAATCTTAATGTATCAATGGCCTTATTTCGGATTTCAGGGTAAAATCAATTATGTAGTGGATGGAAACTACCCTGCACCTTCATTCTTTACGGTAGGCCTTGAATCGGGTCGTGTGACAGTAAGCCAAATGGTCAACATGGATAGTCTTCAAACAGATACTTACGAGGTAAGTTAAATAATTGTCTTGGTAGCAGGTATTGATTGTAAAATAATTTTTCGAGAGAAAAAACATGATTTTTTCTTGCAAACTAACGACATAAAAAGTCATACCTGGTGACAAGAGCAGATAACTCTTGCATTATGAAAAGATGGGATGTTTGATTCCAGAAATGAAGTTTAACATTCTCTTTATCATGAAGGATCAAATTGGTTTCTGTAGTAGAAAGAGACTGTGTAATCTTACTGTGAAAGTTATTATTTTGAATGGTTAAAATTTTTGTGATTTTTCCATGAAAATCTGGAAAATGAAAAAAAAAGACTTCTTAAATCTATTTTCAAGGTTCCTATTTTTATCAATTTTATATCATCCTTGAAGAAGTTTGCATTATATTGTAAAATCGTATACTTTAATGTGGCTCAATTTTTGTGTGTTTTTCGAAAAAAAATTCTGTTTCATGGACAATTGATTTTGAAGGTAAATAGATTGTTTGCTTTATAGATTTACTTATTTTAACATTTGTGGACACATGAGTTTGTTGATGAAGAGTGCCCACGAAATCATGGAAATAAATTAATAATTTCATAGTATCTGGTAGATGTGAAATTAGTATCGAATCAATTTTCCTTACAGTTGAGGATTGCTGCGTATGACACCTTCTATCCTGATAACCGTGTCTATACTATAGTGACAATACCAGTCAACAGGAATCCAGCTGCACCAAACTTCTCACAGGAGTTTTACCGAAAGACTATTGCAGAAACATTCCCTCTCGGTACCTCTGTTGTTCAACTCAATGCCACTGATGCTGACAATGTAAGTTATATCAACATGAAGCTTCATAGGCAGATAGATCTCTATAAAGAAAAGTGCAGTTTACAAGAACTCTAACTCTCTATTGTATAATTTAGGAGTTCTTACCCCACAGCCCAAAAGGGTGTGGGGTATTGCGATCATGCATGGCGTCCATCGGTCCATCTGTCTGTCTGTCCTGCTGTCCACAATTGCATACTGCTTATTATCTCAAAAACTACATCACCGGTCATCATCATTTTCACTGTGGATGTTGGGCCTATGGACCTACACAACCCTATTGTTTTGAAACTTGATATATGTATTGGTCATACTATGGGAATGTGCATTGTTCCAATTTCAGGACCTGAAACTTCTTAATTACAGAATTATTTCTCTTTGATTAAATTTTGTTTCCAATAGAGTCGTTTTCGGGAAGCATTTATCAATTTCACCGAAACCCTTGTTATCAATATATAATATTTAATTTTGTGTAACACTCTTCCTTTTTGGACATATTTTACCTTGAGTTTTTTTTGTTAGCAGCACCTTTTGGTGCTAAGATAACATTTGATAGTTTTTGTAATCTGTCGTTAACATGCGAATCTTTTTGTTATTTAAATAATGTAATATTTAACCATGTCCAATCTTTTTTTACTCCTGTGTGATCTTTTGTAACCAGGGAAATATTTGACCTTTTGTGATCTTTTTTGACTCCGATATTGTTTGACCTTTTGTTACCAGGATCAGTTGAGATTCTACATGGATGTAGCAGCTGACCAACAAAATAAAGACTACTTTTACGTCAACCCAGAAAATGGTCTCATCTCGTTGAGGCAGATATTGACAACCTCTTCTTTCAATCAGTTTACAGTAAGTGTATATACAGTATATTCTTATGTGGCTCATAAATTGCAAACCGTTTCACAACTTTTTTCCTCTAACTATTCAGGATTTACAGTAAAGTGATATTGAAAAGATCATAATATGAGTTATTCTTATGTTTCTTTCAAACAATTTAAAAAACACATTTTGCTTAACTGCTGATGATTTAAACCTTATTAGCCAGTTATTGCTGTATTTGTTTAAGAATTGATGATCATTATCATTTACAGTTTTCTGTGGTGGTACGAGATGTAGGGAACAAGGAGGACACCGCCACTGTGATTATAGCAGTGGAAAGAGATGACCAACCTAATTTTATTAATCTGCCAGAGACCAGGAACATCCAGGAGACCAACTCCCTGACACAGTCAATTTTCACAGTTGCTGCAAGCGATACAGACATGCAGGTTTGTATATAAATCTTAGATTTAAAAATGAAAAATTGATTCATTTTGATTTTCACTTAATGGTAGGATCGCCAAGAAAGAAAACAATATACCTTTTGAGCTCTCGTTCACATAGGGTATTGAAAATAGAATGATTTAAATTTGTTTTCGACTATATTAATATGTTTGGTTACTTCCTGTTCAAGATCAGTTGCTTTCATATTTTCATTTATATGCAGGGACAAATGGTCTACAACATCATTGGTGAGTTCAACTCTCCTAAATTTTTCCGAGTAAACAACGCAACTGGAGAAGTTTTTGTTCAGCTTGATCTCAAATTGGACATTGTGGAGCAATATAAGGTAAGTTTATGCTGATTAGTGTAGAACACAACTGGAACCTTTTATATTGTATTTTGTTTGTTCTGCTTCCTAACTCATGGCTATGTATAAAGATTTCATCTTTGGCTTTGCAAAAGCATGGCTAGTTATTTCTTAGGTAGAAACAGTAAAAAGAGTTTGTTGGGTTTCTTAAAGACTTATTATCAACATGGATGATTGCACAGAAATGATTGTTGTTAAACAAGTGTCATTGGAGAAGTGTGATTATTGTACAGGTGTCACTTAACAGATGTGATTGTTGGGGAGATGTGATGTATAGGAGTAGCTGGACAGGTGTGATTGTTGGGGAGATGTGATGTATAGGAGTAGCTGGACAGGTGTGATTGTTGGGGAGATGTGATGTATAGGAGTAGCTGGACAGGTGTGATTGTTGGGGAGATGTGATGTATAGGAGTAGCTGGACAGGTGTGATTGTTGGGGAGATGTGATGTATAGGAGTAGCTGGACAGGTGTGATTGTTGGGGAGATGTGATGTATAGGAGTAGCTGGACAGGTGTGATTGTTGGGGAGATGTGATGTATAGGAGTAGCTGGACAGGTGTGATTGTTGGGGAGATGTGATGTATAGGAGTAGCTGGACAGGTGTGATTGTTGGGGAGATGTGATGTATAGGAGTAGCTGGACAGGTGTGATTGTTGGGGAGATGTGATGTATAGGAGTAGCTGGACAGGTGTGATTGTTGGGGAGATGTGATGTATAGGAGTAGCTGGACAGGTGTGATTGTTGGGGAGATGTGATGTATAGGAGTAGCTGGACAGGTGTGATTGTTGGGGAGATGTGATGTATAGGAGTAGCTGGACAGGTGTGATTGTTGGGGAGATGTGATGTATAGGAGTAGCTGGACAGGTGTGATTGTTGGGGAGATGTGATGTATAGGAGTAGCTGGACAGGTGTGATTGTTGGGGAGATGTGATGTATAGGAGTAGCTGGACAGGTGTGATTGTTGGGGAGATGTGATGTATAGGAGTAGCTGGACAGGTGTGATTGTTGGGGAGATGTGATGTATAGGAGTAGCTGGACAGATGTGATTGTTGGGGAGATGTGATGTATAGGAGTAGCTGGACAGGTGTGATTGTTGGGGAGATGTGATGTATAGGAGTAGCTGGACAGGTGTGATTGTTGGGGAGATGTGATGTATAGGAGTAGCTGGACAGGTGTGATTGTTGGGGAGATGTGATGTATAGGAGTAGCTGGACAGGTGTGATTGTTGGGGAGATGTGATGTATAGGAGTAGCTGGACAGGTGTGATTGTTGGGGAGATGTGATGTATAGGAGTAGCTGGACAGGTGTGATTGTTGGGGAGATGTGATGTATAGGAGTAGCTGGACAGGTGTGATTGTTGGGGAGATGTGATGTATAGGAGTAGCTGGACAGGTGTGATTGTTGGGGAGATGTGATGTATAGGAGTAGCTGGACAGGTGTGATTGTTGGGGAGATGTGATGTATAGGAGTAGCTGGACAGGTGTGATTGTTGGGGAGATGTGATGTATAGGAGTAGCTGGACAGGTGTGATTGTTATATCATACAAATGTTATTTGACATGTGTATTGCCATTATATTTATACAGGTGTCACTTGACTGATTAAATTGTTATTTTACAGGTGATATTCACAGCATATGATTCTGGCAGTCCAGGTAAAACTGCAACTGGTACACTGACGGTCAACGTCGAACACAACATTAATCAACCAGTTGTCAACAGTGCTGTCGTCTCTATCTGGGAATACACTGCAGTGGGTACCAACATTCTGAACATCACAGCCACTGATGGAGATGGTGTAAGTTGTCTTTCTACTTTAATGTCTATGATGATATCAGAACTTCTATCCGTGTCTGTATGTAAATTCAACTCTTGGTTAAGGGGTGATTCTATCTGCAGATGTAGGGAGCTTGTATCCTAAGACATAGAGGTATCATACCCACACCTAATGGTATTTTGTATGCTTGGCTGTTAAGATATTGTACCTTTAGCTTAAGGGAGCTTGTACCCTAAGATGTAGGGATATTGTAACCTCAGCTGAAGGGAGCTTGTACCCTAAGGTGTAGGAATATTGTACCCTCAGCTGAAGGGACCTTGTACCCTAAGGTGTAGGAATATTGTACCCTCAGCTGAAGGGAGATTTTACCTTAAAATGTAGGAATATTGTACCCTCAGCTGAACGGAGCTTGTACACTTTGATGTTGGTAGGTCTTTAAGGAGCTCTGCAGTCTTTGATGTAGATCCTGTTCAGGCCTTGCTAAGTTTCTTAACTACTAAATTTCTCTAACGACTTTATTGTCGTAATGGGAGATCATTTGTTTTACATATGAATGTTCCACGTGGAACACTTTGTGTTAACCTTGTAAGTGTAAATAACTTTTTATAATAGAGAAGATTTATTGAAATGAAATAAGCTATTTCTCATTCAAATAATACAGCTTGTTGAAATTATTTTTTCTTAATTCATTAATAATGTTCTACCTTTAAATGTCTATGATTACATTGTTTAATTGTGAAAATTTGGGTATTTACAGGACACACTGCGATATGAACTGTTGTCAACAGGAACTTTACAGTCTGATAGAGCACTTATGTACTTCTCAATCAATCCTGATACTGGATACATCACGGTTACCAAGCCCCTTGAGAGCGATGTTGACAGACCTGGCTTGTATCAGGTACTTCCTATCAACATATTGTGTGACGATGGAATGATATAATATTCTTTCAGATATTTGAGGGCGACATCTTAAAGGGTTGTTTGAGGGCGACACCTTAAGAGGTTACTTGAGGGTGACACCTTAAGGGATTACTTGAGGGTGACATATTAAGGAGTTATTTGAGGACAACACCTGAAGGGGTTACTTGAGGGCGACATCTTAAAGGGTTGTTTGAGGGCGACACCTTAAGAGGTTACTTGAGGGTGACACCTTAAGGGATTACTTGAGGGTGACATATTAAGGAGTTATTTGAGGACAACACCTGAAGGGGTTACTTGAGGGCGACATCTTAAAGGGTTGTTTGAGGGCGACACCTTAAGGGGTTACTTGAGGGTGACACCTTAAGGGATTACTTGAGGGTGACATCTTAAGGAGTTATTTGAGGACAACACCTGAAGGGGTTACTTGAGGGCGACATCTTAAAGGGTTACTTGAGGGTGACACCTTAAGGGATTACTTGAGGGTGACATCTTAAGGAGTTATTTGAGGACAACACCTGAAGGGGTTACTTGAGGGCGACATCTTAAGGGGTTACTTGAGGACGACACCTTAAGGGGTTACTTGAGGGTGACATCTTAAAGGGTTACTTGAGGGCGACACCTTAAGGGGTTTCGTAGATAGAAGTTATTTTCAATAGATGAGGGTATAATTATTTTTTTAGGGCAATTTAACCTTTCAGTACACATAAAGAAACATCAACTTTGATGTATTTTTCTTATTGTTGTAATATAATTTCATTTGCTTTCCACAATTGAGCATCCCTGCCTTATCAATCTGTAGTTTAAAGGGCACAGACCTCAAATGACTTCACGAACCCACAGTTTTGATATTGAAGTATAACCTTTGTTGTTGTTGTTAATCAATAAAATATGGAAGTTGTATCAGTCAGTCTAATTAAAATGAGATCAGCATCACACTGTACAAGGTACATTTGTGTTTAAGCTAAGTGATCTCTGAATTCAAATTTGATGGATCTTTGTAATCACAAGACCAATAATAACATCACAAAGTTCTGTCCTTCAACTCAAGGAATTCACACAACACTCTTCAGTGGAACTTGGATCGAATAATTTCCTTTTAGCGAGTGATACAGAAATTTGAGAAAAAGAATATGTTTAGCCTTAAATATGTCAAAATTTGTTCCCAGATATGACATCCACCTGTGGTCATGTCTAGTACTATCGTTTAGCCCTAAATATGTCAATATGTGTTCCCAGATATGACATCCACCTGAGGTCATGTCTAGTACTATTGTTTAGCCCTAAATATGTCAATATGTGTTCCCAGATATGACATCCACCTGAGGTCATATCTAGTACTATCGTTTAGCCCTAAATATGTCAATATGTGTTCCCAGATACAACATCCACCTGTGGTCATGTCTAGTACTATCGTTTTAGCCCTAAATATGTCAATATGTGTTCCCAGATACAACATCCACCTGAGGTCATGTCTAGTACTATCGTTTAGCCCTAAATATGTCAATATGTGTTCCTAGATACTACATCCACCTGAGGTCATGTCTAGTACTATCGCCATGTCAAGTTTAAAGAATGCTAAAGCACCTTTTTTGGTTAAGTGATACAAATTTCTGCAATATGCAGCAAATAAGGCCATTTTAATTATATTGACATCCATTCAGACGACAAGAATAAGAGATTATTTCCCTCTTCTGTCATTCCAGTGTAATGGTTTTGAAAAAACTTTTTTTTCAGATGAATGTTAGAGTCCGTGACCAGCGATATCCATTTGAGAAATCTGGTCAGGCATTGGTTGAAATTAATGTACAACGTAACCGAAACTCTCCTGTATTCCAAAACACTCCCTACAACCAGCCGGGTATAAATGAGAATAGTGCTATTTCAACATCAATAATTACGGTGACCGCTCGAGACTCTGATATGCAGGTAAGTCTTAAGACTTCTGACTGGTTGATTGATACTCCACTTAATAAACTTAGTAACATTAGTGGTTGATTAAAATATTTTGAAGATGTGTGAAGTTTATTTGGTTACAACAAGGATGATTTTTTCAGTTAACACCAGGGTGTAGTACTGATGTAGTAAAAAGTATTTCTATGTCTTAGTTGAACAATTACAAATGACTTGTGTTGATATATTTATTATTTAGCTTCATACTTGATAATAGCCCAGTCAGAATTGTAATTATCCCACTGTATTACAGTCATTTTTGTAGGATTTTGTTTCGGTGAGTCCAGACCACCATTTTGAAAAAGCTGACGAGTCCTGTTACAAAGGCTTATATTGAAATCTCAACAAGACAACCATGGTTCTAGGACTCAAATATTTAAGTCCAAAAATCACTGTCTCTGTAGGGAAACACGTCTGGTTGTTTTGTATTTAATTCACTGTAACTTTGTCTTTGAAGGGATACATGGTGTATGAAGTGGTTGGAGAAAACTCAGCACCTTTCTATTTCAACGTAGATAGCCGAACAGGGAATGTGACTATCAAAAACAACCTGAAATATGAAACCAATACAGTTTATCTTGTAAGTTATTCTAAAATTTCAGATAAAAATAATTTGAACAATTATATGGACAATATTTTGGTTTTTGTTTCATTCAGTACGATGGAGGTTAGGAAATGATTGATTTTATTATTTTTATTAACTTAATAATTGTCATGTTGATCTGTTCACAGCTAGTGGTGGAAGCCTATGATTCCCAGTACCCTACTGACCGTGCTACAGCCACTGTCACAATTGGCATTGTGCGCAATCTTTTTTCCCCTGTATTTAATGAGCAATCCTATGCTGTAACAATCAATGAAAGCATTGCTATAGGAGTGTCCATCTTACAAGTCTTGGCTGCAGATCAGGATAATGTGAGTTATCCTCTCTATGTAGAACATAAAAAATGTCAGGAGTAGTTTTTTATATAAAGCCTTCTCAAAACAATCAATAGGATAAAATCGTGTGTTTATTGTACCAATGTTTATGTTGCTTTAACATACATTATACAAGAAATGTTTTAATTAAAAAGGTTTTCTTCTGTTTTATCAGAATGTAACAATATAAATATTTTGATTTACCCTGTTTTATCATGACAATTGACATTATTATGCTGGAAATATTTTTATTTACTCTCTAATGTCATCATTATACCAGAAATACTTTGATATGCCCTCTGTATTAACAGGACACAATGACCTATGCAGCGTTGCCTTCACAAGCTGACACCTTTTTTTACCTGGCTCCATCCACGGGTGTGCTGACAATAAGATCTTCTTTGATGGATGACCCTATTCGCAGACTTTCTTTCCAGGTAAGTTGTTTTGTCTGCAGTTTGATTGCTAACTTTGTAAAATTCCTATGCTGATTCATATATTTGGAAACTTAATGTTTTATACCCCAATGAAATTAAGAATACAGTGTACATTGTGTCAAGGCTTGCTCTTTTATCTTTGTTTTAGATGAATGTACAAGCCACAGATGATCGTTCACCTCAGCGTACAACAGCAGTTGGCGTGTCCATCACTGTTTTGAGAGACTTATTTTCTCCTAACTTCGATCCAGCTGACAAGAGATATACAGTGACAATTCCTGAAACAACACAAGTTCTGGACCCAGTGCGAACAGTCCGCGCTACTGACAACGATCGAATTGTAAGGTTTCCTTCTAATAAATTATGCACCTATAGCCAGTTTTACAGGCTTTGTTTTGTACTGCTTGAGTGCACACAACATTTAAGTGACATCATATTCCATGTCATATCTTGATCACCTCTTAACAGATTCTCACTGGTTCATAGCTGCGTTATAGTATCATACCATCAAGTTTTACTTCTGATTGGATTCTGGTTTGATCAGGAGCAGAGGAATATCATGAATTCTATATATTTTCTGGTTATTAATTATGTTTTGTTTTATTTTAGGGAACAATTAAATATGAGGCTATTGGTAACTACCCAGCACCTAGTTTCTTCTCTGTGAATGAAGACAACGGGCAGATCACGCTACAGAAAAGTCTCCTCACTCCAGATGCTGTCCTGTACAACCAGTTCATGGTAGCTATCTTATGTTAGAGCTCATACTTGAACTGGGAACCTGTGCTTCCTTTCATATTTTAAACATAAGGATACTTCTCCAATAGATCAGAGATTTCAGTGGTTGTGAGATCCTGAATTCACTCATGGAAATATTCTAAAGCATTTTCTCGAATTTGCATATAATGATTGGTGACCCTATATTAAACTATACATACCTCACTCTTCCCTTTCAGTGTACATACATTTTTTGTGGATTTTAGGTTTGATAAAATCCCAAATCAGTTTTGATTTTGTTTTTCATTCGAGTGCTATTTTGACCTTCCCTCTTTGAAATTTAAGTAAATTTTATTTATATTGTTTCTTTAAATATTGAATACAATGATGATTCACATTCATCGTGCCAAAGATAGTATTCTGAAATTTGATTGTGTCAATTCCACTTTCTGTATGTAGGTATTATAGAAATAATTATGAATACTCTGAATTAATCATGGCACTACTTTTTCAAAAATTTTTTAATGCTCCAAACTTTATGGTATTCTTCCACGCTTTGTAAATGAATGTAATTGATGATGGTTAATAACTGCAGTCGAACTCCATTAACTTCCTGAGTTATTCAAGTATTCAGGTTAAACAAGTTTCAATTTTGTTATAAAATTTTGTATAATAACCACCCTTCAGAAGCAAACAAAACTGATGCTATTTTGGTTATTGATTTATCAACAAGCATGCCTATTTCTAGTTACCGAAAGACTAGACTAAAGATTCATAATTTCAGCAATTCATTAATAAGTTGTATGTAGCTTTGTGGAGGTAAAATATTCTGAGATATTAGACAAAATAAACAAAGGATACCACAAATTATCAATATTTCAATTAAGGCAAGAGAGAATTTTGCCAATACTTACATACTTCAAATTAAACAGGGTATGTGAGATTAACAAAGTTTGACTGTACTTGTTGTTTCCTGGCAGTTTTCCCACTGTTTTCATTACTGTTACCAAATTATGACTTAAGATTGTTACCTAGTGTTACTGTCTGATAACTTGAAGTGTTGTTTTGTTACAGTATTTGGTTGTGGCTTATGACAGCGCACGGCCAGACAAACAGGATACTGCTACAGTGGAAATCACCATTACCCGTAACACTAATCCACCCATCTGGACACTACCAGCGTATGGGGCAAGCATTAGGGAAGACCATGATCCCTTTTCATCAGTCATCGATGTTGTCGCCACAGACAATGACAATCATGCAAGTATTTTGATAAGAAAAGAGTGAAAATTATGAACAAAATTCTATTCAAGATTCAAGTATAGTAATTTCAAACAAGTTTCTATTGTAAATTTTTTTCTTTTTAATAATTTTAGTAAAAGAAAAGTTTGTACTGGTATTGAAGATTTAGATTTGTTTACAGTCATGAGCTTTTATTGAATTAAATTTTTTGCATAAAAATATCAGCAGGTTTTTCGTGTTTTATATGTATTGTCACTGATTTTTCCCTAAATATATTGTACAATTTCATAAAATTTGCAATCTATACTTTCTTTTGGTAAAAAATAGAACTACATTAAGTGACAAAATATTTGTATTGTGAAGGATTGCCAGGTTTTGAAAATCTTTGCTAAGCCAGTGTTTTATTACAGGACACAATATCCTATGAAATAGTTGATGAAAAGATACAGAGAACTTTGGACCAGGGTGCTGCTGACTACTTTTATATTGACACAGAGACTGGGCGCATGTACCTCAGAAAAAGTGTTCTTAGCACAGATATCTCAAGATTTGTTGTAAGTATGTCATGTGATGTCTTACCACTGATATTACAAGCATTGTTGTAAGTATGTCATGTGATGTCTTACCACTGATATTACAAGCACTGTTGTAAGTATGTCATGTAATGTCTTACCACTGATATTACAAGCATTGTTGTAAGTATGTCATGTGATTCATTATAAATATGTTGTAGGAAGTAATGTTATCTGTCACTTTTCGAAATATTTAAGTCCATACAGAAACCAGCTTTATGAAGTTAACTTAAAATGATATTGTCATATAATTAAGCATTAACCAAAATACATCTTAATAAAGAAAAATTGTACAATGTTTTTACAGCTTGTTGTGCGAGCCTGTGACACAGGAACTCCTGTAAGGTGTGCCAACACAACAGTAACCATTGACATAAACAGACTAGGTGTGCCACCTCGCTTTAGGAACTCTACTTACAAGGCGACAATTCCAGAGGACAAAGCGGTGGACAGCAGTGTTTTAATGGTATCTGCGATAGACAGCAATATCCTGGTGTGTATGATGACTATATCCTTATGTTAATAGTACAAATTTTTAATTTCTGCAACACAAATGGAGCTGTGATACATCTGTGTCCATAGAAGTTTTGATCTTATTATTGTTCATTTATTTTTTAGTAAATTCAAAGATGTAAAACCCATGAAATAAATTAGAAGATGATGGGAATGTATGCAACAATTAATTTCTAAATCTGAAAATTAATGCAAAGACTCAAAATGTATATTTACTGCAGGGACAAGTTGTTTATGAAGTGGAAGTTCCAGGAAGTGCATTCTTCTCCTTAAATTCAACATCAGGGGAGATCACTCTAGCCAAGTCAGTTTTCAATGAGCTCGACATCACTTACAGAGTAAGTGTTTCAATTAAATTTTGATCATAAATTGCATGTGTGTTTAAATTGTAAAGTAACAAGGTATACTTTTATGCTCTCGAAAATTTACGGGGGAGCATGTAGTCGCCACCATGTTCATCTGTTTTTCCATCTGTTCTTTTGTGTGCCCATCACTTCACCCACAGGTAAGCAAGGAGTATGACACTTGGTGTATACATTGGTCATACTAAGGCAATTGCAGTGTATCAATGATTTTGGTCTGAAGCACTCTTGGGTAAAAGGAAATCAATTTTGTGGGGCCCAAAAAAGAAATTTTGCAAGTTCTTTAAAATTCACTTGGGAGTGAAGCATGTGGCCCAAAAGGGAAAATAAAGCAAAGTCTTTAAAATTCCACTCCTCCTGGAGGAATGAATGAATATTACTCAAATTTGGTCTTAAGTATCCTTGGGTGAAGGGGAGTCAGTTCTGTACATCCTGGCCTCACTTAGATTGGAGGGTAGCGGCCCAAATTGGGAAATGTAAATTCTTAAAAATCCTTCTTCATTACAAAGATATTGTCCAAGTTTTAATAGTGAATTAGACTCCTGCTTGACCACAAAGCCAGGATCCAACTGGGAAATTATTTCAGAAATTATTTGTTGTATTTGAAATTCTTTGCCAAATTGTTGAATAGCTAAATTAGCCAGATGAGAAATACAGGACCATTGGGCCTCTTGTTTTTGTTTATATTATAATAACAAATTGCAAGAAGATTGAATAGCTTTTGCTGTTTTTCAGTTCAGGGTCATAACCTACGACACTGGAGAGCCTCAGTATCGTTCAACAGCTGATGTGATGGTCACTGTTGTACGCAATGCTTTCAAACCAACTTTCCTATTACGTGACTACATTGTAGTCGTTGACCAGAAATCAGACTTTGGTGTGATGGTTGTGAATACTACTGCAGTTGACCGCAATGGGGTAAGTTGGAACATATTTTCCTGAGAGATGTATTACTACAGCATTGATAACATTGATTCACAATACGGGCCTGTGATGATGTAGCAAAGCAATCGTAATATCCCTGGTATCTCTGATTTGTTCGATGTATTGAAAGTTGTACACGATTTCAAGGCCATAGGTTAATAGCATTTATCCCTGAGTTGAGAGTAGGACAGAGAAATCTCTACCTGTGGAGGAGATTCACAACTGCCTAATGTGAGTCTTTTTAGGGAATGGTCCTTTTTCTCCCGTTATCTTCAATATACTAGTAATAGAATAACAAGACAAATTTATGCTGACAAATATGGAAATAAAATTTGGCAAATAAGGATTTTCATTTTTATTTCAACTGATTTGTAATCTGCATTATGCATTGTACAAAAACAAACTTAACAATAAAACAAATAAAAAAGGAGATCAAATTTGAGAAATTTGGAAATACAGCATGACGAATAAGACTGAATTGAAAAGCCATGTAAAAGGATTGATCAGTGTCAGATAAGTAATCTGTTTTTTGTTATTCTACAGGATGTGCCAGTCTATAGAATGACAGGAACTCCTGTAGGTCTGGAGTACTTCAGGATTGACCGGGATACAGGAGAAATCTTCCTCAACAAACTCTTAAGTGACACACCATTTATTCAATACAATGTAAGAATCCAGTATAGTTCTAACCTTCCTTAGGTATTACACTGTACATTTCTATCACCTGCATCTAATACTCAGAACAGTCCTTTGACATTAAACATTTACATATTAATTTGTAATACTGAGTATAATTTTGGCTTCTAACCTTGATGTACAGACCTATAGACTTTTTATCTCAATATGTAATACTCAGTATAATTCTGGCCTCTAGCCTTTATATATTACTAGTATCATATTACTGTACTATACAATTCTTCTGAGAAAAATACCCAGTATAGTATCAGCCTGTCGTATTGAGAGACTGTTATGACTTTTTAGTTGGTAATAGTTCTTACAGGTGATGTGTATCAGTTGTGGTTACCAGGTACTTATTTGTTTTAGTTCACGGTGTATGCACGTGATCAGCGTCGAGTAAATGAAAAAACAGACTTCGCCAATGTGATCATCAATATTGACCTGGATGACCAACCTGTATACTTACGAACACCCTACGAAGCTTTTCTTCTGGAGAGTAGAGCAGTAAACACAAGCGTCTACTTGACTACAGCTCAAGACTCCGATCTCACTGTAAGCCTCTAGCAGTTCACATTTCTTAAAGGCAAACCTGAGATTGGAATTAGAAATCTTGCTGTTATATATAATAGGCAGCCAAATATAAGTAGTTCACTACTGGTATTGAAATGCTATGAGGGTCTGTCCTGATATTTGTGTGTATATTGTTAGATACCTTGGAGTATCTCTCAAGTTTCTCACTAAACCTTATCTTTGTTTATATTATCAACTTGATATGTGTTTCCAGGGCACCCTTGTTCGAGAAATCACAGGAGTTTATCCTGCACAAGACTTTTTCGCAATGAATAGTAGTTCAGGGGAGGTAACTCTAATCCGTGACTTGCGTGAGGATCCCCGTAACCTTGCATTATACATGGTAAGTAAACGATATTTTGAATCAAGATTTCGATGGATAAAGCTTTGACTATGAAATTTCTTTTTACTTTTGATAAGAATACCTTGCTGTATTTTCATTTCAAATATACTGTCAAGTCTTCAAATTTCTGGGTACTGACTTTCAGCTGTTTAGTAACAGTGTGCCATGAGAAATAAACCATGAAAAAATTATAACATCGACATATGTTTACAGTTGGAGTTAAAAGTGTACGACTCCCAGTATCCATCAAATACTGGAACTACATTTTTGAGAGTGTCCGTGTCAAGAAATCCCAATGCTCCACAGTTTAACAACACTAATTACTACAAACAACTGAATGAGTTGGTCAGCATCAGCACAAGTGTCATGTCCATTGGAGCTACTGACAACGATCCATTGGTTTGTGATCTCACATTTCACATATCTATTTAAATAGCTGTTGTAATGATTTTATCATAAGTGCTAAATATGTTTTTTTTATAATGAGCCATAACACAGAGGGTTGTATCATTTTATTACACAGGGGTTTGTGTTATTTTGGTACTAGTTATTACACAGGGATTTGTGTTATTTTGGTACTAGTTATTACACAGGGATTTGTGTTATTTTGGTACTAGTTATTACACAGGGGTTTGTGTTATTTTGGTACTAGTTATTACACAGGGGTTTGTGTTATTTTGGTACTAGTTATTACACAGGGGTTTGTGTTATTTTGGTACTAGTTATTACACAGGGATTTGTGTTATTTTGGTACTAGTTATTGCACAGGGGTTTGTGTTATTTTGGTACTAGTTATTACACAGGGGTTTGTGTTATTTTGGTACTAGTTATTACACAGGGATTTGTGTTATTTTGGTACTAGTTATTACACAGGGATTTGTGTTATTTTGGTACTAGTTATTACACAGGGGTTTGTGTTATTTTGGTACTAGTTATTACACAGGGGTTTGTGTTATTTTGGTACTAGTTATTACACAGGGGTTTGTGTTATTTTGGTACTAGTTATTGCACAGGGGTTTGTGTTATTTTGGTACTAGTTATTACACAGGGGTTTCTGTTTTTCAGGATGTTGTAACCTACAAAATTATTTCTGCCGACAACAATGGTGACCAGTTCTTCCTCCTTGACCCTTCCACTGGACTACTTACGACCAAAAAGCTGCTGACAGAAGCAAATTTTAACAGGACAGTTGTAAGTCGTTGTTTATGTACATTGGATATGATTTTGGATAAAATCGGACCATATTGATCATATGATTTAAAAAACAATGATTCTCGCGAAATGATTATTTAATTTTATTATGCAGTAAAGATAATTTGATTACCTAAGTTTGATATTGAAGTAACCAGACAATGAATAATTAAATAAAAATTGTGTTTAACAAAAAAGGTTTAACATGTCATTTTAAAGCAGGAAATTTAGAAGTAAGAGGTTTTACCTTTAATTCAAATACTAAAGACAGTAAAATGGAATTAAACCCAGAACTTAATGTGTTATCATAAAGAGAAAAATGGGAGCAATACATAATATAAATCAAAAATTTCTGTAAAGAATCAAGTAAATATCTCCTTAAAAAACAGAAATGAAAATGTGCGGAAAATAGTGTCAAATTATTAGAAAAGTTAGTCTACCCAAGTAGTTATTTTTCTTTTTCTAATGACTGATTGAGATTACTTATTTTCCAAGCTCGTATAGATTTTTTATTTTTTTTTGTGGATAAGACTTTTTTTTGAAAAAGTATTGCCCAAAGTAGGTGGTACATCAAGTTCATTGTACATCTATACAAGATTTTATGTTACAGATGATTATTGAGGCATCTGATCAGAGAGGTCAAACCAACACTGTCCAAATGATTGTTGAAATCATACGAAACCCAGCAGATAAGGCACCCTATTTCATCGGCGAGCCCTATGAAGCCACCATATTCTTCACTCAGGATCTTGTGACAGAGGTTGATAGTGTTGTCGCAAGAGATGATGATTTAGTGGTGAGCATTCAATCTTCGACAGAAATTTTCATTTTTGAAATATGAACCTATGTAGGAACGTTTTCTTCTTCCATACTAGGCTTTTCTTTTGGAAGGTAACTGTTGTTTAGATCTAAATTGAAATTGCAGATAATTTTGTCATTTTAATAATACATGCGAAAAAGTTGTTTAATTTGTGTTTCATTTAAAAGTGACTTTATGTATATTCACATTACATGAAGTCTCAAGTGACCTATTGCTATAATTTTTTGTTTAGCATCATCTGTTGTAAACAATTTACATTTCCGACTTCTCAATTACCAAAAGGCCAAGGGTCATGCTATTAGGCAAGTAGAATGCTATGATGAAGGGTTATCATGCATGGTCAAATGAATGACCTTGACCTGTATTCAAGGTCATAGGGGTCACATATGTTAAACTACATTAACAGACAGTGTTACCAGTCTCGTAAATTGAAAATTAATTCTTCAAACTTAGAAACAATAAAAACTTTGTTAGTATGTATATATCAGTTCTGTTCTGTCTGCCCCAATACTCGGACAACTGATTTCCAAAGACCTGGAGACCTCTGGTGACCGTTAAGTCCTATGGGCCTCTTGTTTTAGATTGTTGAATAATTGGTTGATATCAAATGTAATTTTTGTTGTTTTCTTGTCAGGCACCATCCAGGATTGTATATGAGATTGTCGGAATATTCCCTGCTCCTGATCACTTCCGCATAGATGATACTACTGGGCAAATCTTTGTTTCTCAAGATCTTTCCACGGATGTTTACAAAACACTTGTATACACTGTAAGGGTATTTTGTTTATTACCCGTTTAGAATAAGATGGTACAATTGTTCTGTAACTTTTTGTGACAGCTGAAATTATTAGCAAGTAAAATGTGTTCTGACATCAAAGTAAAATAATTTTTTGTCATAAAACATGTTTCTACTTTCCGTATAATTTTCAGAAAAAAATAGATTTAAAAAAATTATTGTAATTGATGATGAATTGCATTACATTTAGTTGTATTTACCACTCTCCTTGTAAATAATTGCATTGAAAAATAATCTCCTGTGTGCCTGAATAGAACATTCTTGTTAACAGCTGCGTGTGGAAGCATATGACATGGCGAACCCTGATTTGAGAGCTGAGACTAATGTAATCATTCGTGTCATCCGTAACCCAGCACAACCGCGGTTTACAAACAGTGCCCAATACACTATTACCATCCCAGAGACCTATGGTCCTGGAGCAATTGTAATGCCTGTCACTGCTATAGATGATGATGGGGTGAGAATTTTTTTTTTATATATAAGGTAGTGATGCACACATATATTTCTGCTGAATAGTAATTTTCCACTTTATAAATGATATTTACTAAACCTCTAATGAAGCAAAAAAATTGTAACATGTTTAATAAAACTTCTGTGAAATGAAATGGCAATGTTATGTAATGGATGTTAATACACAGATAACAGGGCTGTTATGTAATGGGTGTTAATACACAGAAAACGGGGCTGTTATGTAATGGGTGTTAATACACAGATAACAGGGCTGTTATGTAATGGGTGTTAATACACAGATAACGGGGCTGTTATGTAATGGGTGTTAATACACAGATAACAGGGCTGTTATGTAATGGGTGTCTTTACACAGATAACAGGGCTGTTATGTAATAGGTGTCTTTACACAGATAACAGGGCTGTTATGTAATGGGTGTCATTACTCAGATAACAGGGCTGTTATGTAATGGGTGTTAATACACAGATATCAGAGTTGTTATGGGATGAATGAAATCAGCATGTAAAATGAAATAAATATGGATTTCAGGATGTGGTGAGGTATAACATTGTGAATGACACATTTGGATTTGAAGCCATGAAGTTCTTCTTCATCAATGGAGAAACAGGAGTTATTTCCGTCATCGGAGATTTGAAGTCTTCAGCACCAGTTACACAGTATGCTGTGAGTATATCAACGGTTCTATACCCAGATGATATGGGCAAAATTACTTAATGAAATGATGTTGATAACATTGACAAATGAAAATTAAGGACAACAGCAATGCTAAATGAATGAAATCAATACACCTTTTCTAATGAAGTACAAGTCACTTTGTACTCTACCCAAAGACAATTTACAGCTACAGGATGAACCGTAAAATATACTTGGAGAAATGTCTTGATATCCACAGTTCTTCAGGAGATCTCTGAATACTAGTACTGCATTAGATGTTTCATACAATTAAGCTATAACTAGAACTATCAGAGAAGTAAGTAGCAGATAGATATGCACTGGAACCGTTCAGTAACCTATGTTCCAGGAACAAAGACAGATCTGAACTATCAGAGAAGTAAGTAGCAGATAGATATGCACTGGAACCGTTCAGTAACCTATGTTCCAGGAACAAAGACAGATCTGATTTAATGCTCCATCATTGTTTCTTCACCTAGAAATCAACATCTGTATCATTATCTGTGTCATCCTTTCAGTTTAATGTGCGGGCTAGAGATCAAGGCACTCCAGAGAAGTTTGGCTCTGCAACTGTAGTTATTTCCATTACGAGAGACAGCTCAGATCCAGCTTTCCTGTTCCCCAAGAACTATACTAGGACCATTTTTGAGACAGTACCTGTCAACGATACACAATCATTTTATAGATTCACTGCTTCAGATGGCAATTTACAGGTAAGTGTCTTCTTTTAAAGTATTGGTCTGACTTCTGTTACAAGTGATAATGAATTATATTCATCAGAATTGCTGACCTATATTAAAGAGTACAGGATTTCATTTTGTGGAAGGAAACCAGAGCTCCCTGTTTGGTCAGACAGGTAATATCCTTCATGTTCTTGATGAAAGGCTTGCTTGACCTCAATTACATCTAGTGATGTTACTGGATGTTGGTACACATGTAGTTGGTTTCAAAAGACAAGTATTTGTTTTGTGTTTTGCAGGAAAGCCTGAGGTATGCTGTCACTGGAGATGGATTAGCCATGGCGTACTTCTGGGTGGACACTAATGGTGGTGTTTATGTACGCAAAGACTTGATGACCACTGATGAAGTAAACTTTGTGGTGAGTACATCAATGCAGTGCAGAAATGTTGATTATCAAAAGAGATTCCATATGGTAGGGTATTTAGATTTTTTTTTGAAGAGTTAGGTCCCTTTCTCTTCTTTTCCATAATGCCTTAAGCTGCATTAGCGTAACCTGGTTGAAATGGTTCAGGTGATCTGGAATTATTCCACTCTACGCGAATGCACTTATACTGGATATATGACTGTAAAGTTAAAAAGTTTCGGAATTTCCTGTCAAGCAGAAATAAATGAACTTTAATTAAGATTCCATCCATTTCACTTATACGTTATTGCACAATGCTCCAAGAAATATTTGAGTGCACCGACCTTACTCTTGCAAATCAGTTTCGGCAGTATGGCTGGACCCCTCAAGATGCATGTGCCAAATATTCCGCAGTCCAGCCTCCGTCCCAATCTGTGCCTGGGTTTTTTTCTTGCAGGTTCAACCAGTCCAATGCAAAAGCGCCTCTGTTTCTGAATTGCATGGTGCCATGAAATCACCAATCTAGAAATATGAAACAATCCCTACAGAATATAACTACTGGCATAAACATTATTTATTGTAAATCCTTATATTAATTTTACAGATGACTGTGGCTGTTTATGATACTTACTATCCAAACAACAGAGACTATGCGGTGCTCAACATTATTGTAATTCGCAATCCTGGTGAACCAGTTTTCAGCTTTAATGGCCAGTACGATCAAACCATTAATGAATATCATCAGTTTGGAAAGTCAGTCATTGGTGTGTCGGCAAGTGATTCTGATGGTGTAAGTATATGAAGAAATAGGATCCTTTATCTAAGCAAAGAAATGTGGCATATTTTTAGCAGTGAAGTATTTACAGGCTTTATTTTCTCTGAGCTAAGAATTTAGTTAAGTGAGTGGAGAAGTAAATGAGGTTGCTTACAATTTTTTATTTAGTTAAATTTTGATTAATAATTTCCGCTTGGTAATGGTAGGTGAGCATATGCAGTGGACTTAAATGGTAAAAAATTGGATAAAATTGTTTATTTACTTGGTAATATTTATACAATGTTTGAGCTTAGTGTTTTTAGTTGATATTAAAATGAGCCTGTTACTGACTCTTAATGTTAGTAATTGATATCTTGGTATTTTCTTTATTGTCTTATATGAAGTTGATACTTTTCTATCAACAATCCGAATTGCAAGTCGTGTTAAGGATTGTTTTATTTTGATTTTCACTCTTGCATCACACAAAGTGTTTTAACCTATCTGGATGAATCTACATTATATAGGTAAACATTCACTTTAAGCTTGTGCTGTGTTGCAGGATGTTCTGCGCTACAAAATTCTGGGGCCATCAGAGGCAACGCAGAAATTTTACATCACCCCAGACACAGGAGTGGTCTACCTTTACAGTAGACCAGATCCAGTTAATTATGTTGTAAGTAAAAAAAAATTATTGGTTATGATCTGTTTCTTTTTCATTTTTAATGAATTTTGTTGGTGACTTTAATGTCCATGAATCAGACTATTCTGGATAGTTGATGAATTCATGTATTTTTTTCATACAAGTCCTCCCTTTATTTTTATTACTTTATAGATGTTCTAACAGTTCCTGGTATTTCTTTATAGGTGTTCTAACAGTTCCTGGTATAACTTTATAGGTGTTCTAACGGGTCCTGGTGTTACTTTATAGGTGTTCTAACAGTTCCTGGTATAACTTTATAGGTGTTCTAACGGGTCCTGGTTTTACTTTATAGGTGTTCTAACAGTTCCTGGTATTACTTTATAGGTGTTCTAACGGGTCCTGGTTTTACTTTATAGATGTTCTAACAGTTCCTGGTGTTACTTTATAGGTGTTCTAACAGTTCCTGGTATTACTTTATAGGTGTTCTAACGGGTCCTGGTTTTACTTTATAGATGTTCTAACAGTTCCTGGTGTTACTTTATAGGTGTTCTAACGGGTCCTGGTATTACTTTATAGGTGTTCTAACAGTTCCTGGTATTTCTTTATAGATGTTCTAACAGTTCCTGGTATTTCTTTATAGGTGTTCTAACAGTTCCTGGTATTACTTTATAGGTGTTCTAACGGGTCCTGGTTTTACTTTATAGATGTTCTAACGGGTCCTGGTGTTACTTTATAGATGTTCTAACAGTTCCTGGTGTTACTTTATAGGTGTTCTAACAGTTCCTGGTATTACTTTATAGGTGTTCTAACGGGTCCTGGTATTACTTTATAGGTGTTCTAACGGGTCCTGGTAGTACTTTATAGGTGTTCTAACACTTCCTGGTATTACTTTATAGGTGTTCTAACAGTTCCTGGTATTACTTTATAGGTGTTCTAACGGGTCTTGGTATAACTTTATAGGTGTTCTAACGGGTCCTGGTATTACTTTATAGGTGTTCTAACAGTTCCTGGTATTACTTTATAGGTGTTCTAACGGGTCCTGGTGTTACTTTATAGATGTTCTAACGGGTCCTGGTATTACTTTATAGGTGTTATAACGGGTCCTGGTGTTACTTTATAGATGTTCTAACGGGTCCTGGTATTACTTTATAGGTGTTCTAACAGTTCCTGGTATTACTTTATAGGTGTTCTAACGGGTCCTGGTATTACTTTATAGGTGTTCTAACAGTTCCTGGTATTACTTTATAGGTGTTCTAACAGTTCCTGGTATTACTTTATAGGTGTTCTAACGGGTCTTGGTATAACTTTATAGGTGTTCTAACGGGTCCTGGTATTACTTTATAGGTGTTCTAACAGTTCCTGGTATTACTTTATAGGTGTTCTAACGGGTCCTGGTGTTACTTTATAGATGTTCTAACGGGTCCTGGTATTACTTTATAGGTGTTCTAACGGGTCCTGGTGTTACTTTATAGATGTTCTAACGGGTCCTGGTATTACTTTATAGGTGTTCTAACAGTTCCTGGTATTACTTTATAGGTGTTCTAACGGGTCCTGGTGTTACTTTATAGGTGTTCTAACGGGTCCTGGTATTACTTTATAGGTGTTCTAACAGTTCCTGGTATTACCTTATAGGTGTTCTAACAGGTCCTGGTGTTACTTTATAGGTGTTCTAACGGGTCCTGGTATTACTTTATAGGTGTTCTAACAGTTCCTGGTATTACTTTATAGGTGTTCTAACAGTTCCTGGTATTACTTTATAGGTGTTCTAACAGGTCCTGGTATTACTTTATAGGTGTTCTAACAGTTCCTGGTATTACTTTATAGGTGTTCTAACGGGTCCTGGTGTTACTTTATAGATGTTCTAACGGGTCCTGGTATTACTTTATAGGTGTTATAACGGGTCCTGGTGTTACTTTATAGATGTTCTAACGGGTCCTGGTATTACTTTATAGGTGTTCTAACAGTTCCTGGTATTACTTTATAGGTGTTCTAACGGGTCCTGGTATTACTTTATAGGTGTTCTAACAGTTCCTGGTATTACTTTATAGGTGTTCTAACAGTTCCTGGTATTACTTTATAGGTGTTCTAACGGGTCTTGGTATAACTTTATAGGTGTTCTAACGGGTCCTGGTATTACTTTATAGGTGTTCTAACAGTTCCTGGTATTACTTTATAGGTGTTCTAACGGGTCCTGGTGTTACTTTATAGATGTTCTAACGGGTCCTGGTATTACTTTATAGGTGTTCTAACGGGTCCTGGTGTTACTTTATAGATGTTCTAACGGGTCCTGGTATTACTTTATAGGTGTTCTAACAGTTCCTGGTATTACTTTATAGGTGTTCTAACGGGTCCTGGTGTTACTTTATAGGTATTCTAACGGGTCCTGGTATTACTTTATAGGTGTTCTAACAGTTCCTGGTGTTACTTTATAGGTGTTCTAACGGGTCCTGGTATTACTTTATAGGTGTTCTAACGGTACCTGGTGTTACTTTATAGGTGTTCTAACAGTTCCTGGTGTTACTTTATAGGTGTTCTAACAGGTCCTGGTATTACTTTATAGGTGTTCTAACAGTTCCTGGTGTTACTTTATAGGTGTTCTAACGGGTCCTGGTATTACTTTATAGATGTTCTAACAGTTCCTGGTGTTACTTTATAGGTGTTCTAACGGGTCCTGGTATTACTTTATAGGTGTTCTAACGGTACCTGGTGTTACTTTATAGGTGTTCTAACAGTTCCTGGTGTTACTTTATAGGTGTTCTAACGGGTCCTGGTATTACTTTATAGGTGTTCTAACAGTTCCTGGTGTTACTTTATAGGTGTTCTAACAGTTCCTGGTGTTACTTTATAGGTGTTCTAACAGGTCCTGGTATTACTTTATAGGTGTTCTAACAGTTCCTGGTGTTACTTTATAGGTGTTCTAACAGTTCCTGGTTGAGGAATTAAGACATTGAAAATGAATACTCTTTCTGCTTTTGATCTATCTTGTTTCCTAATCTTTATAAAGATTTACATTCTGTCCATTTAACAGATGACCATCGAGGCCAGTGATCAGAGGACCCCACCTAAAACAAAAAATGCAACTTTGAGAGTAAATGTCATTGCCAATCAGCCTCCTAGATTCAGAAATATTCCAGCAGTAATCAATGTAGCAGAGAGATCTGAAGTAAATGTTCGACTCTTTCAAGTGTCTGCCACAGACAGTGACTTAGTTGTAAGTATCAGTGATGAACAGTCGGTTTTCTTTTTTCAAATTAATTGTTTGTATTATAATACCTGGTATGACATTTTTTGTATTTTTGTTATTTATAGGAAACAGGTGGAACCCTACAGTATAAGCTTATTGGTGATGGTGCTGGTCCAAGCTTTTTCCAGTTGTCGTCCGAGGGCGTGATTTCTCCACGAGTTAATCTGAGGGGTGACAATGCACTCATTTATGAGGTCAGTATTTTATGGAAAAAGTGTTTTGTGCAGTCTCATGTGTACTTCAGTTAAACACAAATATTGTTCATTCTGACTTGATGATCGTTTTGAAAACTGGTTTTCCGTTTTTCAGCTACGAGTGCAGGTTTACGACTCCGAGATTCCCAGTATGGCCATCAATAGTACTGTGACTGTAAATATGACTAGGAATCCAAACCAACCAGTCTTCACCTTAAGTGGTTTTTACACATTTCCCATCACAGACAACACTCCAATTGGTGACAGGGTTGGCTCAGTCTTAGCCACTGATGCAGACAATGTAAGTAATACCAGGTAGTAAGTTTTAATGATTAACATGAGATATCACATAGTTAAGTTTGTACTTTAGAAGAATGTTATATTACACATTTCATATTAGAATATGAAAATAGATTTAAAGACAAAAGTATAAAGGATTAAGCATCCGTAAACTACCCATCTTACAGTCAAGTTAGAGGTTAATTCCCGCAGAAGTAATTCTACAAAAAACTTGGAAGTTTCAACCTTGAGCTTGGACAAACTGGTTCAGCAGTACTATATATGTAAGATTTTAGACATAAGTTAGGACAGACCTGCAAATATTAATACAGGTCTCAAAAGTTTTAGTTGCAGCTCATCAGAAAGCAAAATAAGATTAACAGATTTTACTTAATAAACAAATATTCCTATTCTTACTAGTCAGAACAATAAAGTGCCATAAAATAATTTGATGAAATTATCTACCCATTTTTTGTGTAAATATGTAATGATATAATGCCTTTTTTAAAATTTTAGGACACAATTCGGTATAGTGTGTTATCAGGGCCTGAAGATTACTTTTACCTCTTACCGGATTCTGGAGAAATGTTCCTGATCAAGCCATTAAGCACTACAGGTTTAAAGAGGTTTATAGTGAGTAGATATTTGGTGGTCTCTTCATTTGTATCCCAATTTTAGATTATTTATGGGAGGTAAAACCTATTTTACCTGTCAATATGTCAACACTTCATCACGATCTTTAGATGCTGAATGTTTAAAATTTTGAGAGTTTTCTTTGACATAAATTAATACCAGGTAAGTTCTTAATAAAAAGAATCATGCCTTGATTGAGAGTTTCTATTGGTAATTAAGATCAAAATCAACATGAATGTCCTCGTGGATTAAGATTAGTATATGTGATGTTGTGGACACAATGTACTTTGACTTGCAAAAGTTACCAGGATTTGTCACATTAGCTATTGTGACACCAGGTTTAGATAATGAAGTGACATGACACATTCACACATTATGATGTACTAGGAGACCATGGATATAGAACTGAAAAATTGATGTGAACATTTTTTGCAATATTTGCCTGAATAATCAATCATGTTAGATTTACTTCCATTTAATCTGTATAGCTAGAAATATTTGGAAGGGATTTTATTTCACCATTTTCACAGTCAGTTAGCATGAAATTAAAAACCCAACGAACATCTCAGAAAACTTCTGTTATACCTTTAAATATGGACACCATTTCATAACCATGCATGAATTTTAAAACCTGTGAACTAGCTGAAGCTGGGCAACCATGAAATATTAGCTCTGCAAAATCAAACAACAATACAGTATATGGTTTCAGAAACAGATCCTGTGAAAGCCTTGGTCAAAGAAAAAATACCTAGATTTTCATAAAAATTTCTTAAATCACATATCAAATGGAAACTGAATATTTGAGTAAACTAGAATTACTGTAACACTTTACACTTTTTCTTTTGATTTAGTTTACTGTAAGGGCTTCTGACCAGCGTTTACCTGAAAAGTCAGCCATTGCACAAGTTACTATACAGGTAGACAGAGATGAACAGGCCCCTGTATTTGCGGATTCAACACACGAAACTACTATTGATGAAACAGATCCTCTTAACTTTATTGTGTACACCGCCACGGCTACAGATAATGACCTACGGGTATGTAACTATGGTATTTCTTCTAGATGAATTATCAAAGCACAAGTTGAATTGCATAGTAGCAACAAAGACCACAGATGACTTTATATTTGTAGGGTAAAGTTTCTTTGTATTAAATAGTGTATACATCTGTTTTACAGGGAAATATTACTTACGAGATCACTGGTAATTACCCAGCCCAGACATTCTTCGGTATTCTTCAAGATGGCAATATTCTTATCACAAGAAGCCTGAAGGAAGATGGACTAGCAAGGACCTCATACGTTGTAAGTATTTCACTATAAACAAGGACTTCTTGAGGACTGATATTATGTTATTTTAACTACAAAACATTATTATTCATATATCTAATTTGTGTTCCAGTTGACTATTGAGGCTTATGACAGTGCAAACCCAGATCTTCGAGGCACTATGTATCTGACCATCAATGTGAGACGTAACATAAATGGCCCTGTGTTTGACAGGACTGACTATTCCACCGTTAAAAGTGAACTCACTCCCATGGGCGTTCTCATCTTTAACATTACTGCTACAGACAATGATGGTGTAAGTTCTTTTCGTGTTTTCTGAAATACTTTTAATTGTCAGTCTATTCATGTCATTGGCCTATCAACAGCACCAAATCACCAACTTAAAAATTCCTATCATTCAACAAGCATTGGATATTTTTGGAGGATTTTACTTTATTCATTTATTTTTTTTTTTTTTTGTATCAATATTAATATTTCTTGATATGACTGATTAAATAAACTAATCAATTTTCGAATCCAAAAGCACTTTTTTTATACCTAAACCATAAAATTTTCTCCAATAAAAAATCTCTACATTGGAACCATTTAAACTTCCAGGAGTAACATTACACAATGAAAAAAAATTGGATAATTGGAAATATTTAAATCCCATTAAAATATCTGTGTGACATAGTATATGTGTATCCTATTTAGTGTATAACATGAGTGTTTTATTAAGAGATGTATTTCACAAATATACAGTATTCGGAAATGAATTGGACACAGTAATATTACTGCATTAGTCTGCATATTTTCTGTTACCACGTATAGAGCATTTGTTGTGTCAATGCATCGTGCCAGAGATGTACATTACACTGCTTGACACTTTGTAGGGTAATAGTGACTACTGTCAGATTATTGGCCGAGGAAGTCACCTGCAAAACTTTATCACAGTTTACCTTACTTCAATACAGGACAAAATCAATTCATTCTAACAACAATATCAAAGATAAAGTGTTGTTTTCGAACACCTGACAATTAATTCTATTCTAAATTATTCAGTATTTATACATGTCTACTTGTATAGTAAGAGAATTGTTGTTTGCCAGGATATAATGTGTAAATGAAGCGAGAGTAAAATAAACAAAAAATGTAATTAACACTTGTCAATATAAGTCATTGAAACACAGCGACATTGGGCCATCATTTTATTTAAAAGCAATCAACAGCATCACACTGACAACTTTAGCTTTATATAATCAAGGAGAGGGATTGTCCAGTTAACTAAACTTGGCAGTCTGGAAAACTGGTAATGCAGACAATCGGGAATGAAGCTGTCCTGATTATCAAAGGTTCACTGTAAATAAAACCTGTTTATTTTGTCAGACCTTCATTTTGTAGTCATTGACTTCAAGCTGTGTTATGACTTAACAATAATACTATTTCACAGGATGAAGTGGTGTATGATCTTATCGGCGACAAACACCACCACCACCACCACGCGCGCGCGCGCGCGCGCGCGCGCGCGCGCGCGCGCGCGCGCGCGCGCGCGCGCGCGCGCGCGCGCGCGCGCGCGCGCGCGCGCGCGCGCGCGCGCGCGCGCGCGCGCGCGCGCGCGCGCACAACCCAATGGTCAGTCCTTGAAATATTTCATCATAGAACGCACAACAGGTTACATGTACCTCCGGGAACCTCTAACGAGTAGCACTGTGCCATCTTTTTCGGTAAGTTCATCAGAATAATTACATACTGTAGCAGTGTTATCATTTTCTAGTCCTCCACAAATTTCATCATCTGTTCTTCACTCTGTTAACATATTTCCTTATTTATGCATTCAGCTTTACTTTTTAAGTCTGTTAATATGTCGATAAGTAAATTGATCCTACAAGTAAATTAAACATATTTTATGTGAAGTTCCTTCCATCTTTATATACAAATTCTGCTGATAGAGACAATGTGACAAGTTCAATGGAATCTTTATTTTTCACAGATGGTAGTCAGGGCAACAGATAATGGCAATCCTCCAAGGACCCAAGAAGTCGACGCTAATGTTTTTGTTCAGAGGATCACAGCACCAATATTCAGTCTCTCCGAATATGATGTGAACCTGAAAGAAAATGTTGGCACTGGTTACAGTGTGGTAACAGTGTCTGCAGCTCACCAACCAGTGCTTCCTCAGGCAGATATTCGCTATATGATCACAGGAATTCCTCCAGCAACTCATTTCTTTTCTGTCAACTCAACTACTGGACAGATATCTGTGAGCCAAGATCTTAGAGGTGATCGAACAGCAGTGTATCAGGTAAGTCCTCTGATGTAGAGCTGTTGTTTTATTGACTATAAAACAATGCCACCTCAGGTAGTTACTTACTATCATAATGGTCTAGCTTATCAAGAGCCAGTGTTCTACTTACTGTCAACATTTTTAGGGTATCTAGACACATCAACGTACTGTCAACACTTTCGGGAAAATGTAGGTCACATAAACGCTGTCAAAACTCTGAAGATCATCCAAGTCAATTAATTGTATTAACTTGCTGAATTTGAAATATTTCTTTGAAAGTTTGACAATGAACTAGTTGTGTATGGCATCAGATCAGACAATGGGTTTCTTGTCTGATCATTTATCACTTGTAAACATCATGTGATGATGAAGTTTCTGATTTTGTTACCAGCTGACATTACGTGCATACGACAATGCTAACCCCAGTGTATATAGTGATGGTCTGGTTGTCATTACCATGGAGAGGAATCCGAACTCGCCCTCCTTCTCCCAGGCTAGCTACACTGCTAGTATCCAAGAAGATGACCCATTGGGCACCAGTGTTACACAGATCATGGCAAATGATGCAGATAATGTAAGACACCCTCGATACTGTTGTACTTCGCTATTTGGGAAAGAAATATGGATTAAAAGTCTTACTGAATGATTATTATATGTATTATGATACAACTTCTTGTCAACAACTTTAATGATCTCTCCGTAATAGGGGTGATATTACATATAATTTCTTAAAATTTAATTACCTTTTCCTTTTTTCACATTAAACATTTTACCCATTGGATCATACAGTTGATGCATGAATACTAATTTGCATAATTTTGGTTAACGTTGATATTATCTTTAAATTTTCATCAAAACCAATCACAAGAAAATAATATGTGTTTCAGGATACTCTGACGTATTCACTAACTGGCAACACTCGCTGTCTTGAGGCTTTCTACATTGTGTCCTCCACTGGCATAGTTTATCTGAAAGAAAACCAAGAATTAACAAGTGACCTGCAGTACATCGTATGTAGTTGATTATTTATGTCTGCAATAATCCATGTGCTTTTGTAGGTTTATTTTTAGACCATTTAACAAACCATTGTTATAATGCTGATTTCAAAATTCGGTAACATCAATGAATATTGTAATTTTATTGGTAGAATTTAAAACGAATATTGCCGTCTAACTTTTGGTCATTGAGAATATTTAAGTAGTATTAACTTGTTGTTATTTTGAGCTCTAGACAATATTGTCTGAAAAACTCTTAGCTAAACAGCTTACTATAAACTAAAGTATGTTGATGTAGTCAATTTCTGGTTCCCCTGAGGTGTAGTCAATTTGATGAGTGTTAGTCACTTTTAGTCTATTTCTTACCCATTTGGTTGTTACTAGTGCCAAGTAACTGTGACAGATAATGGATATCCCAATGAAAAGACTGCTAATACTCAGCTGGTGATTGGTGTTGTCCGAGGCCAGCTGCCTTCATTCAGCTTACCAACTTACCAAGCAAATGCCCTGGAGAATGATAATGTTGGAAAGCTATTGACCACTGTGTCTGCTACAAGGATACCAACACTGGTAAGTGTGTCATGGTCACCACATTAGCCAAAAGGATCAAGGTCAATGACTTGGGTGAGATCTCAACTGAGTATGTGTTTCAAGGAATTGTTAAGTGAATGTCAAGGTCAAAAATATACAGAAGTATGTCAAGGTCACAACAGTGGTAAGTGTATCAAAGTTGCCAACACTTCTAAGGTCAATACCTCTGTAATGTATCAACTTTATCAAGGTCATCAATGTAAGCAGGAGTCAAAGTCATTGGTAGGTATGTAAGAGGTATAGGTAACACATTGAGGTATATCATGGAGAGCATTGTATTATCAATAACTAATGCTTAATTAAAGATAGAAAAGTCATTCAAATTTTTAAGTTTAGAAAATTTAGAACTTGAAAGAACTGTATGAGATATTGTGTTCTGTGTAAAGGATCAGTGACAAAAGATGTTTCTTTCCAGGGCGAGATTATGTACGAAACTGTAGGTGATTACCCTGCCCAAAGTTTCTTTGGTGTGAACAATAAGAGTGGAGAAGTGACCATCATCAGGGACTTGAGACAGGATGGCCTGAATCTCCTAAGCTATACTGTAAATACATCACATCTACTGCTTTACTTTCAACTAACTTAGATCTGATCTGAAGACACACTAGTATTGTTTTTTTGCCATTAACCAGTCAATTTATTTCATAGTTTTGAAACCGATAAGATAATTCAAAAGGACTGTCAAAGATCTGATGGTTTACACAAGAAAAATTAAGATAAATGTATTTTCTGTTAAACCAACTCCAATTGTATCAGATTATAATTGTAGTTCTCATGTTATACTTCGGTTATTTTAACACAGGAAGTGCTAACCTGTCATTTGGATGAGCTTTGCCTTATGTGAGAAATAATCTTGATTACATTATCCAACTGTGATCAAGGTCATTTTTCCCCAATATTATTTTACAGTTTTGAATCAACAGCAAACTGCTTTTAGAACATTACCGAAAACACCAGTATCTTTTATTTTCCTTTTTTAATTTTGTTAATAATAGTTATATCAAAATAATGAAGTAAAATTATGACTTTTGGTTTTTGACAGTTGAAAGTTGTAGCATATGACACTGGAAAACCCAGTCTGCGAAGAACTGGTACTGTAGTCATAGATGTGGCCAGGAACCTGAATGGTCCCACATTTTACCCAATCAACCAACAAGTGGAACTGCCACAAAGTACCAACCCAGACTTCTGGTCCCTCGCCTTGAATGTGACAGACCCAGACAGCGTAAGTTCTTCAGGTCCCCCACCCTTGAATCTACCAGATCTATAGAGTTGAAAGTTATTCTTGAAGGCTATCCAAGTATCATGCCTTACTCTAAGAATGAAAATAAAAGACTTTGAAACTTAAACAAACATGGATTCCTTTGAAATAGCTCTGTTTGGTGAAGATATAAAACATGTATAGATATGGAATAAATTTCCATTTATAATTTATTAAAAGAAAACTTATTCATTTATATTGTTCATTTTTTTAAACAAATATGCTAACTTGAACATCTGTTTTCTTTTAGCCCACTTTGACCTGTTCGATCATCAGTGATGTTAAGGCCCAAGAATTCTTCATGGTGGATAAAGATTGTCGTTTGTCACTAAAGAAGAGTCTTCTTACAGATCCAGATGTCACACAGATATATACAGTAAGTGTACATAAAGACACCTATATATGTAAACAGAAAATATCAAGAAGAAAAAAACATTTGTTTCACTAACTTTTTCAAGCCCGTTGTTTCATTTTTTATTGTATTTTTTTTCATTATTTATTTGATATTTTCATATATTTAAAAAACATAGTGTTTTGTCCAAATATGTAAAGAAAACAAAAACAAATCTCAAATATTTCTTGTGAAGGAGAGTGCACATTTTGAGAGCCACTGTTTCGCTTTAGTTTGACTACACAGAAACTAATACGATATAGTTACAGACTTAAATATGATATAGTTACAGACTTAAATACAATATAGTTACAGACTTAAATACAATATAGTTACAGACTTAAATACGATATAGTTACAGACTTAGATATAAAGTTTATTATTTCAGTGTTGCCAACTTGCCTGTTTGCATAATGTCAGTCTGATATTTGCTATATCATTACCCGCTCAATCGTGATAAATGCTTGAAACACATTATTTTCCTTTTATTTTTTGGTCAGGGTTTAAAACTTTCAAAATCAAATCTAAATACATACAAATGTGATAAGAATACAATAGAATTGACCCTTAGGGCTTTTCCCTTGACCCTTCAAAACACCCGGTCACCCTTGAATTTGAAGAACATGACCAGATATCGGATGGCTAGAGGTAGGCGACACTATTACATGTAGTTTTTAGCCCAACATACGTTATCCATGGTAATGATTTCTTCCCAAAGGTACGAATAGAAGCCAGTGACAATGGAGTACCAAGCCCAAAAACTGCTAGGTCCACTGTGACTGTCATTGTTCCCAGAGATTTGTCCAACCCAGCGTTCACTAACTTGCCCGACACAATAAATATCAATGAGGACTCCACTCCTGGAACATCTGTGTTCGATGTGACAGCTTCAGATCAGGACAGACGAGTAAGTATTTACATTTTTGCTTTAGATACAGTTTGACATTTTAGTACTATGATTTTTTTAAACAACATGCTTGTTATGATGTCATAAAAAATGTATCTGGGGAATTCATTAGGCATTATGAAGATTCAGAAATGAAAGCACTAATGCTAAATTTGACACTCCTGAAACATTTTATGTTGGATGTGATAGCTTCAGGTCAGGACAGACGAGTAAGCATTTTAGTGGTATGATTGCTATTTATTGTGAATGAGAAATGTGCAAAGTTTCATTGTTATGTTGTTATAAACACAGTGTTGTATCCAGTTTAAAACCAATGCAAATTAATACCTTTATTTTTTTTAAAGGGCAATTTGACCTACAATTTGGTAGGGGTCTTCCCAGCCCAAACATTCTTCAAGATGGATCCTCTCACTGGTGAAATTACCATCCTTAACGTCCCAAAGTCTGATTCCCAGGAGAATATGGAGTATAAGGTATATATAAATCAGCTGAGAGCAGGTGGCCCTGTCATCATTTTATACCAGGATCTATAGTGTATAATCTATGTCTTTTCCACAACTTCCTGTCCAACACAATAATAATCATATTTTTGTTTCATGTCGATCATGAATAAATCTGTTTTGAGATCATCTGACTGGAGGATCAAGATGACCGATGGTCATCATGTTTTGTTCGTCATTGTGTGCTGTGTTGGTTTTACTCAGATGTTGTATTTAATCTTGGACCAGCTTTTCCAGGAAATTATCTCACTGCAGTGTGTAACAGCTACAAGCCATTTCATAACAAATATTGGTAACAGATCTTTTGTGGTTATTAGTCGTACCTGACCAATTTCAGTTCATCCACTGTATGAAACTGTGTATTGACATATGGCATCTATTATATTTATTGCTGATACACATATGTAAGTCGGAGAGAAATTCAAGTTTTTCTTTTAATTACTTTTTTCAGCTAAGAGTTGAAGTATATGACAGTTATTGGCCAAACAACAAAGCATATGGTGAATTGACTGTAAGAATAAATCGTAATCCTACTGGACCAGTCTTCAACCCAAGGAGATATGTAGAAGTGGTACGGGCAAACGTTGAGTTGGGCACAGTTTTGTTCCAGTTGTCCGCCAGTGATGCTGATGGGGTAAGCTACCTGATATTTAAAGCCTTGTTAATTGCTATTTCCATTTAATATCACTTCAATATATTATGCTACCAATGGATTAGTTAATTATTTGAGAACGTTTGATACAAATCATATTCTGTTTCTTTTATTACAAGTTCAGCAGTGAATTGGTTTTTTTTTTTTTTTTTCGCTATTCCAGCTGATTATTATATATGATATATTTATGCATGTGATGCATATCTTTACAGGATAGGTTAATTTACACCTCTGACATGAGTGCCCAAGACATGCAGTACTTAACTCTAAGTCGGGACAGTGGAGCCATTATCCTATACAAGTCACTGGAGACTGTCGGAACACCAAACAGTTTTAATGTAAATAGAGTTGAATGTTTTCATATTCGATTATCTTACCAAGGCTATAAGAGAATATCTTTATTATTGATAAATATATGAGATTATCTCTTTTTCTCTTATGTCAACGTGTAGCTAAATCGTTTGTTACAGTAGAATGCCACGAATTGAAACTGAATATATCAAAACTTCAGGAGTCTGTTTGCTGATTTCGATATATCTTTATTGAAAATCAGAATAAATTTTACAGCCCTACTGCAATCAGTCCATTGTTTTTACTGCAGTATGTAATTAAGTTTAAAATTCAATGAAAGTTGATAGTTTTACAAATCATAAGTAAATGTTTTTTATCTTTAGTTCAACGTGTTTGTGTTTGACACCCGTAACCCTGTCAGAAACGACACTACCACTGTATTCCTGTCTGTGACGGCACTAGCAGGACCGCCAATATTCACAGAAAACAACTACGAAGTGACCATCCCCATAACCCAGAGTATCAATACCACAGCCACTGCTGTAATTGCTTCAGACTCCGATCTACAGGTGATTTTCTATACAGACAGATAACACAGAAATACTCCAAAAATTTTAAGAACAAATATATCAAAAATGATAAGGTTACTTTCATTACTTTGATTAAAATTCCTGCATCATAATTATGCTACAGACCATGTAGAATGACAGTATATGTTGTTACCATCACGACTTTTACGATTTACCACTTCTGTTGTTTTATTGAACAATGTAGTCAGTTTGGTCATTCATTAGACAATTATAGACTGAGTTTCTGTACAGGAAAGCAAGGAATTTACAGAGAAAACACTTGTTTAATGTGGATCTTTCTTTTTTTTTTCCATACTACAGGGATCTCTCCGGTATGAGGTGAAAGGATTTGCACCAGGAACTGAATACTTCAGATTAGATTCTACAACGGGTGTTATTTATGTGAATAAGGATTTACACCTCAATACCAACTTGTTCCCTAACTACTTTGTAAGTACCTCTGGTGGAATATTGATCTGAAGGAGACATTCACAAGACGACTATGCTTTTACTGTCTTGGCCGTCTGTGGTAGCTAATCTCCATTCATTATATGTCTCTTCTTTTATATAACCCTTTCGGCCGATGGACGCCAAAGGCCCTTTATAATGGACAAAAAAACCATACCAAGTTGTTGTTTCAAAAATGTTTTATTTCAATCTCAGCATGTTTTGCACTCTAGACACTGAGCATATAACGAAAACGATTGACGTGCATTATCGAGACACCCAAATGTACACCACCACTCTCAGTTTAGATATATAACTTTGTTTTTGTTTTATGATCTATACATGTGATGTAATTTATGTAATATCTGTGTCTTGATAAAAGGGACAGGTTCAAGTAATACGCATCCAATGAATATTTGTTTGTTATAATCCATTATCAATATAGGACCGTACTGTCGATATTACTTACTAGATTCTATATTTAGATATACATTAAAATTTCTTCTAACAAAACTCTTGTAATTACGTGATAGAAAATGTATTTAGATTAGGCTTTTTGAAGGTTCAGACATGAAAGCACTTGTGCTTAATTTGATATGATGTTATTTTGATATATTTCACTGGACACGGTGAATTCGACCTTTATATTTTAATATCTTTATATAGATATATATATATTATTATGTGTCTTCTAAACAGAGATTTTTGTTATTACAGTTACTCATTGAGGCCTTCGATACCAGCGAACCTGAGGCAGTGAGCCGTGCTACAGTCACTATTAAGATCAATAGAAATGTATTTGGTCCATCTATATTACCTAGCACTTACACTGCGTTTGCCAATGACTACGACCCGAAGGGAACCCCCATACTGGATATCAACGCCACAGATTCTGACACTACGGTAACATGCCAAATGATACTATAGAAATAAAAAATCTTTAACATGATAGGTGATATGTTTATCAATCTATGTTTTTCATTGAATACACATGTGTCATTTTTTTTAACAGAATACTACATGTAATTGGTGTATTGTGACATCAGGAAATGCCAAAGTAACGATGTCTCTTACTCTTGACATCACAAAGATAATCCTAGCTAAACAGCCTAGTTGACTCCATGAAAGAGAGTTTAAAACATATTTTCTGTAATAATTAGCTGGATGGTTGTTTATGCAACCAAACACATTTTCATTCCCATTTCATACAGGATTATTCAGAATGAAATTTGTCATCAGATTTTCATTTTAGTTAGCAGACTTGCTAAAATGAAAAATCCAAGACTTTTTTCATATACTGGGTTTGAATTGGAAATTCATGCAAGATCCTGTATGTGTAATATAGTTTCAAGAATATCAGTGTGTCATATGGTTTGTCAATATTGCAGATGCCAGAGAACAACTTATTTTACACACTGGAGGATGGACGAGCTGCCAATGACTACTTCACCATCTCTCCATTCACAGGGCTGATCTCTGTATCTAATCTCATTTCCTCTGACCCTGCTCGGCCACTAGACTATGTTGTAAGTCCATTTCCTTGACTGTATAGATAGTACAGACCACAACAACTCTGGTGGTTACTTTTGAATTGGCTTTTTAAACCAGAATTATGTATGGTTTGTTTCAGGTGAACAGTTTCCAAATTTATGAGTCAAGGACTACCCATTAAGTTTTGTGACTGTGAATAATATCATTTAACTTTGTGTGGGGGAAATTTATAGGTAACACAATATGTTATTTGTTTGGGTATATTCTCTTAACATGTATGGCTTTATGACATATATATTGTTATAAAAGAAGTGGATATTTAGTGGATAAAGGCAGATTACTGAAATAATCTTATGAATAACTAATCTCCTGTGTAAATAACTGTTTTCAGTGTTCTAGGTCATGATAATGATATGATATTCAGCGACATGATCATTCTGTATGTCCTTTGTTATGATCTATATTTTGGTGAATACTTGCAGTTACGTGTTATTGTGCGGGACACCAGTGCAACACCGAAGTCAGCAACAGCAACAGTGACCATTAATATTAACCGAAACGATCCTCCATCTTTTGTTAGTCCCTTTGGCTATGAAGTTGAAATCTCTGAAGCCATACCTATCTTCAGCAACATCATCACTGTCTCTGCTACTGATCCAGATCCTCCAGTGAGTTGGCTATCCATGTAACAAATTGTAACCATTTATTTTTCTATCATACATTACCACTGTTCCTATAGTTAAATAATAGACAAATTTTTAACTTATTTTTATCTTTGAAAAATATGAATTAATGATGCTGATTTAAAAAAAAATAAATAAATAAAGGCTGCTATTATATTTGATTATTATCAAATTGGTTTAAATCAGATTCAAACGTCTGGTTAAAGTTAACATCTACTGACTGTCACACAATCCCAGAACAATTCTAATCAGAATCCAAACCCTTAATTACAATGAAGCTACCCAGTATTTTCTGTGTTAATACTCTGTAATACTATTTTCCTATCATGAATTATGTTTTTGCACTGTAATACAACATTTCTTGAATATACTACAATGCATTACAGTGTAGTGAAATGTTCCCACAAAATAATGCAATGACACTATCATGCATTACAACATCCCTACCCTGTATTACAATGTCCCTACCCTGTATTACAATGTCCTCACAGGATATTACAACATCCCTACCCTGTATTACAATGTCCTCACAATATATTACAACATCCCTACCCTGTATTACAATGTCCTCACAAGATATTACAATGTCCCTACCCTGTATTACAATGTCCTCACAGGATATTACAACATCCCTACCCTGTATTACAATGTCCTCACAAGATATTACAACATCCCTACCCTGTATTACAATGTCCTCACAAGATATTACAACATCCCTACCCTGTATTACAATGTCCTCACAAGATATTACAATGTCCCTACCCTGTATTACAATGTCCTGACAAGATATTACAATGTCCCTACCCTGTATTACAATGTCCTCACAAGATATTACAATGTCCCTACCCTGTATTACAATGTCCTCACAAGATATTACAATGTCCCTACCCTGTATTACAATGTCCTCACAAGATATTACAATGTCCCTACCCTGTATTACAATGTCCTCACAAGATATTACAATGTCCCTACCCTGTATTACAATGTCCTCACAGGATATTACAACATCCCTACCCTGTATTACAATGTCCTCACAAGATATTACAATGTCCCTACCCTGTATTACAATGTCCTCACAAGATATTACAATGTCTCTACCCTGTATTACAATGTCCTCACAAGATATTACAATGTCCCTACCCTGTATTGCAATGTCCTCACAAGATATTACAATGCCCCTACCCTGTATTACAATTATACCTACAAGATATTACAATAATGTTTCTACCCTGTTTTGCAATATGTTGGGTCAGTAGTACATATAATGTTCCTATCATACAAACTAAGTTGGCTATTTTCTTTCCCTTTCCCAGACATCCTTCAACAGCAAATTGAGTTACTACTTTGTTGGACCTGAGGAGGCCAGTAAACGTTTCCAGATCAACAGTACCACTGGCTCCATCTCAGCTAGGGTCAGTCTGTCGACAGAGCCTCAGGATGTTTGGCAGGTGTGTCTTTTCTCCTTGTAGTTAAACATTATTAATTGCACAGTACAATGCTTTTAAATTTTGTTATTGTTGAAATATATTTTTGCCCAATGATAATTCATTGAGCCAAAGTAATGGAAATTCCTGTTTCCTGACAAGCACTTTCAGCATGCTTCAGCAATCGCTGTGTTCACCTCCATATATTGCAATCAGAATAAGTCTGTTTCATAGGCTGTTTGAATGTGTTGAAAGAAAAAGCTGGACTTTATAACCTTTTTGTTTACTTCAGTTCACTGTTGGTGTTCGAGATGAAGGCAATCCTTTCATGTTCACAACTGTTCCTGTCACCATTACAATTGGTCGTGTCGGAAAGATCCGGTTCAGTCAAGCAGAATACTTTGTGGTATACCCTGAATCTTATCCTGTCAATAATACTATTGCTGTTGTCAATGCCACGGATCCATTGGCAGGTGTAAGTATGAACTCAGAAATTCTCGTAGAATTAATTGAAAAATTAACATGCTGTGAGATCTACATGAACAGGTGCAAACATTATTAGTTTTCTGGTGTTATCCTCTGTCTGGTGCATTCAGGGGATAATTACATGATTGTGTCGTGCTGACTAACCAATGGGAGGACATGTATTTGACTGTTGTGCTGACTAACCAATGGGAGGACATGTATTTGACTGTTGTGCTGACTAACCAATGGGAGGACATGTATTTGACTGTTGTGCTGACTAACCAATGGGAGGACATGTATTTGACTGTTGTGCTGACTAACCAGTGGGAGACTATGTATTAGACTTGAGCTGATAAACCAATGGGATGAATGTATTTGACTGTTGTGCTGACTAACCACTGTATTAGATTGTAGGTTGAATCACCCATGGAAAGACATATTCCAAGTTGTTGTACAAGGCATTAAATCTTTTTTTTCTAATTTTGCATTTTACAGAGCACAGTTGTGTATGAGATTAGAGGCGATGGATTGGCCAGAAATCACTTTGTCATCAACAATGTTACAGGCCAGATTACCCTAAGCAAGGCATTCACTGAAGATGACAGCCTAACAAGCATGTACACTGTAGGTTCTTTTCTTTTTTAATCATAGTTAAAATTACAGTTTGACTTGATTGTATATAGTATAGTACCAATATCATGATTTACTTATGAAGAGATAGGTTATGTTAATGATAACATCCATATAATCGTTCTGTCTGTTTCAACTGTCTTTATTAACATAGTGATGATGTCTTTGTTACCATAGTAATGAAGATCAACTGTCTTTGTTATCATACTGATGAAGAAAACTGTCTTTAATATCATAGTGACAAAGATCAACTGGCTTTGTTACCATAGAGATGAAGATCAGTTGTCTTTGATACCATAGTGACAAAGATCAACTGCCTTCATTACCATAGAGATGAAGATCAGTTGTCTTTGATACCATAGTGATAAGATCAACTGCCTTCATTACCATAGAGATGAAGATCAGTTGTCTTTGATACCATAGTGATAAGATCAATTGCCTTCATTACCATAGAGATGAAGATCAGTTGTCTTTGATACCATAGTGATAAGATCAACTGCCTTCATTACCATAGAGATGAAGATCAGTTGTCTTTGATACCATAGTGATAAGATCAATTGCCTTCATTACCATAGAGATGAAGATCAGTTGTCTTTGATACCATAGTGACAAAGATCAACTGCCTTCATTACCATAGAGATGAAGATCAGTTGTCTTTGATACCATAGTGACAAAGATCAACTGCCTTCATTACCATAGAGATGAAGATCAGTTGTCTTTGATACCATAGTGATAAGATCAACTGCCTTCATTACCATAGAGATGAAGATCAGTTGTCTTTGATACCATAGTGATAAGATCAATTGCCTTCATTACCATAGAGATGAAGATCAGTTGTCTTTGATACCATAGTGATAAGATCAACTGCCTTCATTACCATAGAGATGAAGATCAGTTGTCTTTGATACCATAGTGATAAGATCAACTGCCTTCATTACCATAGAGATGAAGATCAGTTGTCTTTGATACCATAGTGATAAGATCAATTGCCTTCATTACCATAGAGATGAAGATCAGTTGTCTTTGATACCATAGTGATAAGATCAATTGCCTTCATTACCATAGAGATGAAGATCAGTTGTCTTTGATACCATAGTGATAAGATCAACTGCCTTCATTACCATAGAGATGAAGATCAGTTGTCTTTGATACCATAGTGATAAGATCAATTGCCTTCATTACCATAGAGATGAAGATCAGTTGTCTTTGATACCATAGTGATAAGATCAATTGCCTTCATTACCATAGAGATGAAGATCAGTTGTCTTTGATACCATAGTGATAAGATCAACTGCCTTCATTACCATAGAGATGAAGATCAACTGTCCTTTTTTAAAAATATGATATCACTTCTGTAGTTATTGAATATAACATGTTGATACGGTATCACAGTAATGATAATTCCTGTTAATTCATTGTTGATACCTGTTTTGTTTACAGATCCGTGTATATGGTTACCGACTTAATGATCCATCAGAGTTTGACTTTGCCCTTGTGCGAGTCCAGGTCAACCGTAATCCCAACACACCTATATTCAACCACGGAGATCTCACTTTCACTATCAATGAAAATGTGGACCTTGACTACATCATTGGAAATGTTTCTGCTACTGATCAAGATTCTGTAAGTTTTATACAAAAAATGGGCATTTTAGATAATTTAAAGTTTAAAATATTCTTCATCCTGATAACCCTTTTTAAAGCAATTTTATTTAGTGATTTTAATGTTTATTAGCTCTCCGTCCGTCCGTCCGTCCTTAAACAATATTTTGTAATCACTATTTCTTGAGAAGTCCTGGATGGATCTTTCTCAAATTGCATTTGTAGGTTCCCCTTGGTCCCAAGTAGACTTTGAAAGTTTGTTATTGCTATTTCTTAAAAAGTGCTGTGTAGATCTTTCCCAAATTTCATGTATAGGGTTCTTCAGGTCCCTAGATGTGCCCATTAGAGTTTGGGACTTTGAACTTCCAGGTTGCCATTTTGGATTTGGCCGGCAAAGGTTATCATTTAATTCTACAAAGTTATGTTCAAATGTCTTACCATTAAGAGCAAAAACAGAGAACAGAAAAGAAGGGAAAAGATCCAACTTTCAAAGAGCATATAAAGATCAAACAATGGTGGGAGCCAAGATCCCTCTGGGATCTCTTGTCCGTTACATTTTGCTGTTTTTGGGATATCTTTTTTCTCCGGGTATAATTGTGGTGAATGATGTACACAACTTTCAGTAGTGTTGTATATGTTGTATTGAATCCTAGTCACACCTCTCATGTTGCCAATTTTGGATGTGTTAAAGAATTTGAATTTAAATTGCAAAGTAAAATCCATGTGAAAGTTTTCCCATGGACAAATCAAATACTTTCAGGCCTGCACACCAAGGTCACCATTATATAACTCCATTTGTATGTTACAGGGTGACAATGGAAGAATTGTATACTTCTTCAGTCAACAGGAGAGTCAGCCTATTTACAGTGGGGACTTCTTCTATATCAATCCTTCGTCTGGCATCATCCTCGTCATCGGAAACCTACGTTCTGACCCTTCAACCAAAAACTATACAGTAAGCATGTATTCTTAGTGAATAACACATATTGAAGTGACATTAATTCATTGTACATCAGAATTACCTGCTAAGTAGCCTCTGTGTAAATTTAGGTCCATTGTACCTAAGAATTACATGCTAAATAGTCTCTATGCAAATTGTGTCCATTGTACATCAGAATTACATGCTCAGCAGCCTGTGTAAATTATGTCCATTGTACCTAAGAATTACATGCTAAATAGTCTCTATGCAAATTGTGTCCATTGTACATCAGAATTACATGCTCAGCAGCCTGTGTAAATTATATCCATTGTATATAAAAATTACCTGCTTAATGGCCTCTATGTAAATTTAGGTCCATTGTACATCAGAATTACATGCTCAGCAGCCTGTGTAAATTATGTCCATTGTATATAAGAATTACCTGCTTAATAGCCTCTATGTAAATTTAGGTCCATTGTACATCAGAATTACCAGCTAAATAGCCTCTATGTAAATTATGTCCGTTGTACCTAAGAATTACCTGCTAAGTAGCCTCTATGTAAATTTAGGTCCATTGTACATCAGAATTACCTGCTAAATAGCCTCTATGTAAACTTAGGTCCATTGTACATCAGAATTACCTGCTAAGTAGCCTCTATGTAAATTTAGGTCCATTGTACATCAGAATTACCTGCTAAATAGCCTCTATGTAAAATTAGGTCCATTGTACATAAGAATTACATGTTCAGCAGCCTGTGTAAATTATGTCCGTTGTACATCAGAATTACCAGCTAAATAGCCTCTTTGTAAATTTAGGTCCATTGTACATCAGAATCACCAGCTAAATAGCCTCTATGTAAATTTAGGTCCATTGTACATCAGAATCACCAGCTAAATAGCCTCTATGTAAATTTAGGTCCATTGTACATCAGAATCACCAGCTAAATAGCCTCTATGTAAATTTAGGTCCATTGTACATCAGAATTACATGCTAAATAGCCTCTATGTAAATTTAGGTCCATTGTACATCAGAATTACATGCTAAATAGCCTCTATGTAAATTTAGGTCCATTGTACATCAGAATTACCAGCTAAATAGCCTCTATGTAAATTTAGGTCCATTGTACATCAGAATTACATGCTAAATAGCCTCTATGTAAACTTAGGTCTGTTGTACATCAGAATTACCAGCTAAATAGCCTCTATGTAAACTTAGGTCCATTGTACATCAGAATTACCAGCTAAATAGCCTCTATGTAAATTTAGGTCCATTGTACATCAGAATTACATGCTAAATAGCCTCTATGTAAACTTAGGTCTGTTGTACATCAGAATTACCAGCTAAATAGCCTCTATGTAAATTTAGGTCCATTGTACATCAGAATTACCAGCTAAATAGCCTCTATGTAAATTTAGGTCCATTGTACATCAGAATTACCAGCTAAATAGCCTCTATGTAAACTTAGGTCCATTGTACTTCAGAATTACATGCTCAGGAGCCTGTGTAAATTATGTCCATTGTACATCAGAATTACCTGCTAAGTAGCCTCTATGTAAATTATGTCCATTGTACATCAGAATTACCTGCTAAGTAGCCTCTATGTAAACTTAGGTCTGTTGTACCTAAGAATTACATGCTAAATAGCCTCTATGTAAACTTAGGTCTGTTGTACCTAAGAATTACATGCTAAATAGCCTCTATGTAAACTTAGGTCTGTTGTACCTAAGAATTACATGCTAAATAGCCTCTATGTAAATTTAGGTCTATTGTACATCAGAATTACATGCTAAATAGCCTCTATGTAAACTTAGGTCTGTTGTACATCAGAATTACCTGCTAAATAGCCTCTAGGTAAATTATGTCCATTGTACATCAGAATTACCTGCTAAATAGCCTCTATGTAAATTTAGGTCCATTGTACATCAGAATTACCAGCTAAATAGCCTCTTTGTAAATTTAGTTCCATTGTAAATCAGAATCACCAGCTAAATAGCCTCTATGTAAATTTAGGTCCATTGTACATCAGAATTCCCAGCTAAATAGCCTCTATGTAAATTTAGGTCCATTGTACATCAGAATTACCAGCTAAATAGCCTCTATGTAAATTTAGGTCCATTGTACATCAGAATCACCAGCTAAATAGCCTCTATGTAAACTTAGGTCTATTGTACATCGGAATTACATGCTAAATAGCCTCTATGTAAATTTAGGTCCATTTTTTACTTTATATTCCACTTTACTTTTATTCTGATATTTTTTCCCTTTGTTTTCTGACTTAATATGCAGATACATCCATGGTAATTAAGATACACATGTAGCTAACTGTAGCCCACATTTATTGCTTCACTGACTTTGATTACTGTGCAGTAAGATCCAAATTCACAATCACAGAGATCACATAAAATTGTTTTCAGATTTTTATCAGCTTACACTGAATTGAAGCACTGCCACCATTTAACAAAGCAAAAGAATCTGTACAACGACGTTTTTGTTCCTATTACAGATGTTTGTTGTTGCAAAAGACAGTGGTGTGCCAAGTCGCCAAAATAAGGTCAAGGTCACGATTGTTGTGACAAGGAACCCACATGCTCCAGAGTTCTCCCAGACCAACTATGAAAAAACCATTGATGAGAATGTTCCCGTTAAACATAGAGTACTTCAGATCATGGCAACAGACGCTGACAATGTAAGTATTCAGAGATTTAGAATTGATAGATCATTGAAAATACAGTTGAGGTTTTATGTTTGATTAAACAAAAATAAGTATTACAGTGATAATATATGTGTGAGTGGATTATGAATTTTCAAGGTTTTCAAATGCACTAATGGTGATTTAAAGTGTATGTTTTAGTAACTTGCTTTTATTTTGCCTTTAGTTGAGTTTCTTTAATGATTTTAGGATCCTATTGTATATGACATCATTCCAAGTCCCCCTGCCACTCTCTACTTCAATGTCGACTCCTTCACTGGAGTCATTACCACATCCCGTATACTGTACCGCGAAGATGTTGACAGATATATTGTAAGTATACCTACTTTTGTAACATATGATATCAAAATTGTTTAAATAGCGATGTTAATCTGTCATGTTGTCATCAGAATGTCCTCATGGTAATCTGGTAAAATTCAAATCAAATTCTTGGATTTTATTGATAATGAAATGTCTTAAATGTTTTAAAATCATGGTATCACAAAATTGAGCACATGTTCCACGGTCATTGCCACTTTTCATAAACAATCTTTCTTAATGACCTAGAAGTTCAATTTGTTGTAGATATCAGAAGTGAAAGTATTTTTCATATTTTTCACTTCCAATGCCCCCTTAATCCTGCCAGCCTGTTGTCGGTGGAGCTTTTTTCCTGTGCCTTTGGTTTATTTTGTGCTATATAGGTTTGCTTGAAGATGACTTTTTTTAAAACCAATTTCGTTTAATTACAGATAAATGTACGTGCCACAGATCAAAGTGCATCACCATTAGCTGGAACTGCTACAGTGACCATCAACATTAACAGAAATGCTAACCCACCAGTATTCGCAAATCTGTCACACACTGTATCCATATCAGAATACCACGATATTGACACAAAGGTCATCGAGGTGACAGCCACAGACAATGACAATATCAACAGTACAAGTGGTATCCTACGATATGCTATTGATACCGTCAACTCTTACTTCACTATTACCAGGACAACCGGAGTCATCCTTCTTGCACAACCACTTACAACTGATTTAGCTGATGATGTGTACATCGTAAGTTTCAATATGGATAGGTCACAAAAATGATAGTGTTTCACCCCCTTAGGGCAAGGGACCCTGCATATGAAAGAGAGAATTCAACCCACAGGGGGGAAGATTATATGTATGATTTATCAATGTCATCATAGTGCAAATCATTATTAATGAGATGTGTTATTAAATTAACAATGTAACCAAGTTTTTCATGATATCATAAAATTGAAAGCGTGTTTCGCCATTGAGAAGGGACTACAATAACAGTACTGAATGAGAATTGCTCACTGACTTAACATTAGGTATGCTTGACTCTATTTTTTTGTGATGAGAGCAGGTTGTCAATGTAGGCATGTTACATCAAGATAGATTATATCTTAAGAATTAAATCAACATTTGACACATATTTCTACCATCCAGTAAACTGTCCTTGTATGTTACAGTTAACAGTCGTGGCCTCAGATACCTCCAACAACCCGAAGTCTGCCTCCACCTCTGTCACCATCAATGTTGTCCGCAACATGTTTGCACCAGAGTTTACACCAACAGTTTACCAAGTGAACGCAACTGATACAGACAGAGCTGGCACATCATTGGTCACGGTCACTGCAGCAGATGCAGATTCCCAGATACCTCTCAGTGCTAATGTAAGTAATCAACGCTTTGTTTGCTTTTTTTGTAACCCTACAAAGTTTTAGATTAATCCGTTGTGAATTTATGTACTACAACATGTGGTTTCATATATATGGTCTACATAATATTTGGATTTATCAATCCATATTTATGGATTATGTGTAATTTTTTGTTTTGATATTTTTTTTTTCATTTGTTTCACAGACGAACAATGCTAAGTTTGCCTACAGTGTGTTGGGTAATGCTGCCTCCTTTGCCAGATACATTGGTGTTTCAGACAATGGGGAGGTGTACATCAAACAGTCTCTCTATATACCTAATAACATCAGTCCAATCACGGTAGGTGTCAGATCCTCAGCATTATAGTGATCTAACTGTAGCATCAGGCAAGATCATCACATCAACACCATCTACGGATAACTGAATATTGTTCTGTACTGATCAAGATTTTATGCGAAGACCTTTAAGGTCTTCTGCATATTGCTGTCATCCTGCTTTTTTGAGTTCGATTAGAAAATGGTTTATTTACTCCTGCTCCATCTCTTGGCAGTGTATAGAGCTAAAATCAATAAATTACCATCATTTTTCAATCTGGTATTTGGTGTATATTCCAACTGCACATTTGCGATCAATGCATAACTAAAACATCAATATGATCAACTGCTGTTCATTTGTGTCACAAAGTGAATGAAATCTGCATCGAAAATGGCCAATAATAGCAACAGGTTTGACTTAATTCTCCGAGATGACACAAATATAGTGGACATTGCAGGAACTTGAAGAACATAGATTTAAACTCGAACTTTCAAGGAGATAGTTTCATGGCGATAGTTTTGTAAAATTTGCCTCTGACACCATATTTAATACATAACTCGACCAAATCGACTAACTTTCATTTCCATTGTTTCCGTCTTTTAAGAATTCAGTGGACTTGTATCATCTTTACTTAATTGAAATAAATATTTATCATGTTGTTTACCTAGTGTTTATCTGATATGCACCTGCTTCATACATGCTTACCTGTTTTTATGTATACTTATGTGTTGTTGTTTACCTGTTGTGTGTAGGTCCAGATCCAGGCCTGTGATTTAAGCTGGAAACCCAAGTGTAGTAGTCCTAGTGCCAATATTGTTATCAATATTACATACCAAGACACTGCAGATGGTCAAATTGGCTTCAAGCAGCCCGTCTACTAGTAAGTATTCCTATACTTACATATATGTAGAGTAATATACATTCTGTTTACTATTGCTAGTCAGAACAGATATACGACACATTTAAAGGACTAAATACATTGTCACAGTGTGGTTTTCATTTGTTTGACATTTCCTCTGTGTGAAGTGAACTGAACAAACTCATTCTCTGACTATTAATCTTTTCAGTCTGCAACTTCGTGAGAACATTGATGTTGATCAAGTGATTTTGCTGATGGACGTGGAATATCAGGCTTCACAGTCAGCTCAGTGCAATATACTAGGGGATCTCAGAGGCCTTCCATTCTCCATCGCACCAGACCAGTTCCAGAAGAACTGTGGTCTAAAACTGATTGAGCCAGGCTTTGATTACGAGGTTACCAAGAAATACAATGTGACAGTGCAAGTGACAGAGGGAGCTGTTGGACGTAGAAAGAGACAGATCTTCAGTATGCATTTCTTTATAACTATTTTACTAAAGAAATTTTATTAATACCATTATCTTTATAATTAAAAAATGCAAATTATATTTATCAGTGAAGATTTACTGACGTATAATTTTACTTGTATGTGGTGAAGAAATTATTCTTTGTCTTCTATAAATCGTTGATAGGTGTTATAGTATATCAAATATATGTAATCTCTGTACAGTACTGTTACACCACAGTGCTTTTCATTGGAAGTAAATAACCTGCTAAAGAGGTGGAACTGCCCTGATAATGGCTGTGAGCTTCTTCAAAATGTTATATAGTAGTTATACTCTACAATATCTTAATCGCAAATATATACCATATAACAATATGATATAGGCTATGCACAGATTTTATCATTTGGTATCAAAACCCGAACAGAAAGCAGGAACGAAAATTATTAAGTGTCATTTTTTTTTAATTAAACCTTAACAGTCTGTGCTTTGCAATCTTATAGGATGAAAATAATAATAAAATCTGTTTTACAATATCAAGATGTAATCCTGAAACTCGTATTGATTTCTTTTATTTCCAGTCCAAAACACCCATCCCATAGCTACAGTAATCATTGAAGTGTTAGATGTCAATGACAACTCGCCAATCTTCCAGTACGAGGAACCCCATATTTACCCACTTCAGACAAGCAGTGCTGGCACAGAAAACCGTTATTTTGGTGCTATTGCTTCAGATGCTCGCCCAGATGCATCAGTAATGAGAGTTTATGTAAGTAATACCTTAACATTGAATTAACAAGCTGAAATCTTTGTCAGATTTTAATTCAAGATGTATGACAAGATTGAAATTGCTGTCAGAATACATACATAGTGGTGTTGTAATGCTTGTTTGAGTGGTTATCTACATTGCACTGATTTTACCTGGTTTGGATGGAAGGTTAAGGAAATATGCAGGAACCACATTGGAGTAAAAATGAAAGACTCTGACTTTATTTCAGTTCAAAAACTTATCACATGTACTATATAATGAGATTATAGCTCTGATTATAATGTGTATAATTTGTTTTTCAAACTATAGGCAACTGATGAAGATTCTGGTCTTTTGGGTCTTGTAACATACTCCATGGATGAACAGAGTTCAGTGCCAGCAAATCCACCATTCCTTCTCAGTTCAGTGGATGGAACATTTACAACCAATACAGAATTCTCTTCTGAAACACTCGCTGCCAAAACCTACAAAATCCCAATACTGGCTACCGACAATGCACCAAGAATTGAGGAACGCAAGGTCACCCAGTCCACGGCTTATGTAAGTGAGGCTACAAAGTTGTGAAGAATTTCATGTTACGCCCTTGTCTGTCTGTCAGTCTTGTTTCACCATCATAGTACCAAGCAAGTATATACAGTTGAAACTTGTCTTCTGACAAAAAGAGTAGAAAGGCACATGGCCAGTTACGCTGTATGGGTCCAATTGTACACACAACACTCAGTCACTTACGATTAAGTACCAGTTTAATTATCCAATTAAAGGTTGACTGCTTAATTAGTGTCACCATCCTGTAGCACTCTCTTACCTGTACATTAAAAAAGTAGCGTGTTTACACAAAACACGAAAACATTTAGCTTGGTTATGTTCATCTTCAGGAACAATAAAAATGAAACTGTCAAACCAGTACAAACTTTTTGATGAAATCTGATCCCCACAATATATACCCAATGTCAGCCAGGTGACATACAATCTGTGTTCCCAGTTTTTCTATTCTGTAATTAACAGACAAAACCATAAATAGTTTTATATCCTCTGTATTGTAGCCATTCAATCAGTTCTAAATCAGTATTATCACTTGTGGTTAAAAAGAATAATACATTTATCAGTCCTAAATTATACAGTATTTCCAATTAATTACCAAGAAAGAATAATACATTTTTGCTATTAAACACTACCTAATTTTTTATTTTGACAGATCAACATCATTTACACATATAACCGTTTCGTATTGGTCCTAAGAAATATGATTCCTGAAGATGCTGCAGCTAAAAAGGCAATGATTCGCAGGTTTGTATAAAAAATTTCTATAAGTAACATATTGGAGACCAAATACTCCTGATGCTATATTGATAAATGTTTTAATCTAGCTAATGCTTTGAGGCATACTAAAACAATTACCCCTGAATTGTGTCTTTCAGTTATGGAATTTAAATACTTTGAAAAATGTTTTCATGGAATGTTTCATTTTTCAGAGCTATACAAGATGAATTCCAGAAGGTGTGTATTATAGAGAATATAGAACGTCGAAGGAACCTTTTGTTAAAAGATCAGCTCTCTATAGATGGCACAGAGTAAGTACATTTATCACTTTCTCTAATTAGAAAATCTCCAGTAGTCTAAATGCTTAATACAGTTTTTAGAGCAGAACTTTTCAAATCCCATCAGAAAATCAAACTATAATTTTTGGGGTTCCAAAGTTGGGTGTGTTGCCGAGTTCTTCACAAGCAAAATACATGCATTATTATTTTTTTCCCTTGTATATTAACTTAAAAGTAAGTTAATAGTTTTTGTTTGCCTTGACAGAGTACAGGGGGTAACAATGTAAGAAGTAAGTGCAGTACCCAAGGAAAACCTTGGCTATATCTGCTCTGCCTACCAAACACTAATTTTTTATGTTTCTTTTTAACAGTTCTGATGTTATTTTTGTATTGGGCGAGCCAAGGGAACCATACAATCTCATCAACAACAGCAGGATGCCTGAGTAAGTTTTTCTGTACAGAATTTGTATAGCTAAATATATTCTAATACACATATATTACAAGTTTACATGTAAACTTTTTCATGCTAATTTCTTTTCTGGTATTATGACAAGTTTTGACATTTTAATGAACAATGGAATTATTTAAAAATCACTATGTAAAATATATATAAAGAGAAAATATTTTTGTTCTAATTTTTTTTTTTTTTTTTGTTGACAAAATTTGCTACTGGTCTTACAGTAGCTTGCATTTCTTTTCCAGTTATTTTGAATCTGAAAATAATTTTCATCCTTGTTTTTTAATTTTTTTGCAGAATCTTTACTGAAGATAAGACCTCCAACCTCAACACTAGACTACAAGCAGACAATACGCTGATTATAGAGAAAATACGTCTCCCGTACCAGGATGCTAATCTGTACAAAACTCTTCTTACAAAATCTTATGTGTGGTGGATTGACGACCCATGGGCAGCACTTATTGCGTTGGCAGCTATCATAATCCTCCTCTGTATTGTTGGGATAATTGTCTTAGTGTTCACACATTCCAGGTATGACTTGTTTTGTTAAATAAGTTTAGTTTCATTGCATGTTTTTATATATAAGGCCACATTATCATCAGATGTTTGAGAAAGAGAGACTGATTTACTTCTGTTATAAGTGAAATGGGCTTATTGGTCTTTGATGTAATGTATGTAAAATGAGAGGCTGATTTATCTCAGATGAGTGTAAAATTGGAAAGGCTAATTGACTTCTGATGTTTGTAAAATATGAAAGGCTTATTGACTTCTTATGTGTGTTAGATAGGAAATACTTATGGAATTCTGATTTGTGTAAAATAGGAAAAACTTATTGAATTCTTATGTGTGTTAGATAGGAAATACTTATGGAATTCTGATTTGTGTAAAATAGGAAAAACTTATTGAATTCTTATGTGTGTTAGATAGGAAATACTTATGGAATTCTGATTTGTGTAAAATAGGAAAAACTTATTGAATTCTTATGTGTGTTAGATAGGGAAGACTTATTGAATTCTGATTTGTGTTAAATAGGAAAGGCTTATTGAATTCACCCAGGATTAATTTGTGCTTTTTATTTCTGCAGGTACACAAAATACATTAACCATTACCGAGTATACCAGGCTGCATATGACCAACCAGACTTCATGGAGCCCCCAAGCTTCCTCAAGGAATACGAGACACAGGTTAGCTTAAATGTCAAAACAGAAATAATTTCTGAATTTCTAGAACTAAATCCACAAAAATCGAATGAAAATGTAACAAAAGTTAACTTTAAATTATGTTTTAATGATAGTAAATAATTTCATTAAGTGATATGATCAAATGTGTTTATAGGGTTAGTTGAAATGTTCTAACGTGTATGTTAGATGATGTGTTGATTGAAACCCATTTCTGACTTCTGCAGAGTCTGAATATGTATGTACCTCCGGATGAGGCTGTGGGCAACATTGATACCCTCAATTTCAATATCGGGGATAATGTAGTAGTTGAGCCACAGGATGATGATAGAGGCATATCTACAGCAGCTGTCAATCCTATATTCCAGGAGTAAGTATTTAATTGTGTTTTCTCGATATATGTCCCCAGAATTGTGCCTTTCCTCCTGTCAGTTCCTCACTTCCACTTAAGGTTTTTTCAAGGTTTTCTTCCATTGTGTTTTAGATGGCTTTGTAATAATCAGTTCCTTAATGTACCTTCATATATGAGCTAAAATGTGAAATGTGATCTTGTAAAGAAGCCATATTTATATTTCAATTCCATTTATATAAAATATTGAATTTGCTTTATTCCGTTCGTAAACCTGATTGAGTTTGCCCTGAAAAAATACCCAGTATACTGACCTGAATAACCTTACTATCATTGTATTTTGTTGAAATTTCCATTTAGGACTTAAATAACACAAATAAATCTATTTCAGTGACAATGGAACAACCCGCCAAGGAATAGCTATGCCAGAAGGCACGACCATGCTGTAAACCAAAACCACAATCCTCATTCCAGAAAGATCATCAGAGAGTGTTTAATACTACCAAGCTATGATATAGATCATTTTTAAGACATTTACTTTCAATTCAAAATCACACAAAATAGTTAAATGGAATGAGATTTGCTAATAGTTATCACAGTACACCGTGTGTTGCCACAATTTTGCTTAGACTTGCCATGTACTCACATTTTTGTAAATTTGATTGTGACTATTCGATTAATTTTAAGTAAAGAGCACTATATTGAGAGTTACTGTGGCAACAACATCTAATAAATAAATGAATAGTGCTCTCATGTGACAGTGATTACAGTCTAGAAAACATCACTCAAGTCCATATCTATGCATATCTTTATACAATGAAAAATTAAAACTTCCAAAAGGTTCTGAGATATTGAGTGTGAATGTGTTGTGTCTGCTCTGACCTCTTTTCAAACTCCCCACTATGGGAAGAAATGAAAATCCATATACACCATTTCAAATTCATGATTTTATAAAGATATTTTCTTTACTTTTCCAAAGAGTTATGGAAAGAGGTCAATTGTAGAAAGCCAGAATGATTGTTTGTGTGGTATATAAGTGGGATGGGCATGGGGGGTTGTAATTATACATATGTATTCGTATCATATAACCAGTCAACCTTCAAAAAAATAGCAAAACCAAATCATTTTCTAATTTGACCAAATTTAGATGATCTTAATAAAATTTAATTGCTTTGTTAATCTTCAATACTTTTTTGCTAGAACTAAAAATGCCTGACAACAATGATGCTAGTTGTGACACCATTAAATCTAATTGTTATAGTCTTTATTTGGATTATTTACTTAGTGCTTTATAGAATGGAATCCTATGATTACCAAAATTATGCGCTTGGTTTTATGATTGTTGTGATATATATATATATATATAGAAATATTACAGACATATTTTTGTATTTTTAATGAATTTTCCATGCCATTGTGGAGCTGGATTTATGTCTCCATATTTTCTGTGCATGTCTCTATATACATATCTTTATCCGTTTTTCTCGTTATATCTGCATTACGCATAACATTCCACGTTTTAAATAAGTGTCACAAGAATCTTATGGTAGCCTGTCAAAATTCTTTATTATCTGTGAGGGATGTCAGGAAGTAAGGATTTGCCAATATATGACATTTTGTATTTTTTATAGAAAAAACACTACCATTAAAATGTAATATATTTTCAGAAAGTGTTTGTCTTATTTCTAGCCCTGTTCAAATCACTTGTCATATATCCTTAAATGAATTACTATTTTTCTAGAAATACATTCTGAACAGATCATTTTCTAATTTCCTCTTTGTTCCTAGTTGTGCATTGTCGGTTGGTCACTAATAGTGTGTTGTCTGTTTATGAACTGATTGGATAAACAAAATGAAGAACTGCCTGTCATTTCCATTTTGACAGGAAAGTAAATTATCCTATCTGCAGAAACAGTGTTAGAGAAGTCTTTAAATTTTATGAAGTAGTTTCCCTTTAATTGATAAATGGTTGTACATGTTTGATTTTGGAGCTGATGCAAAAAACAAGATGGCCGACAAGAAGCTAATTTTGAATTTTGTTATGTATCTTTTCCAAATTTCCTGTTATAGCCCAGTGGTTCCTAGTTGTGCATATTGATGTAAAAACAAAAGGGTTGGCACCTTAGACTTTGACAGTCATAGATTGTTGCTACTATTTCTTGAGAAGTAAGGAAGGAGTCTTCCTTAAATTCCATATGTGTGCCCTGTTTCCTTTTGTGCATTGTCAAGTGACTGACAGAAAGAGTGGGACATTGCCACTTCATGAAGTACTGGGGGGATCTTTTTCAATATATACAAATTTCCTTCAGATTGATTGAAAATGAAACCTGCATGATTTACAAGTTTTTCATTAGACAGATTATTTTAAAATTTCCTTGAAAAATACAACTTTGTTTGTTGGCTATTTTGGATGAGAACTTTTACAGATTGCTAATGCAATTTCTCTGGAGCATGTAAAGGTAGTTTTTTCAATACTACACGTGTTTCTCTTGTTTATTGATGTTGACCTGATAATTCACCTATCAATGTACTATTAATTAAGTGCATATAACCAGAATAGATGGAAAGATATCTCACTTTTACTGGTGGGTGCCTATCTCTTGTTAAAGATTGCTGTGTACAAAAGATGTGAATAGAGCCTTTTTTAATAACAAGTGGACTATGAATACAATTAATGTAAAATTTCAGTCACTAACAAATTTAATGTCAATATTCCTCTATTGAAAGGTAAATTTTTATTTAACTGTGATAATTTTATAATGAGCATAATCATTAAAAAATAGATATAAACAGCATAATTAAATGTATATTGACATGAAATCTTTCAGTCTGAAGTATGCCCAAATGATGAATCAAACGCATGAATAGAGTCATTTTAAATACAAATTTAGAATTGGATACAGTATATCTAAATGATGAATTGTAGTATACAACTGTTTCATTCTTCTATAACTCATCAAACTGATCCTAAGGGCATAAACTTATAGAATGGAGAATGAGTAAAAAAAACAATTGACCCAAAGCAATGTCCAAATATAGATGAGTTTGTACTGCCCAAATTCAAAAATCAGTTTTCCATGCTTGGTTATCTCAAAATGAATTACCAATAAATTATGGCATATGGACATGGATTTAAGGCAAACTTTTTTGGGGGGTGGTGGGGGGAGGTTGGAAGTGTAACAAGGCCTGTAAAATAGACTTGCAAATGTATAAAGAAACTCAGTAAAAAGCTACCTGCTTGGTTATATATGTTATAATTATAAATGGGTCTGTTTTGGGACCAATCCGTAACTTTTTTTGTCGAAGATGATATTGTAACCGTTTACCGTCTGTGGTCCACCGTTGTCCTTCCGGGTTCTGGCGTTCAAAGGCGTTCGAACCTCCAGGAGTAAATGTTCTGACAAATAAGCCAACGCTATCACTGACAGTTTCCACAGTTTATTCGCAAAACAGATAAAAAGACCAGTAGCAACAGGGCAGTGCGTCTTATTATGTGGGCACCCAAAGATATCTATGTAGCAACGCAGAGGCTCCGGCATTCCCAAACGCCGCTACGGCGTACCTGACGACAACCCGTGCGCCCGCCGACGTCAGCCCTCTGCCGTTCCGGTCCATTGGTCCCCTCACGTTACCGAGTGCTTACCTGTCATTGCTCTCACCTGAATATTCTTCGCTGGACCGCTCTCCCAGAGCTTGAAACCAGGTACAGTCAGCCACAGGCACTCGAGGCCAGGATATTATTTTTTAAACATTGATTTTTGTTTTAGCACTCATGACTGACGTTATTTAAACGAAATATCAGCAGAATTCAAGTTTATGTGCCGGTTGACAAATCCGAGGTCCACGGTCATTAAAAATACACAAGGCAAGCAACTCCAGATTTTAAAAAATCGACCCCTCGCTTGGAAACTGGCTCAAAAAAAGTAGTTATGATAAGTTCCTTGTAAAACAATATGTATCCGTAGGTAGTGTGTATATTTACCTTTTATATGGTGCTTAACATTACAGGCAACGAGAAATTCACAATACGTACATGAGATTAACATCTCAATAACCGGAGATTTTATCGTCCATGTAATTATCTTTGACGGAAGTAACATGCCATTTCAAGGGCGGTCACTCCGACTTTTTGGGAGAAGAGTTCCGGATAGCACTATACCAGTGAACAGGTAAGAAAGTTTCCGATGTCATTACGCGCGTAACTTCAAAATAGATATTTTTATTTCTACAAATACATTTGCGGGGATGGAAAAATAATGGCTGGGCAAAGAAAATCACTATGGAAAATATAATTTAATTTCCAATTTCTAAGTTAATATATTCCCCCAAGATATTTTTCATAAATTGCGCCCTTTTTTCATTATCTGCATGATTTTTTTCTATTTTTTTTTTTTTAAAAAATTCTCATTACCGCCAGCTTGATTGAAAGTTGATGCATTCTGTATACTCCCTTACCATGATATTGTATCCGAGTTGGCAAATGTGGACTTTCTTTGCCCAGCCATTATTTTTCCATCCCCGCAAATGTATTTGTAGAAATAAAAATATCTATTTTGAAGTTACGCGCGTAATGACATCGGAAACTTTCTTACCTGTTCACTGGTATAGTGCTATCCGGAACTCTTCTCCCAAAAAGCCTGTAATGTTAAGCACCAAATAAAAGGTAAATATACACACTACCTACGGATACATATTGTTTTACAAGGAACTTATCATAACTACTTTTTTTGAGCCAGTTTCCAAGCGAGGGGTCGATTTTTTAAAATCTGGAGTTGCTTGCCTTGTGTATTTTTAATGACCGTGGACCTCGGATTTGTCAACCGGCACATAAACTTGAATTCTGCTGATATTTCGTTTAAATAACGTCAGTCATGAGTGCTAAAACAAAAATCAATGTTTAAAAAATAATATCCTGGCCTCGAGTGCCTGTGCAGTCAGCGGTATATATACACCTGAGTGAGCCCACATAATATGACGTAATCAGTACACGTAACAATACAGGTAACACACGCTTAGTACAATTCACAAATGTTTACGTATTCATTACATTACCCACGCCTCAAAAAATATTGGTCGTCCTGACCAATGCACATAAAAACACATATATCGGCAATACATCGGGACTTCCAAACAAAAATCTCACAACCACACGTTCGGTACCCATCCATCCATACTCGCTTTCCCTTGCGCTTTAAACGGCAAAAAACGTATTTCAATCAGAGCATGTACAATACATATACAAATGTACGCCTGCTATAAATCCAATTACAAAAATGCATTCAGAAACAAAGAAACAATAAACATGGAATAAATACACTCACACACACAAACAGTTTCCAAGAAATCAAAAGGCACAAATCTAACGCATATGATTCTATCTCGCACTCTTTCACACCAGCTACCAAACTATCATACAATATAATTATCTGTTACAACATTTTGATATACCTTTAAGACAATTGTGCAATATCATACACAGACAACAATCAATAGTTCGACATAGAACGACAAATGCTATTCCATTATACAAAATATCCATATACATAATACCTCCCCTCCCCCCAATAATGGGTGGACGTCTCGTCCAAATGTCACTAAAGAAAGAACAAAAAACACAATAAGTCCCGCGATAAGCGCGTCCCACGTCTTTAACCTTTGCCATTACCAACACGTCCCGCGTCATCCATGGATTTCTTCAGGCAACGTACTCCTCCCAGTCGATTTTGTGAGACGATCTGGTCACAGTCGTCTCACCATCCGGTCCCACGGTGGTCTTCGTCGTCGTCTCCTTCCGTCTATGCCTTTTCACGGGCATGTAACACTGGATGCCCACGTCGTTGGTCGTGACGTGCTGTGATGACGTGCCTTCTCCTGCGTCCACGACTGGCGTCTTAGACATTTCTTCCCCGTTTGATGTCCTCTTGGCAGGCGTAGAACGGCTTAACGGTGACAATATCTGGGTCTGTACCATCACGGTTTGAAGGGAGACGTCCGGGTCGCTACCAATAGTAGTATTGACTTCTACAGCCTTCTGTGCACTCTCCGACGTGTTCTAGCTTACTGTGATGGTCGGGCATTCTGGAGATTTTTCTGTTTCCGTGGCACTACGCCTAGAAGTGCTGACACGCCTGCGCCTCGGCGGCGTCATATCCTTCGCTTTCTCAGGGTGGTGGCGCTCAATATGACGACGCAGATCCCCCTTTCTTGACAGTGTCTGGGTACAGTATTGGCAGGAATGACGTTCTTTATTGTGCGTCTTCTCTGGTGACTTCCTCTCATCATGGTTGACGCCTAAGGTATCTCGGGCTCTCTCACAGTAAACAACATGTTGTTGAAGCGACCTCATATCGTCATAAAACTTCCCGCACGCAATACACCTGAATGAGTTCGATGGACGACTTGACTGCCAGGATCTTAAATACTGCATATTAACGAGTACCTGCAACGAACAAGGTGATTGTCTTAGACATATGTCGTTACGGACTATCTAGTATAGCTCAAATTCATCATATCGGCGCGATGGTACACGTATACGAACAGGTCTATTTCCTTTGGGTGCCCACTGTTCAGTTGCACATTCCCCAACATTAACATCAAGTATACCTGTCTCACATACTTCTCCCTCTTCAGAGATATCTT